TTTTGAAGGTCTGAAGGGCTTAAAACAAGCTGTGACATCCAATTTGGAATTCCTAAAATTCAGTTTTTCTTCTTGATGCCTTGTTAGAAGTTTTTCCTTTACCCGAATGAACTCTCATCGAATTCTCTGCTCTCTTTGGAAAATCTAGGCTAATTTTCTTGTCAATCTTCTATCTGGAACACACGATTTAGTTTGGACTTAATAATAGGCTTACTGTACGTTATTAGACATTAGACATACAGTACACCACTGTATATCTAATGTCTACATATTAATATGTAAATTTCGTATTTTTGAAGGTCTGAAGGGCTTAAAACAAGCTGTGACATCCAATTTGGAATTCCTAAAATTCAGTTTTTCTTTTTGATGCCTTGTTAGAAGTTTTTTCTTTCCCGAATCGGTCATCGAACAGTTGATCGAAATTTTCAAAATTGAAGTTTCTAACCAACTCTAAATGTGCTGTGCGTTCCAATTTGATATCCATTGACGTTAGAATTTCTAGTTTTCAATGCAACTCTGAACTTTTCCTTTCAAACACCATTCCCCCCAAAATGAGTGATGTTTCGTTGTCTTCTCCGCTCATTTCACCAATCACTCTCTCTTTTTTTAATGTTCTTCTTGAAAAAACGTGAAAAAATGAAGAGCTTTGTGTTCTTTTTTGGTGGTTTTTGAAGAGGACTCATAAATCTCTCTTCAATCCATCCTTGCCGCCTCCGAGGGATCATTTTGACTCATTTTAAAGAAGTCTCAAAGCCTATCTAGCTCCCAAAACCTATCTAGAACCCAATCAAGCATTGTATATTCCAAAACTAACAACAAAAACAATCCAATCCTTCCATTTTTACAATTTAATCGACTTCATTCCATTTTCTCTCAATTCTAACAATCTTTTTCAAAAAACGAAAGTACTACTTTTCAATCTGGATGTCAGCTAATAAAATGGCGGTGAAATGTAGAAGTGAAATTGATTTCGAGTGAAATTGATTCCAGAGTCCAGGCTTCCCCTTCAACTATCTTTCCCCGAGTCCCTTGGGGTTTAGAAACGTCATTTCTTTTTCTATTCAAAGCTGAAAGCTGTGTCTTTATGTGGAAAAGGGATCTAGAGCTCCAACAGAACAGCTTCTCTCTTCTCTTTTTAAGCCTTTCGACCATCTCTTTTCTTTTCAGCTAATTTTAAACCTCACCCACGTGGGATTGAAACAATTCATTCTCAAACGATAAATATAGAACTTGATCGCGTAGCTAGTCTAGCTTCTCCAGCTTCTCCAGCCACTCCAGTTACTCCAGCTACTCCAGCTTCTCCAGCTACTCCAGCTACTCCAGCTTCTCCAGCTTCTCCATTCTCCAGCCTCTCCAGCTTCTCCAGCTTCTCCAGCTTCTCCAGCTACTCCAGCTTCTCCAGCTACTCCAGCTTCTCCAACTTCTCCATTCTCCAGCCTCTTCAGCTTCTCCAGCTTCTCCAGCTTCTCCAGCTTCTCCAGCTTCTCCAGCTACTCCAGCTTCTCCAGCTTCTCCAGCTACTCCAGCTAATATAGTGGCCAGAAATAAAATAATCTTAGTGATTCAAAGGAAACGAACTCGAGGGACGCGTTTTTTAGCAAAGTCTCTTACTCCTAGCCAAGTGTCCACTAGACCCAGAAACAACTAGAGGAGCCAACATAAAAAACAAACCATCTCTGACTCTTGTTAACATCATTAACATCCTGTCACGATAGAAAATCGAATTATCTATAAAGGTTTAGCTTCAAATTTTCCAGAAATAAAATAGTATCCGGTATCGAACTCGAGCAAAAACAGAAACTCTCGTTTTATAGCCGAGGCTCTTATCCACTGGACCAAGCTGTCATTTTTGATGACCGTGAGAAAACGGTTATAAAGCCATTTCGCTTCAAATTTTCACTGTTTCATCCTGAGACTTCAAAGCGATTTTACTAGAAGCCTTTACCTTTACCTAGAAGATTTTACTAGAAGCCTCTAAGCCTTTACTAGAAAGCTATTTTACAAAAACGGAAAACAGATTCGAAATCAGCGTGTAATGATCTTATTTAGCTTTCTTCTTAATGCCAAGATTCAAAGATAAATCCAATTTTGGTTTGATTAGCTTTAAAAAAAGCCTAATCAAAGCCCAGACTTCAATTTTTGAATAATAACATCATTTCCAAGTTTGTTTCTTTACCCTCTTCTTCCTTCTATCCTTCCTTTACCCTCTTCTTCCTTCTATCCTTCCTTTACCCTCTTCTTCCTTCTATCCTCCTTTACCCTCTTCTCCTTCTATCCTTCCTTTACCCTCTTCCCTCTACCTCCTACCCCTCTCCTCATCCCCTTACCCCTTCTCCTCATCCTTCCTTTACCCTCTTCTCCTTCTATCCTTCCTTTACCCTCTTCTTCCTTCTATCCTTCCTTTACTCTCTTCTTCCTTCTATCCTTCCTACCCCTCCCTTCTATCCTTCCTTTACTCTCTTCTTCCTTCTATCCTTCCTTTACCCTCTTCTTCCTTCTATCCTTCCTTTACCCTCTTCTTCCTTCTATCCTTCCTTTACCCTCTTCTTCCTTCTATCCTTCCTTTACCCTCTTCTTCCTTCTATCCTTCCTTTACCTCTTCTTCCTTTCTTCCTTTCTTCCTTATCCTCCCTTTACTCATTTACAAGTACATTACTGAATTCTTAAGCAACAATATTAAAATCTAGACAGAGATCTTAAATCTAGACAGCAGACAAAATAGCTTCTCTCACATTTATTCTCTTTACTTTACTACATGATGAGTGATGAATTTCGAATGATAGAAAGTAGTAGAAAGGAAAGATTTATGCAGATTTGGTTAGATTTATCCAAATTTACCCCAAATTTACCCAAATTTTGGTTTTTTTAACCAAAATTATCCAAAATTATCCAAAAATTACCCAAATTTACCCCAAATTCACCCAAAATTATCCAAATTTACCCCAAATTTATCCAAATTTACCCAAAATTACCCCAGATTTACCCAAAATTATCCAAAATTACCCAAATTTACCCCAAATTACCCCCAGATTTACCCGTTATTAGCTTGATTTAAAGAGTTTGAGCAATTTTCTTCGAAATTAACACGACTTTTCATCTTGATAAAGAAAGAAATGAAAGATATGGAAGTCATTGAGATCGAATGAGATATTTTTATGCAAAATTAGACGAAATTGAAAAATTCGACACTCTAGATTTGTTCATAGAGAGCTAGCTTTTGCATTGCCGTTGATTTCATAAAAACTGAGCACCAAGAGAGCCGAGCTGGAAGTCACACAAGCTTTTGAAGTGATTTAGAATCGCAGCCAGGGATTTTAAATCTCAGCCAGGGCATCAGCTGAACCAGCCTCTTCCCCTCAACCAAACTAATTGCCCCTTGACTTTTCTAACAAACAAAAAACATATTTACAATGCATCGCTTTCCTCAATGACATCCAGGATTGACTTTCTTTTCAAAAAAATTTCTTCAATTATTGGTTTAATGAGATTTTCAGCGACGAACTCAAAAACGAATTTTGGTTTTTATAAGCGTCAATGGAATTGTTCAAATTCTTAAACCAACGACTAAAGTGCGCTCCAGAATGCGGGAAAATCGGAAAGAATTAAGAATGAATTCAGGGGAAATGCGGGAAAAACACGCAGCTATATTCCGTTCCATTAGACATCGATAAAGACGAGACTTTCGATAGCTATTAGATCCCCGATTCTTCTTCTTTAGCTGAATATCTTTCAGCGCTTAGCATTTCTTTTTGCATTTCTAGATAATTCGGCTTTTTTTTCCAGTTTCCTGAAATTGGACATTTATCTTTTGAGAATGCTTTCGCCCATCCGGTTCTCTCGAAAATCTCGACCGCTAATGACGCAATTTCAAAAATGATTGACGATTTCGTCAAACTGGATGTCATTTGAGTTATTTATGTTGAAAAAGTGATATAATCTTGATGTTTAGAGATTGCTTATGCATATTCCCTTACCCTGCCGAGAAATCGGTTTTATTTCAGTCAAAACTTGAATTTTTTAGTCTGGATCAGCAATCTGGATGTCACATTAGATTTAGCATTAAAAAAATTTCCATATATCTGCTGTACTTGAGTTGACGGAACTTGACCCGAACAGTTGGTACGGTAAATTTCGGTGACGTAATTTATTTCATAGTGATATCACATTAGTTTTTGCATTCAAAAAATTTCCATATATCTGCTGTACTTGAGTTGACGGAAATTGGTCTGAACAGTTGGTTCGATAAATTTCGATCTAAACGATTGGAAATGAAAATCTTTTCAGATTTACATTTAAGCTGGATGTCACACTAGTCTAAGCCATACAAAAATTTCCATATATCTGCTGTACTTGGGTTGACGGAACTTGACCTGAACAGTTGGTACGGTAAATTTCGGCTTAAACGATCGGAAATCATAATTTTTTCAAATTTACATTTAAGCTGGATGTCACACTAGTTTAAGCCATAAAAAATTTCCATATATCTGCTGTTCTTGAGTTGACGGATTTTGGTCTGAACAGTTGGTCCGATAACTTTCGGTCTAAACGATTGGAAATGAAAATCTTTTCAAATTTTCATTCAAGCTGGATATCACACTTTCTTGAAAGCCTGGTAAATTTGCATAAATTCCAGAAGTCGAGCATTTGGTTTTCTGGATTTTGAGATGATGCTCATTTTATTGTGAAATTCTCTAAATCCCCGCTTTTTTCTCGTTTCATCTTTCAATCTGGAAATCAGTTTAGTTTTCTAAATGTAGATCTTCTCAAAAAAACCTTGTTTCCCTCAAAAACCTTGTTTTCGAATGTTTCTTTGTATTGTGGTTGGTGAAAAAAAAAGAATTAGCAAAAAAGAATCGAAACCAGCCCCGCCCATTCGTTCAGGATTTCTCTCCTCTTCTGGGGGATTTCTGGGGTGAATTGCCCTTCATTTCTTGTCGGCGATGGGCAGCTCTTCAAACAGTTTTCTTCAATCCAATTCAAATTGCTTCCATCGCCACTCAATGTCGATGTCATTTCTCGGTTTTACAATCATCGCTTTGTTTGCCGCTTTGATATCGGTAAGGGTTCTTGTGAGTTCCAGAATCGCTAAAAAAACTCTTAACTTGATTTAGTTTTTGTTTAGAATCAAGGAAAATCCTCTAGAATTGATTCCATCGAAAATTCAACGTTATTTTCAGAGCTCAGATGCCTCAGCTCTTCGACACAAACGAGCACTTGATAATTTGGTGAGTTTGAAGAGAAATGAAGGGCTAGAATCAAGGGCTAGAATGATAGAAATCAAATTTCAGATGGGTCAAGGTTTTACTGGTTTCGACAAACGCGCTTTTGACTCACTTGGCCATGATGGATTCTCTCCATTTGATAAGCGAAATTTCTATCCAGTGGTGAGCTCTACTGACTTCCAGATTGAATGAATTTGTGAAAATAATGCTCTAGAAATTATTGAGAGTCGAGAAAAATGCTTGAACTCGTAACGACCGTCTTGCCGGTCGTCTGGCTGACTGTTTGGCCGTCTGGCCGTTTGGCCGTCTGGCTGACTGTTTGGCCGTCTGGCTGACCGTTTGGCCGTCTGGCTGACCGTTTGGTCGTCTGGCGAACCGTCTGGCTGTCAGGCCGACCATCTGGCCGTCTAGCCGACCATCTGACCGTCTAGCCACACCTCTACGACTGTTTGGCCGTCTAGCCGACCATCTGGCCTTCTAGCTGACTGTTTGGCCGTGCTTGGCCGCCACGTCAGCCGTCTGGCTGACCGTCTGGCCGTCTAGCCGACCATCTGGCCGTCTGGCTGACCGTTTGGCCGTCTGGCCGACCATCTGGCCGTCTAGCCGACCGTCTGGCCGTCTAGCCGACCATCTGGCCGTCTAGCTGACTGTTTGGCCGTCTAGCCGACCATCTGACCTTCTAGCCGACCGTTTGGCCGTCTAGCCAACCATCTGGCCGTCTAGCTGACCGTTTGGCCGTCTAGCCGACCATCTGACCTTCTAGCCGACCGTCTGACCGTCTAGCCAACCATCTAGCCATCTAGCTATCTAGCCATCTGACTCGCTATTGTTATTTCAATAGAATTCTTTTCAAATTCTTGCCAAACCTTTCCAATGCCCTCTAGGATTTTTAAAAATTGGAATATTTTTGCTTATTACTATAGTAATCCGTAAAAATGGGGGTGGCGCTTTGAAAATGATTCAATTAAAACCTCTTTTTCAGCTTTTCAAAAGAATGTTTCCCATGGGAAGACCTTTTTGAGAAAGAAAAGACCCGGAAGAAATGATGAAAGAAAAGAGAAACATACGACAACCCGGTACTCAGTCCGTTCATAGCTGGGTACTAGATTTGATTTAAAAGCTATTCCAAGGATTTCAAAATATCATTTTCGGCGGAACTGGAGGGCATTCTATTGAAAGAGATATTGAGATTGAGGCTAGGGTGAAAATAGAGATGATGAAGATTGGAGGTTGAAGATTGGCTCTAAATTCTTCCTCCTAGCCATTTCTATCCAATTTTTTATATTATATTCGCTAATCTGGAACGCACGTAAATAATTTATCAATTTGTTTTTAGACAATCGTTGCTTTTAGACCTATTGAGAATTCGGGAATAGGGGACGTAAAAGAAAAAAAATAAGAATTGAAAATAAGCAAGAGATTTTTTTGTGAGTCGATGCTGTGACTTCCAGATCGATCATTAAATTGATTAGAATTTTAGTTTATCAACAAATTTTCAGCGTATCATTGGCCTCGAGAAACGCGCATTGGCAAAACGTGCACTTGACTCAATTGGATATGGAGGTGAGTTTAGAAAGCATAAACAAACCCTATCTGGCATACGGAAATGAACAGCATTCTTTCAGACACAATTTAAAGCTATTTTCTTGCTAAAAAAATCTAGTGCACTAGAAAGTGTGCGTTTAGCTGAGAGCACAAAGTACAGCACAAAGTACAGCACAAAGCACAGAACAAAGTACAGAACAAAGTACAGCATAAAGTACAGCACAAAGTACAGGACAAAGTACAGGACAAAGTACAGCTCAAAGTACAACACAAAGTACAGGACAAAGTACAGGACAAAGTCCAGCTCAAAATCTGAATTTCCAGGTCTCTCCGATTTCGGCTACTTTGACAAGCGAGCTTTTGACACTCTAGTAAGTTGAGAAATCCTTTTGCCATCCAGGATTCACATTCCCGTCAAAATAATCACACCATAGTGCAAAGGGGAATGAAATTAGCCGCCAATCTTTTCCCTAGGGAATCACCGGTTAAATTGCTTTCATTTTCTAAAGACTTTAAACATCACAAAGTCTTTTTAACCGTAAAAATAGCAATATTGACCCCGTTAATCAATAGCATAAAGCAAGATTTTAGATTAAATTTAACATTTAATTTAGGGTCACGACGGATTTAGTGGTTTCGAGCGACGGTGAAACCTGATCGCCATCGAATTCACAAATAACATCAAAATTACTGTAGGTTTTGAGTGTGATATCCAGAATAGCCAATGAATCTTTCAAAAGCTTCTTTTATCATCAAAAACAAACCAAAATTTGCCCAAAATCTTTTCTACAAATGACGTCACTCTCCAAATGCGTTCCAGAATGGCTAAAACTTGAAAAAAAGTCTTTTAAATCACTTTAAATTGAATAACGAGCTGTAGTTGAAAGCCAAACTCGGTAGATTTGGAAAGCTGAAATGCGTAATTGGCGGGTTTTCCCCATTTTATGGCCTCCATCAACCAGACACCGTTTTTCAATTTCACCAATTTTGTTTCTTTTTGAGATTTAGGATTTTTAAAAGAAGGGATGACATCCAGCTTGAACAATCATCGGATTACTGTAGGGGGTTACTGTAATTTTACCCATAAAATAGCCTCGATCATTTTATGGCCTCTTTCAACTTCACCAATTTTGCTTCTTTTTGAGATTTAGCTTTTTGAAAAGAAGGAGTGACATCCAGCTTGAACAATCATCGGATTACTGTAGGGAGTTACTGTAATTCTACCCACAAAATAGACTCGATCATTTTATGGCCTTTTTCAACTTCACCAATTTTGCTTCTTTTTGTGTATTTAGGATTTAAAAAGAAAGAATGACATCCAGCTTGAACAATCATCAAATTACTTTAGAAGAATTACTATAATTTGACCAATAAATAGCGTCGACTCAACTCCATCCAATTTTCAGAGCTTCCACCGATCGTCCAGGGCACAAAACCCCTCACAAATTCCCGTGTGACATCCAGCATTGACCATTCCATCGTCCATCCATCGAAATGATCTCTTTTTCGAGTACCGGTCCATCTCTCATCTCATCGACATCTCACAACTTTCCCCGTTTTCCATTTCCATCTCCATTTCCATTTCCATTCGATTTCCTTTGACATTGCCATCAACTCTTGTGTTCTCCAGTCTCCAGTGTCACCAAATTTCCACTCATTTTTGTGAAAAAAAAGATTTCTTCTGACCCCAAAATTTCTGTCTGTGTTTTGATAAATAAATTTTTGTTACGAAATGAGAAAGACAAGATTTTAAACCTTTTTTGATCGTTTACTGCACTCCAGATTTGTCTTTTGTTTTCAAATTTTTCTTTAAAAACCAATCTATAACACATTACGATTAATGAACTTGAAAATTCGAAGTAACTCGGCGAAAATTCGATTCTTTTTGTTTTGTTGCTTCTTTTTAACAGAATGAGAATGAAAGATTGATGAATGAGAAAGGTAATTCTGATCTTTAACAGATTCTGAACAGACTCTGATCTTGGACAGACTTTGATCTTGGACAGACTCTGATCCTGAACAGACTCTGATCTTGACCAGACTCTGATCTTTACCAGACTCTAGTTAAAGGAGTGCTGTAACCAGAATAAGTAATAGTTAAGCCTGTGATTTGTAAAGGAATTGAATTCTATTCCGGTTAATGTCTTACCGAAAATACTGTAGTACCCCTCGTACAGTCGCGTAGTCGCAAAAGTTTCTTAGTATTTCTTTGTTTTTCAAAGCGCCTGTACTTTCAAAAAATGCGTCCTTTGTACCAAAAAATAGCTGAAATTCAGGGCTATTTTTTGATATTTAAACGCGCATTGTAGCATAAACCCGTGTCGAGAAAAACTCGTTCAAAGCTAGACTACGCAACACTCCGCACCGTCATTATGGGAGTGGGATACTACGGTAGTACTTACAAGAGAGTATTTACGGCAGTACTTACAAGAGAGGTTCACGAAACTAACACCGGGCTTAACACCGGGCTTAGGTTTAAAATTCTAATAGTTTCAAAACGAGATCTAGCTCATCTAGACAAGTTTTTCAAGCTGATTTCAAATCTAATCAATATATCAATCAAAATCTAATCAATAATCAAATCTATAATCAAATCTAGGGCCTCTGTAGCTTCTGAAGCCGTAGACTCATTTGATTTTGTAGGGATTTTGTAGAGATTACAAAAAATAGTCTACCTTGTCTACCGGTCTACCTTATCTACCGGTCTACCTTGTCTACCGGTCTACCTTGTCTACCAGTCTACCGGTCTAACCGATTCAAACACAACCAGCTATTGAAAAAGTGAGAGCCTAACACAACTGGATTCTGGTTCAGTTAGTGACTGGAATGGTCACTGGTTGAGTGGTAGTATCATCGCTGTTAGCTGCTAGCTGTTAGCTGCTAGCTGTTAACTGTTATAGTTAAATTATAGCTATTAACCTTTTACTAAATCATTGCAGACATCGCATTCTTAGTTAAAGCAAAATTCTAGTTGAAGCTAATAGTAACGAAGCTTGGTTCAGTGCTCACACTGACACTGACACTGACAGAGCACTGACACTGACACTGACACTGACACTGACACTGACATGTTTATTGAATTTACCCCGCAAAAAGCTTTCCCTTGAAAATTCAGAAAAATATGACCAAATGTGGTCAAATTTCAGTTTAGAATTCTTTTCTTTATCCCTTTATACCCCTCCTCATAACAAAAAGATACTCAGCCTACCGATTGAATATTTTGTGGAGCGGTATAAAACAAATTTTGGTATATAAAGCAAAGAATTTTGCAATTTCTCACCATTTTCTTCGTTACTTTTTCATTTTTTCTTTGATTATCTTTACTTTACCTGTTCTTTTTTGTGCAAACTTAATTTAAATTCTTATTTTCAGCAATTCCTAGCTTGCTGGCTGGCTGGCTGGCTAGCTTGCTGGCTAGCTGGCTGGCTGGCTAGCTTGCTGGCTGGCTAGCTTGCTGGCTGGCTGGCTTTCGACCTTTATAGCAATCAAGAAATCCGCGAAGAAAGGTTAGTTTTATAAATTTTTTGTTAAATTTTATGTGTAGATTGTTTTAATTGCTTACTTTGCTAAGTTTATTTAAAAACTAACGTACTTAATTATATAATTAGATAGTTTTTAACTTACTAATTTAAACTTTCACTACCTATTAGTCGAATGGAGTCTAATTCTATTCTATTTAGACATTCTTGCTCGATTTGTGCTTGCTGGGATGCCAACCGTTGGCCAACATCTAAGAATTGCGCAAAGTTTGAAGTAAGCTTTAAAGTTTTTAGCATTTTTCTGTTAAAAGAGCACAAATTGATATGCGAACTGACAAATTGATATTGATATATCTTTTTTCAAATAAAAACTAGCTCTTTTGTGCATTTATAACGGAAAAAGTATCGTTTATAAGCTTATTTGGCTATTTGATGAGCTCAAGAGGATCTTGTAAAGAGTTTAAGGCACTAAACTTTAATCTTTTACTTTTCAAATTGCAGATTAATTCCCCGGATGAGTGGACACGATATGACGATACGTAATTTGACGAAAATCTACTCGCTTTGCCCGTTCGCTTTGCCCGTTCGCTTTGCCCGTTCGCTTTGTCCGTTCGCTTTGCCCGTTCGCTTCGCCCGAGACGTAAAAAATCAAGATGAAAACGTTTGCTTTTCCTTTAAAATTACCTAAACCGATCTAAAATTACCTAAAATTACCCAAAGTTTATTTAAAAATAAGAATTTAAGCAAGAGCCAGAGCTAGCAGATTTAAGCAAGAGCTAGAGCCAGTAGATTTAGGCGAGGGCCACAGCCAGCAGATTTAAGCAAGAGCTAGAGCCAGAGCCAGCAGATTTAGGCGAGGGCCAGAGCCAGCAGATTTAAGCAAGAGCAAGAGCCAGAGCCAGCAGATTTAAGCAGGAGCCAAAGCCAGCAGATTTAAGCAAGAGCCAGAGCTAGCAGATTTAAGCAAGAGCTAAAGCCAGCAGATTTAAGCAAGAGTCAGAGCCAGCTGATTTAAGCAAGAGCCAGAGCCAGCAGATTTAAGCCAGAGCCAGCAAATTTAAGCAAGAGCCAAAGCCAGCAATTTAAACAAGAGCAAAGGTTTATAACCTTATGACTCTAAGAATTTAGTTTTTTTGATTTATAGAACTGATAGATAAGCTTTTAGAAAAGAAAATATTATATTCCAATATTGCAATTGCGTAGGAAAAGTTAAAAGTTTTATTTATTATTAAAGATTTTTTTACCATTCTTGACCAAGTTTTAATGATTTCATTGATAGCAAAAAACAAAGACGTCACGAAAATAGGATGAATTCCAGAAAAGCCGGAGTCGAGAAAAGATTGGAGAAGCGGCTTGAAATGGCTTTTTGGTCGTTATCAGCTCTTTCGACTGATTCATCACCTAGAGAATAGCATGAATCAAGAGGAAAAGACAACGGGAAATCGAAATGAATTCCAAAATGGAGATTCCTTTTAGTGTTTGGTATCAAAACTTCACACCTTGCCGAGAAAATCGGGCAATCTTTTTTTCGGGTTCCGGTTGATTCGATTTTTGTCGATTAGATTTTGTCGATTCTATTCATGATGAAACGAAGGAAATTATTGGATTTCTGGCTTCTTTGGACTGTTTTTGGATTGACATTGGGAGATTTTAGAGCTTCGAATGAAAGAAGAGAGGTTTGGAAAGGAAAGAAAGGAAAGAAAGGAAATTTTTCATTTAAATTAATGAATTATTTTGTTCTTTACCTTTCTGGAGTACTTAATTCATCATTTTTAAACTCTAATTTAATTTATTTCATTCTTTCATTCATTCATTCATTTATTTCATTTAGAATCTCGAGATTTTACTTGAAACATTGGAGGATCGAGTGCTCACTTTGCAAGAAGAGATTTTAAGGTTTAGTTTTGATTGTAATTTCCTTTCGATTCGAATTTGCAATCGAATCTTAATATAAAATCGAATTAGAACCATAATTTCAATTCGAATCTCAATTCTGGAAAGCACAGAAGTTACGGAAGTTAATCAGAAGTTAACAGAAGCACAGAACTTAATCAGAAGTTTATTCATCTTTTAGACGTGAAAAATCAAATGAAAATCTCAAGAGCTTCTCGCAAATCGCTGTCGATTCTGGTGGACTACAAATGGGGAAATTGGAAGAGATTTTAAGAGAAAATCATTTTGAAATCGTTGCAAAGGTTAGGAGAATGAGAATGAGACGATTTTAGTGACTTTATATGGTCATTATCTTTGATCTGACCTTATATGGTCATTATCTTTAATCTAGTGACCTTATATAGTCACTATCTTTAATCTAGTGACCTTATATGGTCACTATCTTTGATCTAGTGACTTTATATGGTCATTATCTTTGACCTAGTGACCTTATATGGTCACTATCTTTGATCTAATCACTTAATATGGTCATTATCTTTGATATCTTTGATCTAATCACTTATCTAGTCACTATCTTTGATCTAGTCACTATCTTTGACCTATCTAATCATCTCATCACTATCTAGTCACCTAATGTCACTAGATTCGAATCTCAATTCTGTATTCTTTCTTCATCATTTAATTTATCATTTAGCACCCCACTCTTCCCAACATTTTCTTGGCTGAACGGATTCGAGCGAAAAGAGAGAAAAGGAGTGCCAATGATCGTGGAAAGATTGAATCATGGACAAAATTTGAGGTAATTTCTTGGAAATCGTTTATCATCCTTTTTTCTGCACTTCATCTAGGCGCAATTCGATTGGATTGAACCGTTGAACACATTGGAAATTCAAAAAAGAGTTGTCGATTCGAAAAAGGAGATTTCTTGCAATGATCCACACTTTCAACGACAATCACCACAGGTTATTTTAAGGGGAAACGATGGTGACTGATTTAAAGCTGTTTTGAAGGGTGAATTGAAGTCTTTTCGTTAGCACATAGCTTTCTAGTCTCTTCTAGACCTTGGTTAACCCTTCCTAAACCTGACCTAACCCTTCCTAGACCTGGTTTAACCCTTCCTAGACCTGGGTTAACCCTTTCTAGACCTGGCCTAACCCTTCCTAGACCTGGGTTAACCCTTCCTAGACCTGGTTTAACCCTTGCTAGACCTGGCTTAACCCTTCCTAGACCTGGCCTAACCCTTCCTAGACCTGGCCTAACCCTTCCTAGACCTAGCCTAACCCAAAGATTTTACATTTAACGGATTCTAACTCTTCGGTTGACCGGTTGACCTGTTAACTTAAACCTTTCGATTACAAAAGATTTCAGTTCGACAAAATGGGCTTCACTAAAGCTTGGGCGAGAGGATTATCTGGAAATGGGATCACGATAGCTGTTGTCGATGATGGAGTTGAATTCAAAGCATCCAAAGAGCTTTCATCAGCCTCACAAAAATCCCTTTCACAATCAATCTTTGGCTCGGAAAGTCTCGATGATGATTTGTACATGTGAGTTGTGTTCTAGATTCAAGGAATGGAGAGTTAAAAGCTTTCTATAAGCCTTGAAAGTCTTTTACAAGCCTTGAGCTTTTTACAAGTCTTGATAGCTTTTACAAGCCTTGAAAGCCTTGGATGCCTTTTACAAGCCTTCAAATCCTTTTACAAGCCTTGAAAGAGCCATTCAGCTTTCCAGAATGCTCATTTTCAACTTTAACAATAATATATCAACAATATTTTAGGCATGGAACACAGTGTGCCGGAGTAATTGCAATGCGCGCCAACAACTCGGAATGCGGCGTTGGCGGAGCTCCAAAAGCGACGATTATAGGTAAAATTTGAAGCCGAATTTCGTTTAAACAATGATTTCAGATGTGCCACTGCTTTCCCGAATTGTCACCGATTTCTCGGAATCTGTTGCCTTGTCACAAGTACAGTAATTTCTAGTGATCTAGATAGTTTGATCTAGAATTTATGCAAATTTATCGCTTGTGATATCCAGCTTAAAGTGTGATATCCAGCTTAAACTAAAATATAAAAAAATTTTTGATTTCCGATTGTTTAAGCGGAAATTTACCGTACCAACTGTTTAGGTAAAATCAAAAAATTTAGAAATAACAGAAATATGGAAATTTTTTGAATGCAAAAACTAATGTGATATCCAGATTGCTGATCCAGACTAAAAAATTCAAGTTTTGATTGAAATGAGACCGATTTCTTAGCTTGGTAACGGAATGCGAATCAAGATTTATGTCAAGATTATGTCAATTTTTGAAAAAACTCGATCTTTTTATAGAAAGCTGATATTTTCACATGCAGTTGGGGTCCACCTGATGATGGAATGAGTGCTGAAGGGCCGTTGAAATTGACAAGAACAGTCATTGAGAAGCAAACGAAAGAGGTTTGTTGGTTTTGATTTTTTTAGTCGAAATTCATTTTTGATAACTGGAAATCGACCAATCTAGGGTAGTTGAAAGAGTTTTGGGCCGATTTTTTTTGGCTAGTATTCGCGCGTAGTCTACGAATTCAGGGTCGAAATGGACTTGGCTCGCTTTTTGTGTGGGCTTCGGGAAATGGTGGAACGAGTGGAGATGATTGCTCTTTGGATGGTTTTGTATCGAATCCGATGACAATAGGTATTCAATTAAAGCACCTACAGTAATCTTGGAAGTCACGAAGCTCTATCGAGTAGTCTAGGACTGTAGTTATGCAGTTTGTGTACTTTATGTACTGTGTACTGTAGCTTGCCGTACCCAGCTATAGATTACGGTAGCTAGGAACGATTCTAAGACTTTCAAACTGTCTTGTGCATTCCAGCTTTAACTTTTAGCTGTCGGAGTACTCTAGGACTGTCGTTATGCAGCTTATATACTGTGTGTACTGTAGCTTGCCGTACCCAGCTATGGATTACGGTAGCTAAAAACGATTCTAAGACTTTCAAATTGTCTTGTGCATTCCAGCTTTAACTTTTAGCTGTTGGAGTACTCTAGGATTGTAGTTATGCACTGTGTGTACTGTGTGTACTGTAGCTTGCCGTACCCAGCTATAGATTACGGTAGCTAGGAACGATTCTAAGACTTTCAAATTGTCTTGTGACTTCCAGCTTTAACTTTCAGCTGTTGGATGGACTTTTTGGAATAGTTCAAGAACGGAATGGTCAGAGGGTAAAGATTTCCCATTAATTGAATATCTTTTTCTTGAGGTTGCCCCGCAATTCTCACTTCTGTAATCTCGGATCAATTTGGAGGACAAGTAATTTAGAGTTCTCCATTTCTAAAACTCTTCTCAGGTGTCAGTGAATGGTAAAGGTGAATGTGTGCCGTCGTTTCGCGGCTCTTCAGCAGCCGCTCCACTAGCCGCTGCAGGACTGGCGCTTTTACTTGAGAAATTGTAGGTTTTCGAGCATTTCTGAATTCGTTTATCGACTATCTGGAAGTCACACGAGATGTCAATGAATAGTTTTTTTAGCCCAAAATTGTCCCGCAGAGAAGTGACTCATTTGGTGGTACGGGGCAGTGATCCGACTCATTTCACTGCATTTGAAAAGCAAAAATGGAACAAAAATGCGGCTGGATTGCAATTCAACAAGTAGATTTGTCTGTAAAATACTCTAAATTGCAGACTGAGATTTGCATATATCGTAATCCCTGGCTGAATATCTTTTAAATTTAAAAATCAGCTAAATCTTCAATCAAACACTTCGATTATCTTTCGTGCGTTCCAGATCATCCAAAAAAACTTGTAGATATCTCGGCTTTGGAATTCTTTCCGTTGATCGGATGCTCAATCTCGCACCGATACTTCGCTCGCCTTTCCCGGCCATGCAAGAATGCTCTGAGGGTTATAAAGTGGAGAATCGCAAAGGGTGAGTGGACAGCGTTTAGGGATCTTATTTTAGGAATCCTATTTGCAGGACAGCGTTTTAGGAATCCTGCTTTACAGAAATCCAAATCCAGCTCAATAGTTTGTTATTGTAGATGTTCAGTAGTTCAGCTAAACGACTGTAACTTGAAGATTTCAGTTCTCAGTTCAGATTTCAGTTCTCTAAACGATTTCTCTGCTCGATTACCATTCAATGGATGCGAACAGATTGAACATCTAGAAACAATTCTTTTATCGATTCGTCTCACGCATCCACGACGCGGAGATTTACAGATTCGACTGAAATCACCATCAGGTTGACTAGAGCTTTTTTAAATTAATAACGAAAGTTGGCCGGGTTGGCTAGCCATCATTGAATTCGAAAAAAGCCCTTATTGTATTCCTAGAAACATTCCTATAATAATCATAAAGAAGTGTTTTTCGGATAAAAGCAAAATTTTTGCAGCAGAGGAATTGAACCAGCATGCATTGGCTTTAGAGTCCAGCGCACTATCCCCTAAGCCACCACTACCTTTTCCACCTTCCTTCTCTGCCGCCCTCTTATAGGTGAGGTTGGTCTGGGCACGTTTTCTCGAAAACGGAAAAGGCGAAGAAACCGAGGCCTCCGCTATAACAGGCCGTCAGGACCGAGGGCCAAAAAGCAGTGGTGGGTTAGGGGATAGTGTGCTAGACTCTAGTTCCAACCTATCCGGGTTCAATTCCTCTTGCTGCTAAATCTTTTCCTTTTTTTCCGAAAACACTTGTGATTTTTGTTTTGTGATTATTATAGGGTTTTTAAATGGTAATTTAGCTATTTATGAAAGTTTTTCATAGGTTTCAGAGACATTTATAGATGCTTTTATTTGAAAACGCCTTGCAAGCCTTACAAAGCCTTGCAAAGTTGAAAAAGTTCCTTAGGAAGCTGAGCCTTCAATAGAACCCTTCTTAAATATTAAGGCGACGTTTAGGCACTCTGCTAACTCTTCTTGACAATCGCCCATTCGACAAATATCCCGATCTCGATTGGACATTCACTGTCAATCATTTTTGGGGAGAAAACCCGAATGGTGATTGGACGATTTCGTTCTTTGAAAAGGTTCGAGTGAGACCAGGCTGCTTGGTGACATCCAGATCGTTGATATTTTCATTCTAGGGCATTGATAAGGCACTCGGACAAGTGCAAGCCCTCAGCCTCACCGTCCGTGGCACCAAAGAGCACCCATTCGAATTTGAGGAATCCGGAAAATTGACTGAAATCGCTAATAGAAATGTAAGGTGCATTCCAGGATGAGCGAAAATTTGAATCAAATCTTTAGTTCGCTATAGGATCATCAGGAAAAATGTGGAACGTGATTCTTGGTGAGATTTTCGTGATTCTAAGGGAGAATTTGATAGTTTCGATCGTTTTTTTCGCTATTCTGGAACTCACAATAGCATCTAGAAAGGGTTTTTTTTAAATTTTAGGCTTACTAATTATTGTCTTGGCTTGTCTTTTGGTTTATGGTGGTTTTGAATATTTGGCGATTCGGAGAAAAGCGAAACGCTGTGATGCGTCGTGGAGAATATTGAATGAGGAGAGAGATGAGTACAGGTAAACGATTGTTTAGACGACCCTCTCTACCCACAAAAGCCTAGGCACAACTATAAACACGTTGTTCATCCACCATCCGAGAACGATGATGATCATTTGCTTGTCAATGAGGCTTTTATCAACGAAGATTGATGGGAATGTGACTTAAAATGAACTTTTTTATAAGTTCTGGAATGCACATCGATGAATAAATAAGTTCAATTCAAAAAAAATTTACAGAAAAATTTACAAAAAAAATTTGCATTTAAATTGACAAAAAAAAATTTGCACTTAATTTGCGAAAAAAATTTGCATTTAAAATTTTTGCATTTAACTTTTTTTAACAAAAATTTGCATTTAACTTTTTTAACCAAAATTGCATTTGACTTTTTTAAGAAAAATTTGCATTTAACTTTTTTAGCAAAAATTTGCATTTAAATTTTTTTTGACAAAAAAATTTGCATTTAACTTTTTTCGAATTTTGAAAATCGAAAATCAAAAATCGAAAAATCAAACAAAATAAGGAAATCTTTGCATGGGTTTTCTTGTGTGCTTTCCAGAAGAGCCGAATTCAGTCATCAAATCTTATTCAATTGCATGAGTCACTTGGATTTGTCCCTTCAAACCTTCACACGCAAGATTTCCTCCCTCATTCGCCCATTTTATCGTTTCCCGGTGGCCAGCCAACCCAGTTGACTCTTTTCATTTCATCATTTAACAATTAGACGACAATTAGAAGAATTACTTGAAAATTTAAAGTCAACAAAGCATTTTATTTAGGATAGAGAGTGTTTTTAATAGCCTCTCACTCTTCTCACACAATTGAATAAACAATGAATGGAACAGCTATACTGACTTCCAGATTGAACAAAAAGTAGAGAAGAATCTTCAAGTTTATTTGAAATTCTCGAGTTATTCGACCATTCTCATTTCTTCTCCTTTTTTCTCCTTCTCCTCCTTCTCTTTTGCCATCTAAATCAGTTTAGAAACGAAAATTAGCCTTCATATCTGCTAGGAAATAGCTAGACTACTGAAAGACATTCAAAAAAGACACGAAATTGGTTTCATTTGGATTTTAAACCCAATCAACTCCAGTTCTCCATCTCTAGAACTGATCTTCAGATTTTAACTAGAAACTCGCTATCTATTGATAGATTTGGAAAGCGTGTACTCCAGGATTGACAAATTTTCGATTTTCAAGTCTATATATAATACTCAGCTCGAGGAATTGTTGAGATCTTGATCCAACCACTTTTTCTCGGCTTTCCAATTCCATTAGTGATCCCGTGTTTATTTGTGGTCTTAGTTGGAGTGCACAGAGGTGAAAGAATCAAGAGAAAAGATGCAAGCAGACTATATGAAAAGCACAGCTGGTCCTCCACTCTTCAGCCTTCAGCCTTATCCCTTGGCTCCACCCCTTCCCTCTTATCCTGGTCCTCCACCCCTTCAGCTAGAGTCCCAGTGTCATCCATGGTTCTCTTTAAGATTCTTTTTGAATTAATTGCGTGGATATTTTTCGAGTAATTAAATCGAATTGAAATTTTCAAGCTTTTCGAAGAATTCCTTTAGGAAATTCGGGTTTTTCTCTTTTTAAATTCAAATTTCAATTTCAATTCAAATTTCAGTTCACAGCTTCTTCATGAGATCTATTCTACTCTTTCTTCTATTTTATTCACTAAAATCATTCACAGAAGCGTCAAACAAAGCTCAACAAATATTATTTGAAGGTTTCTTTTCACATTTTATTTTAAATTTTCTTTATTTTCTTTGAAATTAATTGGTTATTGAATTTTCCTTAAAATTTGATACTTTATCAGCTAAGGCTCTGATAAGCGGTTCTCGAGATTTCGAGGAATTTAGGCAACGCTGCACTACTATTAGAGGTGTTCTCTGTGCACACGCACAATCGCGCACTTTCTGGCATAGGGGGCTTACACATAGGGAGCTGGCTCTGAATAAAAAAACTGGCTGGGTGTTCTCTGTGCACGCGCACAATCGCGCACTTTCTGGCATAGGGGGTCTACTCATGGGGAGCTGGCTCTGAATAAAAAAACTGGCTGGGTGTTCTCTGTGCACGCGCACAATCGCGCACTTTCTGGCATAGGGGGCTTACACATAGGGAGCCGAGGGGGCTCTCGATAAGTCGTGTGTCCGTCGGATTTCTTGGCGTCGCCATACTCAAATTTTTCATCGACATTTTCCGATCCCAAATGGATAGGCAAAGCTTATGGTGCACTTCTTTCTTTCTTCTTTCTTTTCTTTCTTTCTTTCTTTCAAAATCTTTTTACTCAAACACTTAGAAACCCGAAAATTTAGTGAAATTCGACTCCTAGAACAAAATGATTCCCCTTGTTTTCTCTTCAAAATCTTCCCTAAAACCCTCTAAACAGAAATGAGCACCCTGAAAGAAACTCTGAGACTAACAAACACCTGATTCATCTAGAGATCTAGAGACCATTCCAAACCAAACCCAAACCAAACCCAAACCTCACTCTTTTCAACCTTGCCAATTTTGCTTCCCTGAGTTCTATTTCGATTTCATGACATCCAGGATTAACAAAAAAGGGAAATTTTTAAAAATTTGGCATTAAGAGAGACCCGTTTTGGCTTTGAGATTGGTGAATTTCGGTAGCTGGATAGATTTCTCAAAAATCGTAGTGCATATGGGTGGATCGAGTGGACGGGGCCGAGTATCTGGAACGCAATTCGATCATTTTTTATATAAAAACGGTAATTTAGTTCAAATTCCTAGTGTACACAGAAGCACCACGTACTCGTTTCAATTCCCAACTCAATTCTTGTTTAAAGTAAAACTTGAGAAACTAAATCGTCGATCTGGAGGTCACAGTTGCTCACAAGAACAAGCCATTTGAAAAACAAGCCATTTGAAAGGCTTTGAAATTGATACCACTTGTTACCTCATTCTTCTCAAGTTGCTCAACTCATTTTTTCTTTTCCATTTTTTTCTGACAGCAGATTATCATTTTTGCTCTGTGCCTGCCAGAATGGCCTTTCCACTCATTTCTTTTCACATTTTGTCATTTTGGTCGCAGAGAAATAAGCGCTCTCTCCACGTAATGCCAAACGAATTGAAGACACGAGTCGTCTCTTAAAGAAAAGGCAAAGAGACCCGTTATCTACGCAAAAAGAGGCCCACCAACCAACTGTTCACACATTAAATTCCTTTAGATTTGAAGCGATGGGCTAGTGCTAAATTAGCACTACTAATAAGCAAAAAAGTTTTATAGCTGGTGAACTTTCTGGTTGTATATAGTAAATTCCGGAATCCTGAAACCAAAATCGGGTATCCTGGAGGTCACCCTAGTGATTTAGATGGATTGCAAAAGTCACAGCTCTTTTTAAACCCGGGGCACAAAGTAGTTTGGTAGCTGGTGAATTTTCTGGCTGTATATAGTAAATTCCGGAATCCTGAAACCAAAATCGGGTATCCTGGAGGTCACCCTGGTGATTTAGATGGATTGCAAAAGTCACAGCACTTTTTAAACCCGGGGCACACTAGTAGTTTGGTAGCTGGTGAACTTTCTGGCTGTACATAGTAAATTTCGGAATCCTGTAACCAAAATCGAGTATCCTGGAGGTCACCCTGGTGATTTAGATGGATCGCAGAAGCTACAGCTCTTTTTAAACCCGGGGCACAAAGTAGTTTGGTAGCTGGTGAACTTTCTGGCTGTACATAGTAAATTTCGGAATCCTGTAACCAAAATCGAGTATCCTGGATGGCACTTTGTTGATTGGATTGGCCACGAGTTGCTGGTTCTCATAGAATCGCGTGAGTATCGCATTTCATCCAACACTCCTGTCCAGTCGCCCTACTCCCTTTCAGGAATAGGCCCAGGGTGTGCCCCTTTCCCAAATTCACTTACAAATCATCCACTTGTCACTCATTTTCCTCTCTTTCAATTCCCGGGCACCAATTTGGAGAAATAATGAAAGCAAGTACCATAACGTCAAAATCGTAAATTCCATAATGTCTCAAATGATCGTAAATGTCTCAATAATATCTGGAAACCTTAGCGTGACATCCAGATCGTCTGAAAAAAAAGAAATCAATAAACTTTTTACATTAAAATCCCCAAATACAGCTCTTCGTCTGAAACAACAATCAGGTAATCGAAAAAATGCAAAATTTTTTGAGTTGCTTGCCTGCAATTGCTTTCCTGACTTCCAGGATTGACAACAAGTGAAGTTTCAGAGATTTTGTGGTCTTCCTTAGCTGCGAATCGGGTTCAAGCTTGTGATGGAGAGCGAGTGACTTTGCATTGTCCTCGGCACACTCATATCCACGTGGATACAGGTTTGGCTTTCAAGAATTAGCATAAGCATTTATTCTCCAGGTTTTTATGGCCGAGTGGTTCCCCCATCGGAACTCTGTCCATCAAGACGGCCTCTTTCCCCCACTCCATCTTCATCATCCTCTCTCCTTCACTCGCATTCACTCACCTGTGATGTCATCCATGCGAAAGCGGTGGGACAGATTTAGTGATATCCAACTTAAAGTCTAGAATAGATAATTTCCCAATTGAGCGCCTACTGGCTTCTAAATTCACTCAAACTCCTCGCCACTAGAACCCATTTGAGCCAGAGTCTTAGATCCAAATCATTCTATGGTAGACAGATTTAGTGATATCCAACTCGAAGCTTTGGATAGATAATTCCCCTATTGAGCGCCTACTGGCTTCTAAATTCACTCAAACTCCTCGCCACTAGAACCCATTTGAGCCAGAGTCTTAGATTCAACTCATTCTATAATAGACAGATGTAGTGATATCCAACTCGAAGCTTTGGATAGATAATTTCCCAATCGAGTGCCTATTGGCTTCTAAATTCACTCAAACTCCTCTCCACTAGACTCCCCTCCCCATCAACCCCTCAATTATCGTATTGGTTCTATTTTCTCGTAAGTGGGGTGCCTTTCTTTCTTTTCTTTTCTCCTTAAGCACCCTTCCTGCTTCATCCCACTCCATTAGGACCCCTTTGGCCATAAAGTTTATGAAATTTCAATATCTACACTCTCGAATTTCACCTGTACCTCTTTGGACGCTTTGGACCAAAGTTTCAGCAAGATTACATAGAAATTCACCTAGTCTAACATAATCGCCGGAAATTCTGGAACGCACAAGAACTCTAGATGAAGTTGTTTTTGGAAAATTTTAGATTTTAAGAATTTGCACTTAAATGCAAATTTGAGAGTTTAAATGCAAATTTGAGAGTTTAAATGCAAATTTGAGAATTTAAATACAAATTCGAGCTTTTAAATGCAAATTTGGGCTTTTAAATGCAAATTTAAGATTTTAAATGCAAATTTGAGCTTTTAAATGCAAATTTAAGCTTTTAAATGCAAACTCGAGCTTTTAAATGCTAATTTGAGCCTTTAAATGCAAATTTCTCGACTTTCGAAAAAAAGACTTTTTTCGAGTGCAAACACTTTTGAGCAAGTGTGATGCTATCCAGGAAACGCATTTCTTTTCGTTTGTTGTAAAGTTGTAAGCCGGGCGGGGTTCTTTTCGCTCAAAGTTGTGAGAAAAAGTGAAACGACTCGGGTTTTGGGGGAGTAGTGCCTCGAAACGAGCTAAAACAATGCCCATTGATCATCCTGGAAGTCAGGACATTGATATCAGGGGATAGAGTTGGCTAAAAGCTAAAATAGCTAAAATAGCTAATAGCTAATAGCTAATATCGATCATGTGTCCAAGGGAACCATGAGTCTTTTGGTCAAGGGTGGCCAATGTCCTAAGGGTCCTAAGGGTCATCCCTTCTTGAGCCCATTCCCCCTTTAAGGCTACAACATAGATAATCGTATTTGTGGGGAAAGGGGTTCCAATTGTGACCACCCAGCTCATTGTCCCCAACCATCTGCCGACCTCCCCAAAAAGTTATCAATAAGTCATTTCACCAATTCGAGAAACCAGTGTGCGCTCCAGTTTAGAGATTTCAACTTTTCAAATTCTCCCAAAGCAGCTAATTTCCGAGAAAAAAGCTCAATCTTGTTGCACAGTACTGAAAAGTCTCTTAAAGTAATGAAAAAGTATAGTAGGCCTATCTAAATAGATCTGAATATAAAAATAAAAGGCCACCTTTCCAGAAACTCTCCGAATTCTGTGACAAACGCCGCAAGTGTACTATCGTTGTTCAAGCATCAACGTTTGAAGAGGATCCCTGCCCGGGAATCGGAAAATATCTACAAATGAGCTACAAATGCAGACCAGGTGAGCGATCTGGAAGTCACACAACACTTTCCCGCAAGAATTGCACCCGTTTTCCATGGGTTTTATTGGTCTCCACTCGGATTTGGGTTCACTGCCAGTTTCTAGTGAACTGGTTGGACGGAAGGCTTCCATACTGCAGAGATAAGCGATCTGGAAGTCACACAACGCTTTCCCGCACGTCTTTTGAAATTCCCAGCAAAATGAATTCTGCATGAAAATTAATGAGTTATTGCCGTAGAAGTCATTAGCATTCAAGAAATTTTCGCTCTTTTCATCCTTTTTCTCTTTTTGATGGAAATCTGGTGTCCAAGAATGGATAAAATGCGGGACTCTAGGGAATTCAGTCAAAAAGGCACCGAGAAATGTGCGAACATCGTGGTGACAGCTTTTTGAGACGAATGCTTAGGAACAGAAAACGGGAAATACAAATGGAAGGGTTTTTTGGGGGATCTGGAAGGCACAGAAGGAAATCTGCTAATAAAATTTCGCTAAATTCAATAGTTGAAAAAGTCCAGTAAGTGTGATAGAAAGCGCGCGTTTGTCAAAGAGCACAAAGTACACGGGAAAAGAGAGCACAAAGTACACGGGAAATAGAACACAAAGTGTGATAGAAAGCGCGCGTTGACAAAGAGCACAAAGTACACTAGAAATTGAGCACAAAGTAAGTGTGATAGAAAGCGCGCGTTTATCAAAGAGCACAAAGTTCACTAGAAATAGAGTGCAAAGTACACAAAGTACACTTAAATTTGCCTTAATTTTCAGTCTCCTTCGAAACAGCCTCTTTCTGCGAGGGTGAACAAATGGGAATCGAGTGTCGAGAGGGGAAAAAGTTGAGCATTCAATCAGCTACATGGATCGTATGTTCATTTAAATCAAATCTTTCAATTCCAAATCTTTCTTCAATGCTTCCAATGCCTTCCAACAAGCCAATTTTACAGAAAGGCTCATCCGATGGGAAATGTTTAACCGAAAGCGGCTCCAGTCTCTCAAAAGAAATCCAGAATCGAGGTAAAAAGCTGAAAGAACAAAATCTTAATCAAAAACCTTCCCTAAATCTTGTGTGACATCCAGTTTGGCTAAAAAAGCTGAATTTAAGTTCAAGGCTGCTTCCAGGGTCGAATAATTCTCCCAGCCCTCTAGCACCCATTTCCCTCAAAATTCAATTATCAAGTCTTCTTGTTCAATTCTTGGCAATGGATTTGGTGACATCCAAGACCCTCATCAGAACAGAAAACTAATCGAATCTACCCCAATCTATTCGCGAATCAGCGACGAAGATGAATCAAGGGATGTCAAAGCCTTAGAAATGCTCTACTAAAAGAGAGCATTTCTCAGCTACTAAAAGAAACAGTTATAGTGCCACCCAGGACACCAATTTTTCAATCCAAACATCCAGGTTGTTCTCGAGACGTCCTTCTCGAATTGCTGAGATGTCATGGACAGAGTCAATGCTCAATGCCGCTCACCGAAACGCAATTCGGAAAGGCAAAATGTTTTTCGAAAGCCTTGTACTCACTTCATGTCTCATTTGTTTGCGGTAAAGGTTATCGAGATTTAAATCGATTTATTTTCTTTCAGTAAACGATGAGATATTCAGTGAAGAGACGCTAAAAGGAGAACTCGATTACAGTTTGAATAAAAAGGTTAAAGATTTCAAATTTTTTAAATTTTTTGATTAATCTGGAAGTCACTAGAGCTTTTTAAAATAAAATTTCTTAAATTTTGTTAAATTTACAATTTTTTAGCTTTGAGAGTTTAAATGCAAATTTGAGAATTTAAATGCAAATTTGGGCTTTTAAATGCAAATTTGAGCTTTTAAATGCAAATTTGAGCTTTTAAATGCAAATTTGAGAGTTTAAGTGCAAATTTGAGAGTTTAAATGCTAATTTGAGAGTTTAAATGCAAATTTGAGAGTTTAAGTGCAAATTTGAGAATTTAAATGCAAATTTGAGAGTTTAAATGCAAATTTGAGAGTTTAAATGCAAATTTGAGAGTTTAAATGCAAATTTGAGAATTTAAATGCAAATTTGAGCTTTTAAATGCAAATTTGAGAGTTTAAATGCAAATTTGAGAGTTTAAATGCAAATTTGAGAATTTAAATGCAAATTTGAGCTTTTAAATGCAAATTTGAGAGTTTAAATGCAAATTTGAGAGTTTAAATGCAAATTTGTGAGTTTAAATGCTAATCTGAGAATTTAAATGCTAATTTGAGCTTTTAAATGCAAATTTGAGAGTTTAAATGCAAATTTGAGAATTTAAATGCAAATTTGAGAGTTTAAATGCAAATTTGAGAGTTTAAATGCAAATTTGAGAGTTTAAATGCAAATTTGAGAGTTTAAATGCAAATTTGAGAGTTTAAATGCTAATTTGAGAGTTTAAATGCAAATTTGAGAGTTTAAATGCTAATTTGAGAGTTTAAATGCTAATTTGAGAGTTTAAATGCAAATTTGAGAGTTTAAATGCAAATTTGAGAGTTTAAGTGCAAATTTGAGAGTTTAAATGCAAATTTGAGAGTTTAAATGCAAATTTGAGAGTTTAAATGCAAATTTGAGAGTTTAAATGCTAATTTGAGAGTTTAAATGCAAATTTGAGAGTTTAAATGCTAATTTGAGAGTTTAAATGCAAATTTGAGAGTTTAAATGCAAATTTGAGAGTTTAAGTGCAAATTTGAGAGTTTAAATGCAAATTTGAGAGTTTAAATGCTAATTTGAGAGTTTAAATGCAAATTTGAGAGTTTAAATGCAAATTTGAGAGTTTAAATGCAAATTTGAGCTTTTAAATGCAAATTTGAGAATTTAAATGCTAATTTGAGAATTTAAATGCTAATTTGAGAATTGAGAATGGGTAATTGATTTGAGAATGGGTAATTGAACCAATTGTTTTAATTTATTTAATTTCTTTTTTTCTAGTACATTGAGGGCTCTGGAACTGAATGGGAAGATGTAAAAGAAGAAAGAAATCAAAGAATTCATCAATCATCAATCATACAATCGTCCAAGAGATCAGATGAGAAGAAACGAGATGAGAAAACTTCATCGCAAGAAGTAATATGGAATTTCTGAACACTCTGGCATTTCTAAAGCTGCCAAGATTCAATCTGGAACTCACACTAACCTTTCATCTCAAACTTTCATCTCAAAATTCATTTTAGAAATCAAATTCTTTGAGACAAGTACCGATTGTTGGCCTCGGAGGGCTGGCATCGGAAAAGCTGAAAGAAGCCATTGAACCGAAAGAGATCACTGTTGAAGAACATATTGGCATGCATTCTTTCGAATTCAACAATATTTAAGAGATTTTAGAGCATTCAATGAGTGACCTCTTCTCACCTTCACAATCCAGAGGCTCAGGGCCTCGAATCTCTGAAGAACCTCCAGCTTTGCTTAGTGATTCCGGTAATCTGGATGTCACAATAGATAATGAAAGAGAGATTCAGCTGTTAAACCGGTCGTGGAAGAAGTCGCTCGTGAACACCCAAATCTTGTCGGCATTGCACATGACGTTTTTCTAATCACGAAATTTTTTGGGGGTTTGTTTTTTAGGCAATCTGGATGTCACAAAGGAGAAAGGAGAGATTTTAAAGTTTTAATTCAGAACATGGAGAAGAGACACTTTGGGTGATTGGGATCGCGATCACTTTGTGTGTCTGTTGTCCATTAGCGTTTTGCCTCTGCTTGTGCAGGTGGGTTTTTAGGCTGTCCAGAGCTGTCCAGAGCTGGCCAGAGCATTATTTTCCATTCAAACACCATTTCCTAGAGCCTCCAAAGTGAAGAAGAGCAGCTCTGATGGGAAACTCCGATATTCGATTGAGACGAGTCAACTTTTCGCTAAGGGCAGTCAAAGTGAGTCTAATCTTTACTGTGACCTCCAGATCCAACAAATCCAATAAAATCTCCAATAATCTCTTCATCTCTTTCAGTGCTTGACGGCCCGTCCCATCTCGTTGATATCGGCGATCTACCTGAGGAGACTTTCATTCGGTTGGTGTTCTTCATTTTGTCATGTGCCTTCCAGATTAGCCATTTTTCATTGAAGAGAGCTGGATTCTTTACCCAGTCCTGTTAAAAGTCGACGAGTACGTGGTGCTTCTGTGTACACTAGGAATTTGAACTAAATTACCGTTTTTATATGAAAAAAGATCGAATTGCGTTCCAGATACTCGGCCCCGTCCACTCGATCCACCCATATGCACTATGATTTTTGAGAAATCTACCCAGCTACCCAAATTCACCAATCTCAAAGCCAAAACGGGTCTCTCTTAATGCCAAATTTTAAAAATTTCTTTTTTTTGTTAATTCTGGATGTCATGAAACAGGAATACGGGTTTTTTGTTTCAATTTTTTTCATTTAAAAAAATTGGTGCCTTTTAGCATTCAGAGATTACTGTAATTTATTTGTCTTTTAAAAAAAAGATAAATCTTTATTCAATTTCTAAAATTATTCTAAAATTGAGCAATTTTGCAACTAATTAGAAAGGCAGTGAAAGAATTAAATGCAAATTAAAAAAGAGACAGATTAGACAGACAGACAGACAGTCTAGACAGTTCAGACAGATTACTGTCAAGGCAAGAAAAAGATTGGCTGATTTTTTCGGGTAAAATTAAAGATTCTAGCCCTGATTTGGAATGCATTTCGAAAATTGGAAGTCACAATAAAATCTAGAATCAAAATTTTGAAGAAAAGACAAATTTTAGACAAAGGTCAGGGTCACCTGGGGGTACTGTATCTTGGGCACTGTATAGCACTGTATAGTACTGTAAATATCGTTTATTGTCGTCCGTACCATGGCCAATACGAGTAAGCGTAAGGATTGCCGACATTTGAGAGCTAAAATTGAATGGAAAACTTTTTCAAATCGAATTCCCAAAACCTCTTGCGATTTCGAAGCCTGCGTATCATTGTAAACTCGTTTCGCGTTTTTGTTCGCCTAAAATTTTCCATAATTTCTTGTGCATTCCAATTTGATGATCTGTGCAATAAAATCTCTAAGTCTTTGATAGATCTGCGAGAAAATCGCCCAGTCCTCTTTCGCTCTCTTGGTCGAGTCTCTCGGGAGCCTCTCCGGAGTCTCTCGGTTCCTCGGGAGTCTCTCGGGAGCCTAGGGGTCATCTCAAATTCCTAGATATACCCAAATCGTTTACCCCTTTCCCTATGAAGGAAGCTATGCGGCTGGAATCTGGGACAGAGATTTGTCTCTGACTCTCTTCAGTGATCATATCAATGAACCATTCATTTCTCTCCTTTCCCAAACCCCTCAAGGGTTTGGGAAAGGCTCAAGGACAGTCTCAAGCCCAACTATGGACATCACACTAGCGCTAGGAAGTGATAAAATAGACAAACCAACGACAAAATCGGGATCTCTGTTTCAAGGGAGGTTTCAGGTTTTCAAATCACTAGGGTGACCTCCAGAATACCCGATTTTGGTTACAGGATTCCGGAATTTACTATAGACAGCCAGAAAATTCACCAGCTACCAAACTACTTTGTGCCCCGGGTTTAAAAAAGTGTTGTGACTTCTGTAATCCGTCTAAGTCATCAGGGTGACCTCCAGGACGCTCGATTTTGGTTACAGGATTCCGAAATTTACTATAGACAGCCAGAAAATTCACCAGCTACCAAACTACTCTAACTCTAACTCGTCTACTCTAACTAACTGATGATCTCATCAAAAATCCATAAGAAAATAAAGCTAGTATAAGAAAATTAAAAATATCTATCTGAAAAATAGCAAATTTTCGAGAGAGGGATTCGAACTTACGAAAAGAAGACCCCGATCATTTTCTAAACAAGCGCACTAACCGTTAGACCAGGACGGCCGTTTACCAAACAGCGTAAACTCGGTCTAAGACTCTGAGCTGTGCTTCTTCTTTCAACCACTTTCAAAATTTGAAATCCGTCTTTTGCAATCCGTCTAAATCACCAGGGTGACCTCCAGGATACCCGATTTTGGTTACAGGATTCCGAAATTTACTATGTAGGGCCAGAAAATTCACTAGCTACCAAACTACTTTGTGTCCAGGGTTTAAAAGTGCTGAGGAAAGAATAGAAGAAAAGAAGAGTATCCAGCTTTCTTCTAATTCTTAGTATTTATTAAGAATCAACAAAAACAGACCCTCTTTGCTTGAATACACGAGCAACAAGTGGCTATGCACATTGGAATTGTAAAGAAAAGTGTGGACAAAGCAGCTGCCAGAATAACGATCAATGCGATTTGAGCCAAAACAGCAATTCGGAGACCGCACTGAAATTTGAATTCACTTTGAATCCTTCCATTCACTTTCTTCACTCACCCGAAGATGACAAGCTGGTCGTTGCTCTTCTTTCAAACTCTTGAATGCTTCGATACATTCACCAGTGGTGAACCATGACTTGTAGACCTGGAAAGAGTTGAAGCTGGATGTCACACAAGCTTTTGAACTCACATTATCGCACTCATCGTTGCATCGAGCTCGCGAGTTGTTCAATGAAGTAAAGTAGCTGGAAGGTTTTTTGGGTGATATTTTCTTTAAAACTCTAAGATCATCATTTAAAACACCGATCTGGAAGGCAAAAAGAAAGTTTAAGCCTTTTAAAATTCAAAATTTTAAACTCGAATTTTTCAGTACATAGCTGGAAGGTTTTTTGGATGATATTTGCTTTTAAACTTTAAAATCATCATTTAAAACATCGATCTGGAAGGCAAAAAGAAAGTTTAAGCCATTTAAAATTCAAAAATTTGGACCAGAAATTTTTCAGTTAATAGCCCGGATCAATTACCCAACTCTTCTACTCCAAAAAAAATTCTTTAAATCTTTTTACACTTTTTCGATTTTCAACATTTTACATGCGTTCCAGAATCCAGGAATTGATGGTCTGTGAAGCGATTGAGCGAAAGGCTCTTCCCATTTTCACTCAAACTTTTCCCTTCGGTGTTCAATCGACCGTGTTTCTTTCGATGTTCGCCTATCGATAGACGACCGACTTGGGCGCCTTCCCTGACACCCATCTAAGCGTTTCCCGAAAAAAACGAGAGAACTTTTCACTAGTTTTTGCGAGATTTCTCCTCAAACTCTTCAGCGCACTTGTCACTCTCAAAAATTTTTTAATAAAAACGTGGAAAATTGAAAAATGACAGGATTTTGATTGAAATGATTTCCTTGATTTTCTTGCTTTTCTTCTCTTTCTACTCAAAATCGATCAATAGTTTGAGGAAAAAAATCGGGTCAAAATCTGTCTTTTTCATGCCAGCCTGAGCCCTATGTGGTCGAGATCGCGGATCGAGATACGTGAGCAAGGATTTGCGAGATACGAGTGTAATGAACTTTTTTGGACTATCTGGAAGGCACGCTAGCTAGATGAAGAATTGTTTTGAGTTAGGATTGAAAATTCAGAAATTGGTTTTGAGCCAAAACAGGTCGCTGACTTTTCTATGAAAACCGAGAGGATCTAGAAACTTTCAAAACATTTTTTGGACTATCTGGAAGGCACACTAGCTATGTGAAGAATTGTTTTGAGTCAGCATTGAAAATTCAGAGATTTCTTTTGAGCCAAAAAAGGTCGCTGACTTTTCTGTGAAAATCGAGAGGATCTTGGAACTTTCAAAACATTTTTTGGACTATCTGGAAGGCACACTAGCTAGATGAAGAATTGTTTTGAGTCAGCATTGAAAATTCAGAAATTGGGTTTGAGCCCTAACAGGTGGTCGAGTTTTCTGTGAAAATCGAGAGGATCTAGAAACTTGCAAAACTTTTTTTGGACTATCTGGAAGGCACACTAGCTATGTGAAGAATTGTTTTGAGTCAGCGTTGAAAATTGAGAAATCAGTTTTGGACCAAAAAGACTATCGACTTTTCTACCAAAATCGAGAGGGTCTTCGAACTTTTAAAGCTTTTTTTGGACATTCTGGAACGCATGTTAATGGCTGAGCACGTTAGTTTTCAAAATTTCACTCTTGAGTCAGAAATGGATTTGTTGTTGAGAGATTTGAGAAATTGTCAAACGGTTGTCGCTGACTGGCTCTGTTCTGTTGGTTGGATCGAGAGTGATTCGAGAAGAGAAAAGGGGGGAAAGGAATGACCTTGAATACCTTCAATCCCGCAAAATGAGCATTTTACTGTTTACTGCAATAGCCAGCAAAAAAAGAAGGAAAAGTTTTGCGATTGAATTGATGAAAAACAAAATTTGTCCCAATCACCCCGCCCTTCCGGTTATTGTTCTCTAGTGGAGTTTATTGTCAAATCTTCAACTCAATATATCAGCATCTACCAACCCAGGCGCACAAATGCACTCTCGTCCATTGAACATCTCATTGTCGGCACAAAGTGGACGATCTGTAACGAGATGGGACTTGGGAATACTTGCAAAAGGTAAACTGGCAAGCACAGCACTCACCCTGAGCCATTGCTCCAGCGAAAAGAAGACTGGCTAGAATCCACCACATGATCGCTAAAAGATTGGCTGAATATCTTAAAAAAAGAGAAGGAAATCCAACAAAATAAAGTGTTATTTGTGTATGCTGGATGTCAGAAAAGGTGCGGGGAATGATTTTGGGTGGGTTGGAAGAGATCGAGGGGTGAAGGGTTGGTGCGGTAAAAGATTGGCTGAATATCTTAAAAAAAGAGAAGGAAATCCAACAAAATAAAGTGTTATTTGTATATACTGGATGTCAGAAAAGGTGCGGGGAATGATTTTGGGTGGGTTGGAAGAGATCGAGGGGTGAAGGGTTGGTGCGGTAAAAGATTGGCTGAATATCTTTAGAAAAAGAAGGAAATCCAACAAAATAAAGTGTTATTTGTATATACTGGATGTCAGAAAAGGTGTGGGAAATGATTTCGGGTGGGTTGGAAGAGATCGAGGGAGGGGCAACCGCTCGATCTCTCCACATCGAAACTCCGCCTTCTCCGATCTCTCATCCCCGTTCTCCCGATCTATTTTTCCCCCAAAATGGGAAACCGATTGATTAAGCTATCTAGTTTCAAGGAATTTCTCAATTTTGTTCTTAAAAAGAAAGGGTTAATAATTTTTGAAACACGAAAGGGATTTTTGAGATCTGAGATTTGAGAGCAACGCCATAAAATCGTCTAAATTTTAGAAAAAACAATTTGAACAAAGAAAATGATCGATCTGGAAGGCACACTAGCTTTTGGAGTAGGATTTGAAGCGCTTTTTAGTATTTAGTCTTAGCATTTAGTCGACTAAAAAGATTGGCGTCATTTGGGCTCAAAAAATTTTCGTCGATCGAAAAGAGACACTTTTTCTGTGATTCTGGACAACACGATAAGCAAATAGGCAATTGAAATCTCAAAACCATACCATCTTTTTCTTTTCGTAACATTCATTCAATTGTTCGTTCTTTTCTCCATCACCGTCTTCCCTTTTCTTTCCCATCTTCGTTCATTTTTTCGCCACAAACAACAACGATTCATTTGTTACTTTCTAGCAATCGATTTTCATCATTTTAAACTTATGACTGGTTGAAACAGGCTTCCTAGCCTAACCAAACTCAACTACTTTGTACCCAGGGTTTAAAAACTGCTGTGACTTCTGCAATCCATCTAAATCAGCAGGGTGACCTCCAGGATACACGATTTTGGTTACAGGATTCCGGAATTTACTATAGACAGCCAGAAAATTCACCAGCTACCAAACTACTTTGTGCCCCGGGTTTAAAAAGTGCTGTGACTTCTGCAATCGGTCTAAGTCACCAGGGTGACCTCCAGGATGCTCGATTTTGGTTACAGGATTCCGGAATTTACTATAGACAGCCAGAAAATTCACCAGCTACCAAACAATTTTTTCCCCAGGGTTTAAAAACTGCTGTGACTTCTGCAATCCATCTAAATCATCAGGGTGACCTCCAGGATACACGATTTTGGTTACAGGATTCCGGAATTTACTATAGACAGCCAGAAAATTCACCAGCTACCAAACTACTTTGTACCCAGGGTTTAAAAAATGCTGTGACTTCTGCAATCCATCTAAATCACCAGGGTGACCTCCAGGATACACGATTTTATTTACAGGATTCCGGAATTTACTATAGACAGCCAGAAAATTCACCAGCTACCATCGTTCGTTCTTTCCCACCCTCTCCCCCAATTTTTTTGACAATTTTCTTTCCCATCTTCGTTCATTTTTTGCGCCACAAACAACAACGATTCATTTGTTACTTTCCAGCTATCGATTTTTCATCATTTTAAACTTATGATTTTTATGAAATAATAAAAATAAATATTTATGCATGAAATCTTTGTGAATGGCCAAGGGAAAACGATCAATGAATCGAGAATTATGCAAATTTATTGAAGGAGGTGGGGGTATTAGAGTACCCAAAACAATGGGGTCCTCTAGTTGCAGACGCTTCTCCACAAAATCACCCACAGCATCCGCCCTTCTTCGGCGGACCCTTTGTCAGCACCACCCCACTCGCTTTCACTTCCACATCCTCCACGGCGAGCATTTCCCTGGAAATTTTCCTCTGAGTACGGAACGCTACAAAGTCCGAATAGCTAGAAATGCGTAGATTTTGGTTATTTAGACTCTGTGACATCCAGGATCGAGTCTGCCTTATGAACCTTCTTCAAAATTTGCATTTATCTATAGTTTAACTGAGAGTACGGAACGTTCCAAAGTCCGAATAGCTAGAATTTCGATTAATGGTGTGGATTTTGGTTATTTAGACGCTGTGACATCCAGGATCGACTTTGGCTTATGAAACTACTTCAAAATTTCCATTTATCTATAGTTTAGCTGTGAGTACGGGGCGCTCCAAAGTCCGGATAGCTAGAATTTCGATTAATGGTGTAGATTTTGGTTATTTAGACTCTGTGACATCCAGGATTGACTCTGAGCCAATAAACAGACCCTTAAAATGTTCAGCTATCGGCCAGAATCTACTGGACAGCAAAATCTGGAGGAAAGTAGAATTTGGAGGAAAGTAACAGCGACAGTATCCTACTCAACGACTTTAATGACATCCAAGATTGCCTTTAAAAGCGAAATTAGGTGAAATGGGTAATCCAGAAGAGATTTCTGTACCTAGTCAACGTGTGCACAACCGGGTCCACATTGTTCCCATCCAAAGCGCTCGTCTCAGAGAAAAGGACACCCATTTTCTAGAAAGTGCTTTGGTTTTGATTTGATTTTGCTGACAAACCGCAGCTAGGGTTGAGCCTTGATTCGCTGAAATGACAGCTCTCCCACTGTCCCTTAAATCACTCTTATTCGCAAGGAGAACAATCGGAATTGGACGTTCGACTGCTTCCTGAAACATTATCGTTATTTTAAAGCTGATAGAAAGCTGATAGAAAGCTAATGACTTAGGCTTTAGCTTTACCTGAATCGTTTCCATCCAATGTCGAACTCTTAAGAAAGATTGTTCACTCGATACATCGTAAACCAAGATTGCTCCATCAGCTCGTCGAAAATAGCTCTTACATAAAGAACGAAATCTGGAAACACTAAGCTGGATGACACAATAATTAAATAAAATAAAAAAACGAGGTCTTATCATCAAGATTTTTTGGGGCAGCTACGCAATCGCTCAGCCCTCAGGCTTCGGGGCAGCTACGCAGGCTTTTTTAGAAATCTGAAAACGCTAAGCTGGATGACACAATAATTAAATAAAATAAAAAAATGAGGCCTTAGCATCACGATTTTTTGGGGCAGCTACGCAATCACCCTTGCTCTTCAGCCCTCAGGCTTCGGGGCAGCTACGCAGGCTTTTTTAGAAATCTGGAAACGCTAAGCTGGATGACACAATAATTAAATAAAATAAAAAAATGAGGCCTTAGCATCACGATTTTTTGGGGCAGCTACGCAGCTCTTCAGCTCTTCAGCTCAGGCTTTGGGGCAGCTACGCAGGCTTTTTAGAAATCACTTTTTCAGCCAAAATCTCTTCTTAAAACTCCTTGTGACATCCAAATCGTCTATAGCTCTTCTATCAAGCCTCTCTTATCCAGCGCTTCAGCACTCAGGCTTTGGGGCAGCTACGCAGACTAAGCTAAGCACTAAGAAGTCACTTTTTCAGCCAAAATCTCTTCTTAAAAGTCCTTGTGACATCCAAATTGGCCAAAGGAGTCTAGAGGAGTCTAACAAACCTCTCTTGTCCAGCGCTTCAGCTCAGGCTTTGGGGCAGCTACGCAGGTTTTTTTAGAAATCACTTTTTAAGCCAAAATCTTTTCTTAAAACTCCTTGTGACATCCAAATCGTCTATAGCTCTTCTATCAAACCTCTCTTGTCCAGCAGTATCCCACAATTGTAGAGCGACCACTTTCCCGTCGTGTTTCACTGTTTTTACATGGAAATCAACGCCTAGAAGAAGTTTTGATAGAAAATTAGATAATTTGCTTTCTAGATTACCCAATGTTGATGGTAAATTTGATAGAAATTGCCCGTTAACGATACGATTCACCAACGAACTCTTTCCCACCGCTGCATCACCGCACCTAGAAACCTTTTTTTCTCTAAACCTTTTTCTGAACAAATTCTCTAAACCCATTTTCTAGTGTGCACTCCAGATCGCTTGAAATCTCAAACAAATTCTCTAGATTCTACAAAACATCACCCACATCACCACTCGAAACGTTCGCTCGGCCACTGCGCCTGATGGGACGACTTCCTGAAAGGTTTAGGGGGGTTTTGAGCAATCCTGGAATACAGCTAAGGTTCTGTTTCTTACCGGTGTCACGAATTGTACTTTTTGTTGTGTTCGTTCATCGATGTCACTACTCTCGTAACCCATCGCAAGACCACTGTCAGCTGAAAGAGATATTTTAAAGCCATTTTCTACTGTGCATTCCAGATCTCTTGATATCGGTATCAGATTGTTAGATTGTTCAGTTGGATATTAACTTAGGGCTTAGAACGTGAGCTGACATTGGAGCTTTGACATTAGAGCTTTCACAGAGCTTCCCCATCAGCCTTATCTCTATCAGCTGACAGAGAACCTAATGACACAAACAAACCCTCTTCATCAGACATTCTTGTGCTATATGTTGGACTTAATAAAATCTGTGATGGTCGTTCTTGAGTCGGTGATTGGAATGGCTGTGGAGATGGCCGGGGTGAAGGTGATCGCTGAAAGCTTTCTATTCATCAAAGCCAATCCCATTCTACCAGATGAAACTCGTGCACAATTGATTTCCTTTTGTTCAAAGCTTGTCGAAGGGTTTCATTCGTTTCAGCCAATTTTCGATTCGCGTCGCTAAAAGATTGGCGGGTTTTCCCTTCAAAAACTTTCGTTTTTCTAACTTTCTTCGCTATTTTGGTCACTTCTGGAACCCAACTTAGCCACTAAGACTTACAAAAGTAGTTGTAATTGTTTGTGAACTTGTTCCGAGTCGGAGTTGGCGGCTCGTTCACGCTCCATTTCACTGGCCAATTGCATTCGCTTTGCATCGTAATCTGCTCGAGTTTGTGCCAATTCGGATTTGATTACTGCAAGCTCGAGCTGATTTTCAGCCATATTTCGTCGCAATTCGACATTCTCTGTAGAGATCTCCTAAAATAAACGAAATTGTAGTTCCTTATCTTTGCAGCTCTTAAAAACTGTTCGCTATTTCGCGGATAAACAACTAAAAAGCTACTGTGCCCTCCAGAATTTGAGGTTTTAAGGGAATTTGGTACTTTCAGAACTCTCATCCCCTTACCCTCAAGGTTTTAGGGTCCAACTACAGTACTCCGACAAATTAAAAGGCTTTTTGTGCATCCTGGCACGCACCAGTGCTAGTCTGAATTTCAAAAAAGTGTTTCGAAGAAGTTTCAGTTGATCAATGGTAGCTGGGAGGTAAAAGCTGCTCAAATTACAGTACCCCGACAAACAGAAGAGATTTTCGGGCATTCTGGAGAGCACTACAAACGCTCATAATATCAAAAAGGTGTTTCGAAGAAGTTTCAGTTGATCTGCTTCAGTTGATCAGTAGCTGGGAGGTAAAATCTGCTCAAATTACAGTACTCCGACAAACAGAAGAGATTTTCGGGCATTCTGGAGAGCACTACAAACGCTCGCAATATCAAAAAAGTGTTTCGAAGAAATTCGTGTTGGATCAATTACGCAACTCTGGACTAAACAGTGAAATTTCACTCGCCACTTCCGTTTCTATCGACTAAAAAGCTACTGTGCCCTCCAGAACTTAAGAATCTTGTATTTCCAAGGGCTATCCATCTCTCAAAAACCCACATGTAGCTGTGATCTCAATTCATTGGCCGCTCCTCTCCTCTGTCCTTCCCTCTCCAGCAGTGCCTCGACCTGAGCTTTCTTTTTCTCTCTGCCCTCTTTTCTCAATGTGCAATTACCCTCTGCAATCTGTCGATATTGTCTCTCATCTCCCTCATCTCCATTTCCATCTTCTCTTTCATCATTTCTTTCTCTTTCTCAAGCCGATCGCGTTCCTGAAATTTATTTTATTTTTCTTGAATCAAGAATCCTCATGTCAAAGGAAGTAACAGCGTAACGTAGCGTAACGTAGCGTAGCGTAACGTAACGTAACGTAACGTAGCGTACGTTTAAAGATACGTTTAAATTTTGCTAGATCTATGCACTAGATTTTACATAGAAATTTTGAAATTAACATGATTTAGTTGCTTGTAGATCTACTGCAGATCTGTTTTAGATCTATTGTATCATTATATTTCTATTCTTAAAGCTCGGGCTTATTAAAGCTAGTCTAAGAGTAGAAAGATTCAGCTAAAGAGATTAGAAAAGGAAAGCCTGTGTTGAGTGGACTGTGTCGATTTTCAGAAAACTCACCATCTGGCACACGGTCTCTACACGGTCTCTACACAAGGCTTTGATTGTCCCAATCTTGTAGTGGCTAGTTTAAGTGTATCTAACTTGTAAGGAATTCGGATATTCGACGTTACGGTCAACTAAAGTGATATCCAGACTCGACAGTTCGGGGCTAATTGAGCCATTCTGATGCATTAGAAGGCTTGGATTGCTCCAATCTTGTAGTGGCCAGTTTGAGTATATCTAACTTGTAAGGAATTCAGATATTTGACGTTGCAGTCAACTAAAGTGATATCCAGATTCGACAGTTCGGGGCTAATTGAGCCATTCTGATGCACTAGAAGGCTTGGATTGCTCCAATCTTGTAGTGGCCAGTTTGAGTATATCTAACTTGTAAGGAATTCAGATATTTGACGTTGCAGTCAACTAAAGTGATATCCAGATTCGACAGTTCGGGGCTAATTGGGCAATTTTGATCTACTGGAAGGCTTTGACTGCCCCAATCTTGTAGTGGCTAGTTTAAGTGGATCTAAAATGTAGAGAATTCGGTTATTTTACGTTTAGATCAATTAAAGTGATATCCAGCTTAGACATTTTGATGATAATTGAGCAATTCTGATGGAAACGAAGGCTTGGATTGCTCCAATCTTGATTTGACCACATTTTCACTCTCGCATTTGTTTGAAAATTGACCCAAATTGGCTTATAAAGATAGAAAAATGATTTCTAAACATTTTCTTTAATGGCAAAGGATTAGAAGCCGCGTAAAATATCAAGGAATTAACGAAATAAGCTCTCCCACCTCCAGCCTCGCTTTCCTTTCAGCGATCAACAACTGCTCGTCGATCTCGGTCTCGATATCCTCCATTCGCCGATTGTACATCTCCTTTTCGCTGAAAATTTTAAATTTTTTGTTTAATCTGGAGGTCAGCAGGGTTTTATAGAAGATTAGAGAAGATTAGAAAAGATTTTAGAAAAAATTTTATATTACCAAGAATTACCGCAAAAACTTTTTGGAAAAGTATCTGGGAAATGTCTAATTTATTTCAAAAGTGGTAAGTGTTATTTAGAGAATTGTAGGCCTGGCTCTTGGCTACATTTATCTACAAAAAACATCCCGATTAGACTTCTACAACTCATTTAACAAGCGTTTGAATGAGCGCTAGTTGGATTTCGACAGCGCCAGTCGACTAGCGCTCATTCAAGCGCTTGTTAAATGAGTTGTAGAAGTCCAATCGCGATGTTTTTTGTATATAAATGTAGCCAAGATTCAGGACTACAATTCTCTAAATAACACTTGCCACTTTTGAAATAAATCTGAAATAAATTACTCTTCCAAAAAGTTTTTGCGATAATTCTTGGTCATCCTGTAGATTTCTGTAGAAGATTTCTGTAGAAGATCTCTCTATTTCTCTTTTTGTTCAATCTGGAGGTCAGCAGGGTTTTATAGAAGATTTTAGAATAGATTTCTCTCAATTTCCCTTCCAACTCACTTCGTGTACACGTGCTGCAATCGTTCGTTCTCTTCTTTGTGTCCCTGGATTTCGCGACAGAATTTCCCGACAACTCGCTCGAATTTCCCCAACAATTGGGGCATTCCAGTCGTTTGGAGTTGCTCGTACAAAGCGATCACCTCGTCTTGGCTGAATTTGAGGTTTTAAGGGAATTTGGTACTTCCAGAACTCTCATACCCTTCCCCTCAAGGTTTTAGGGTCCAACTACAGTACTCCAACAAAGTAAAAGGCTTTTTGTGCATCCTGGCACGCACCAGTGCTAGTCTGAATATCAAAAAAGTGCTTCGAAGAAGTTTCAGTTGATCAACGGTAGCTGGGAGGTAAAAGCTGCTTAAATTACAGTACCCCGACAATCAGAAGAGATTTCCGGGCATTCTGGAGACCAGCACAAACACTCGCAATATCAAAAAGGTGTTTCGAAGAAGTTTCAGTTGATCTGTTTCAGTTGATCAGTAGCTGGGAGGTAAAAGCTGCTCAAATTACAGTACCCCGACAATCAGAAGAGATTTCCGGGCATTCTGGAGGTCAGCACAAATGCTCGAAATATCAAAAACGCGTTTCGAAGAAGTTTCAGTTGATCTGTTTCAGTTGATCAGTAGCTGGGAGGTAAAAGCTGCTTAAATTACAGTACCCTGACAATCAGAAGAGATTTTCGGGCATTCTGGAGGTCAGCACAAACACTCGCAATATCAAAAAGGTGTTTCGAAGAAGTTTGAGTTGATCTGTTTCAGTTGATCAGTAGCTGGGAGGTAAAATCTGCTCAAATTACAGTACCCCGACAATCAGAAGAGATTTTCGGGCATTCTGGAGGGCAGCACAAACACTCGCAATATCAAAAAAGGTGTTTCGAAGAAATTGGTGTTGGATCAATTACGCAACTCTGGACTAAACAGTGAAATTTCACTCGCCACTTCCGTTTCTATCGACTAAAAAGCTACTGTGCCCTCCAGAACTTGAGAATATTTTATTTTCAAGGGCTTTCCATCTCTCAAAAACCCACATATAGCTGTGATCTGAATTCATTGACCGTTCCCCTCTTGGTTAAAGGTTATCGTCTATGGAGAAGCATATCTTATCAGAATTCTAAGAATAGCTAGCCTAAGCCTTTCGAAAATCTCACCAAGGCATCGAGAAATCGATCCTTTCCCGATCGCTCTCTGAATAATAGCATTCCTCTTGATAACCCGCATAATTTCGATTCTAGAAATCCTTATTTCAATCTCCATTTGCATCTGTGCCTTCCAGAACCTGTGTTTCCAATCGGAGTTGTCTTCTGGACGAGTTCCCATCCGATTCATAAACCTCTTCTCGTGCCGACGCTCGACTCGCTAGCCCATTGCAACCTAAAGACAATCGTCGAATTCTTCTCCATCCTTCCACTGACCACTCTGCTCAGCGCGTGCAACAGTAGCCAAAAATCCATGTAGAAATTCGTCTTTCTCGATTTTTCCCGATCCATCTGTATCCAATGAGGCGAAAATGAAAGCAATATCCTGGAAAAAAAAGATTGGGGACTTTAAACCTGATTCGGTTACGCAAAACAATTTCGAAATCTTTTTAATCGGCTTTCTGGAGGTCACACTACATACCTGATTGTCTAGTTGAGGGCAAACGGCTTTCAAATCGGACTCGGTCAAGTATCTAAAAAGATATTCAGTTATTAAATGGAATATTTCTTAAGTCTCGAATTAAAGATGGAAATTTGTATGGAAATTGGATGCAAATTTGTATGCAAATTTGTATGCAAATCGTATGCAAATTAGATGCAAATTTGTATGGAAATTGGATGCAAATTTGTATACAAATTCGTATGCAAATTTATATGCTAATTTGTATGCAAATCATATGCAAATTTGTATACAAATCGTATGCAAATTTGTCTGCAAATCGTATGCAAATTTTTATACAAATTCGTATGCAAATTGGATGCAAATTTTTATACAAATTTGTATACAAATCGTATGCAAATTTGTCTGCAAATCGTATGCAAATCAAATCAAATCCAATTCGTATGCAAATTTAATCAAATTCTCTAATTTCACCAATCAACCATACCCCTTTCTGCCTCGATCGCATTGATGAAAGAGTCGCTCCGTCTCAGCATCTTCCATCTTTCTCTATTTTCTTTTCTAAAGCGATTTTCGGTGATCCTGGAGCGCAAAGAGCATTTAGAAATCGAGAAAAACTCCAATTTTCAAAAATCTTCAATTTGAGAGAAAGTTCCTTATCGCTGAAAAAATCGACGTCATCACTAGGCTGCCCAGGGAAAAGGAAAAGCTATTTTCAGAGATTTCACAAAAAATCTGGAACGCACAGGGAAAATCTGGGCAATTTTGAACAAAAACAGAAGCTCTTAAAGTATTGACAAAAAAAATTTAGCTCAAAAAGCGCTCAAAAAATCGCTCAAAAAATTTTTCCTCAATTTCCCATTTTAACACTTTTCGGGGTTTACATGCGTTCCAATTTTCATAAAAATTTTGAAAAATTTTTGATAAAATAATTTTAATCCGAAAAAAATGAGCAATCTTGAATGAAATGAAAAATTTCGAAAAAAAATTCGGAAAAAATGTTTCTCTGATGAGTCAAATTGACCGGATGACATCCAGATTTGACGATTTGGCGGTGAAAAGACTAAATGGGCGAAAGGTGAATGAAATTTGTGGCATTTGATTGAATCGATCCACCCATCTCGCCTTTCTCGCATTGATTTCCGAAGCGACTCTCTATTCACTACAGTTTAGGAGTCAGCCCCAATATTGAGGCCAAAAAAAAGCAGAGAAAAAGTTTTACAAATCAAATAAAATGGAAATGGTAAAGATTGAAATTTGTTTTAAAAAGTTCAATTTTTAAGTTTTAAAATTTTTGGCTAAAATTTGTCTGAAAATCTTCAACAACAACTTTTCAAAGGTATAAAACCGTTAGAGAAAGTAAAATTACAAAAGTTGGGTAACTAGTCCCACCTTAAAATTAACTAAAGTATAAAAATAACCAACTAAAGCTTTAAATCACCGCCGATCGAAAATTTCGCAACCCAAATCCAATCCATTTTTGCCAAATCGTCCCTCTTTTCGCAAATTCACTCGATCGCCAGCTAAACACACAATATTCAGTTCTTTTTTTCAATAAATCCCCCTCTTTTCCCTCGAAAATTTGCGGTTTTCTATCAGAAAAATAAGTTTTGATACATTTAATTTGAAAGAAGGCAAAAGAAAAAAACACGTATAACAACGATTTTGACACAAACAAAAAAGCAAGAGAAGTAATGACTTTGACACAAAAAACATTCAACTCAACAACTCTAACAACTAAGCCTACCAATAATTCTAGGAATAATTTAAAGATTTTTAACGAGAGAAATGAAAGAAAACGTGTTGATCGAGTAATTGCTTTTCAATGGACGCCGAAGAACTTCTGGAGATCAATGAAATGTTGAAAGCTTCATGAGAACGACGATCCGCCCAACATTCCGCCGCCTCGTTGCATTTCTTCCTAAAAGAAAAGAGAATTGTGATGAGAAAATGAAAAATTTCCGCCAATTTAAATGCTAATGAGTCAAAGTGTGAGTCCCTCAAATAGCTATTTGAGGTAAATTTAGAACCAAAAAGGCTTGTTGTCAACATGATGGCCTAATTTTCCAACAAAACACCAAATTTTAATACCTGAAGTCGTTTCTGCAGAGTGGTCGATACCAAATTCCACGTGTCCATGAAGCGATCCATACATCTAGATTGAAGAAAACATAAATCATTTGCTAATTTTAGAGCTGATTGGATTAAGATTGAGATCTAAAGGTTTAAAATATTTTTCCAACGTTTCGAAGCTATAAAACAAAGAGTTATTCCTTGCTAATAGTGAAAAATTTAATAATTTAACATTTCTTTATCTTTAAAGGTTTTAAAACACAAATTAAATCATTGATCATTGAACTTTTAAGCCACTAAGCTTTTAGATGTTGATTATTCAAGATTATAAGCCAATTTTTTAAAAAATTCACCTCTGAAGACATTGCTTATCACCTCCGGAAAGCGATGAGCCGGGCGCGGTGATGCATTTCTGTGTGCACTTCTCGGAAAGCTCCTAAAATTAAACATTCAGGTTTCTAGGTTTCTTTCTAAGGTTTCTAATCTAATGGGTAATTTATGAATAGCAGTCGCTTAAACCAGCTTGCAAGCAAACCATTTCCCATCTACATCTACATCTACACCATCTACAAACAATCGCAAAACCAAACCGTAATCAAATTCTGTGCATTCGCGATGGCAGCCTGTTGTTTCACCCCGAGAATCACTTGTTCTTGCTGTTCGGGACTCAACTTCTTCAGTTGTTCTATGTCCATCAATTGCTCCATCGCCTAAACATTTATTTTCACTCATGAAATTCTTAAAAAACAAAAACGCAGAAATCTCTAGAACAAACGGCTTTCAAAAAAGTAAATGAAACACTTATACAACTACGAAATTTCCTACAATAAATTGAATATCTTTTTGCGATTCTTTGTCCAATTAGGCTCCACCGTATCCAGATTTCGCGTAGGTTGATCCGCTCTTCATCCAGGATGGCACAATACCCGATGATCCGGCTCGAGCATCTTTCTCGGCTTCAATTTCATCGAGGTATGGCTTCAAGTACCACGTCTCCTCTTCCCATTTCGTCCATTTGTTCTTGGGAAGAATCTCGCCGTGCATTGCCAATGTGTGAGCGTAGGAGAGACGCTTCTTTCGAGCATCGAACAACCATGGCTCCTTGAGATTAAGACGGTTCAACGCTTCGGTCACTTCGGGAGCTGGCTCGAACATTTGATCGTGGAATTGAAGACCGTACTCGCGTCCACCCCACAGGTATTGCCACGAGAAGTAGCGAATAGAGGACATTAACCTGCAAAGAAAAGAATTAGTAAAGGTTTAACCTTAGCTGTCTAACCTTAGCCGTTTAACCTTGCTTAGCCGTCTTATTTTTTATTAAACATCAAGATCTGAAAATTTAGGTTATTAACTTGAAAAAAGCAAGTAAGTTTCTTGAAAAGTCCAGGCTTTGTTTAAGTTTTACCGTTTTTATTCCTAAAATATGACTCAAAGACAGTTTTGCGCGTGTTTTTGTTCGATTATTGCAACTTGCACGTGCTTTTGTTCAATTATTGAACAAAAACACGTGCAAATCGAAGAATTTAATAAGTTCAGGCAAAAAACTTCGAAAAGAGCCGTTTTGACCTTATCCAAGCTTTGCAACACTTTTCGAACTCGCCCTAACTTCTGCTAGCAAATATTTGGTTCAACTTTTCGCGTTTAGATTGCTAATTCATGCTTAAAACATTAACAAAGTGCTTTCTTTGCTTTCTGCTCAAAAATTTTGCCGAAACACTTCGAAATCAAAAAAACTCACTTGTTGTCATATTTCCAGGCGATTTTTGCCACCTCGACTGCGGGTTTTCCGGCCATCTCTTGCGGTTTACCTGCAAATGAGAAAATTAATTTGAAATCAAAAATCAACAACATCTAAATGAAGAAATTTAAACGCAAATTTAACACCGAGCTTTAAAATCCTCCTAGATCGAAATAATAGCTTAAAAAGCCAAATAACAGCTTAAAAAGCTTAAATCAACGTTCAAAACGTAAACCAGGGACACCAAAAAGGACTACTTTTTATTCAAAAACATAGGCTAACGTCAAAAAGGCATCAAAATTGATAAATTTTAAGGTAATGCAAAAATTCGGCAATCTTTTCGCCCGTTCGACTACATAAGCTACACGAAACACTCGGAAATTCCGCCCGCAAAACGCTCAAAACGTTTAAAAGACAGTTGTGTATAGGGGAAATTGAAAAAACGACAGGGAAACAAAGGGGGAAATGCAAAAATGGCAAAAAATGGCAATGGCATTTAATAATGGCAAAAAAAATTTGTCAAAACTCCTTTTTACCTACTCGCTACAGTATCCCGAAAAGAGCACAAAATAGAAAACGGCGAAATGAGTTTTTATAGGTATAAAATGACTTTTTTTGACAAATTGGCTCATTTTTTGACAAAATGGCTCACTTTTTGACAAAACGGCTCATTTTTTGACAAAACGGCTCATTCTTTGAAAAAACGGCTCATTCTTTGACAAAATTGCTCATTTTTTGACAAAACTGCTCATTTTCGCTCATTTTCGACAAAATGCCTCATTTTCGATTCTACAAATTTCAGCGATTCACTTTTTTACAACTTTTGTCAGAAATTTGAAGAATCAAGTTTTTTTAGTGTTTTTCTATTGAAAATTAACCCTGTTCTCGTGTCAAATTCTTGATTTTATCGCACAACTGCCTCTTTTTCCAATTTCTAAGCTTGTTTTTGTGTCAAATTCATCGTTTCCTTGATTAAATTTCGAATTTCAGGTAATGGAATGTGATATCGTCGCTCCACACGTCGACTCGTTCAACTATTTGATCGAACCGGGCGTACGATTGGCGGCTTTGGATGTGGCGCCCGAGAAGTTTCGACTCCCATCCGGTGAGGCAATCGAATTGCGATACACGCACGCCGAATTGGGATACCCGACACTGCCCGATAGTGTAAGTTTTGAGGTTTTTGATTGATTTGATTGATTGGGTTGAATAAGGTAAAAAGGTTGATTCTGTAGTTTTTGTTGAAAAACAAGAGATAGAGCTGTTTTTGAGCCGATTTTTGACGTGATGACAGTCCTAACCGCTTCTTTGACGAGTTTAAGCCTAAAATTGCTGAAAAAACAGTTAATCATATGAATTTTCGTTAAAAGTTGCGATTTTAAAGCAGGCAGGTGCCTATTTTGATTAAAAAACGCCATTCTGGCCCATAGTTTTGCTTTGTTCGACAGCCGACAACCCGACAGGCAAACAAAACACTAACTCTTACGAGTTTGAATACATTTTTGAGTAATTGGGTTAGCTAAACATCAATTGCGTTAGCTAAACATCAATTGCGTTAGCTAAACATCAATTGCGTTAGCTAAACATCTATTGTGTTTTTAATTAAACAATTGCTATTTGCCGCGTTGATTAAAGTAAACTTTGGCTTGACTAAAGTAAATTGGCTACCAACTTTTAGAAAACAGTTAAACCTATCAAGCTTTTGCAAAAGCTTACTGCATTAAAGATTTCTTTTAACTCCTTACCCAATTTGCCCAATTCAGGATTGCCCAATTTATCCATCGGAATGTCGACAACGATCACTCACCTATGCCGCACCATTAAAAGCCTCTGTTCGGGTAAGGGAATTGATTAAACTTGTAAACGTTTTTGTTATGATCAACGTTTAGTTCATGATCAACGGACGTCATGGGGAAACAATTGACAATATCGTGATTGGACACGTGCCGATTATGCTCAAATCGGATAGGTTAGTTTGAAAAGGGATCAACCAATCTTTAAATTCATTTAGATGTCACTTGAAGAAGATGAGCCGTTCGCAATTGGAAAAAGTCGGCGAAGAAGCGACGGAAAAAGGCGGATATTTTGTGTGCAAAGGATCAGAAAAAGTATGTGAGAAGATTTGAAACAAAACGGAACGAACGTTAGCGAAAAGGTTTCGTTTCTGGAACGTTTTAAACTTTTGATTGTTTAATGTATTCATTAAATGTATTCAAGAAGTTTTGAAGCCAAAATTGAAGTCAAAGCTTTTACCAAAGTCAAAGTTTAAATAAAAAGCTGCATCCCTGGAGCATTTTAAACTTCCTAGCTATGTTTTGAAAGTTTATATGTCGTAGCCGATTATGAATGAGTGGGTCTAGGAGCGTCCAACCATCAAGTATTTAGTATCATTCAACGCAGAATCATTAATAATTATGTTAAATTTTTTAAATTGGAAAGATTGGATAAAAAGAACACAAATTATGGGGCTTCAGAAGTTTTCTCTTGAACAAACAATTTTTTTGCTCTAATTTTTTTTTCTTTTTATTCAATCTTTCCAATTTAAAAAATTTAACATAATTATTAATGATTCTGCGTTGAATGATACTAAATACTTGATGGTTGGACGCTCCTAGACCCACTCATTCATAATCGGCTACGACATATAACAAGTTTAAATCTTAAGTTTCAATTTCTAATGCATTCTCTAGGTGATTCGGATGTTGATCGCCAACAAACAAAACTATCCGATTGCGCTCATTCGACAACGGTACAAAACAAAGGTACGTTTTTGAGTTGATGTAGTGATCTTGTGGTTTATTGGAAGCTTAATACCATTGCTTCCTTATAGCTTTAATTAATTAATTTCCTTTCCAGGGTGCCCTCTTCACCGAATACGCGATCATGTTGCGATCAGTGCTCGAAATGCACACAGCCTCCTTGATCACTCTACATTATATGGAAAGTGGCAATATGAAGATCGCTATTCAGGTAAAAGATCAATCAATTACAGCTTAGTCAATCTCATTCTTTAGTATCAAAAAGAGATCTTCTATCTTCCCTTCATGTACATCTTTAAATGTCTCTCCAGCCGTTCCGATGCTGAAATCACGGAGACTTTGACGAGATGTCGACCGGTTCGTTGAAAAATTTACTGACTGACCGATTCATTCTTTTAGAATGACCCCTTCTGGCGATCGATCGTCTTAAATATGCTCACACAATGTCAACAAGACTCCATTTTACATCAGGTATGACTTGTCATACTTGAAAACAGTCTGATAAACGTTTTTCTTTAGGAGGGAGCTCTTCGCGCAATCGGCAACCGTTTCCGTGGGCGTTTAGAGGAGAAATTGGGACCCTGGGAGGATGATGTGGTAAGTGAATTGGGTTTTAGGGTTAAAATCTATAAAAATACAATTGTGATGAACAACAATTCATCTCAACTAGTGCTAACAAAGCTAAATTCATTTTTAGAACTGTGGAAAGCATTTGATCGAGCGTTGTGTAGCGATTCACCTCAAAAACGACGAGGAAAAGTTCTACTTGTTGGCTTATATGGCTCAGAAGCTTTTTGCACTGTCAAGGGTCGGTTTTGTTGTTTGAAATTTGTACATTGACTAAAGATTTTAGGGCGAATGTGCTCCCGAATCTCCGGACAATCCGCAATTTCAAGAGGCGGCTCTAAGTGGGCACATCATGTTATTGACGTTGAAAGAAAGGTATTGTTTAATTTGGTTTAAAGTCAATCTGTTATTTATAAGCAACCAATGCTAAACCTTTAAGATCCGAATCTTTTATTGAAATCATCTAATATCAAACGTTTTCAGAATGGACACAATCCTCCGAATTGCCAAATTGATGCTTCTGAAGAAGGCGAATCTCAAGAAAGATGGACAATTCTATTTGACCGGGTTAGTTTGTAGTTTTATTTTGTTCAACTAACAAGTTTAGTGCCGAGATCGCTCGGCTGATGGGTGCACATCGAAAGGGAGAAATCACAAGGGGAATGGAGTATTTTTTGGCGACTGGTGAGCTGAGATTTACATTTTCCTAAAAGCCATTGCGATTTAGGCAATTTGATCACGAAAATCGGTATCGGAATCCAGCAGAACAACGGCTATTCCGTAGTGGCCGAAAGGATCAATCAACTGCGATTCGTTTCACATTTTCGAGCCATTCATCGGTGAGTTTTGTATCATACTTTGGTGGAAACTTTAATAGTAAAGAGGAATTTAACTATCTCATTTAGCGGTGCCTTCTTCACCGAGATGCGAACAACTGATGTGCGCAAGTTGCGGCCGGAGACGTGGGGATTCATTTGTCCCGTACATACACCCGACGGATCTCCATGCGGGTTGTTGAATCATGTGACGGCGAGTTGTAGGTAAGTAGAATGGCTAAAAAGCAAGCCTGAGTAGACATTCATCACTTCCTAGCTTGAGCTAACGTTACTAAAAGATAAATTAATAAATTATCAACTATAAATTATCAACTTATCATAAACCTTCTTTTTAGGATAACCACTCACTATCCGGAGATTGATAAGTTGTTGGCGTTCATGGAGAAACTCGGAATGTACACGCATCACACGATTGGAAGAGTACCGCCTGGGATTGAGGTACGAATTTATGGTTGAGTCATGAATTTAAATTTGACTTATTTTAGACGTATCCAGTATTTGCTTGTGGTCGTCATGTAGGTTTCATTCCGGTCGGGAAAGCTCCCGTTTTTGAGCGATTGTTGCGGTTGGCGAAAGTTTCACAAAAAGACGATCGAGTGCCGTATGATGCTGAGGTGAGCAATGAATGACTACTGTTAAGTAAAAGTTGTATCTTTAGATCGCGCTCGTCCGGAAATCGCCCGATCCACAGAGCATCCAAACGCAATTTCCTGGCGTCTACGTGTTTACCGATGCAGCTCGTTTGTATCGACCCGTGCGCAATTTGATCACCAATACAACAGAGATGATTGGTTAGTGCGTTGGGCTTTCTTTATCATTCCTGCCATTTTAGGCCCATTCGAGCAAGTGTACATGTCGATTGCATTGGATCCGAAAGATGTGCAACCTGGAGAAACCCTTCATCAAGAACTTCACCCATCTTGCCTCTTCTCGTTTGCCTCGAATCTCATTCCGTTTCCCGACCACAATCAGGTGCGTTTGGTGGTGATTAACTGGCAGGAAAGCTTCTCCATTTTGTGCTCTAGACTTAAAATTGAATACTTTCAAGTTGTTCAACAAGGAGAAGATTTTATCTAAATTCAATAACTAACAGATCCTAAAACTTATCCAATATTCTTTCATTTAGTCACCCCGAAACATCTACCAATGTCAAATGGGTAAACAAACAATGGGAACCGCTATTCATTCATGGCAATACAGAAATGACAACAAAATGTACCGACTGCAGGTGGGATTTGAACCATTTATTCATCTAAATCTTCTCAATTTAGTTCCCGCAAAGCCCATTGCTCAAAACAGAAGCCTATAACAAGTATGAAATGGATGAATACCCGTCGGGGACGAATGCTTGCGTGGCTGTGATCTCGTATACAGGTGAGAATGTTAAGATTTTACCAATCGTAGCCAACTTAGGCACAAGTTTAACTATTCTTGAAGTAGGGGCTAAGTCAAAGCCAAGCAATGGATAGCTTTAGCGATTTTCATTTAGGCTACGATATGGAGGACGCGATGGTCATCAATCGGGGATCATTTCAACGAGGTTTTGCACATGGAACGGTGATCAAAGTGGAGAAGTGAATGAGGAAAAAGATTGCCAAATAATATTGAACTTTTAGAGTGGATCTGACGAAAGCGCTTGGACAGGAGGTGATCTTCTACATGCATGACGAGAAAAAGGATCTCACAAAGTACATTGGAGCTGATGGGCTGCCGATTCAAGGAAGGCGTTACTTTGAGGGTAAGAATTGCAAGAGTTTTTGGTGAAAGACGTGATCGTTCGGCAAAACTAAATAGATAAACAACCAATAAAAGTTTATAAATAACGCCTTTAGGCATTTCAATTGTAGTGATTCGTGGGTTTCTCTTTCCTGATCCAATTCTGTAAGAATTGGATGTTTCAGGTCAGGGCAAGACTCCAACTAACTTGCACCTTGTAAGGCCTAGATTGGTAGTCAGACAGGTCAAGCCTTTTTATGGTACCGGAGCTCGAAACCACGACCGCTTACTTATCTACTAATACCGCTCTACCAATACACTACACAGACACACATCCAAAGCAGAGCCTTATGCCTTACTTGGCCAACTAGCTCCGCGATCAGTTTAGCGAATTTTTGCCAGTAAGCATCTATTGATTCCAAATTAAGTGCAAGTATACAGCTGAAATTGCGGAAGCTGGCCGACTGAGCTGCAATTCTTAAAGTTTTCCTTTTCAGATGATCCCTACATGATGACGTTCAACACAGCCATTGGAAAACCGAAAATTCACAAATTTCACTACGCTGAGCCGGCCTATTGCGGAATCGTGCGCTTGGTGGAGAACGAGGAATATCCGGCGTTGGCTGTGGTTAGTTTTTGAAGTTTTAGATGTAAATTTTAAATTGCAAGCTTTAGGAAGCGTTGATTCAATGGCGGATCGAGCGCAATCCGATTATTGGGGACAAATTTGCGTCGCGGCACGGTCAGAAAGGAATCAACTCGTTTTTGTGGCCGGTCGAATCGCTGCCTTTCTCTGGTAGATTCCAAGATTCAAATTAAGATTTTGCTCGTTTTCAGAAAGCGGAATGGTACCGGATATCATTTTCAACCCCCATGGTTTCCCCAGTCGGATGACAATTGGTGAGTGAGCTTTTGAAGAGGCCGTTAAAATGGGCTTGTAGAAGACACTTGAGGATCAATTCACATACAAATTGGGCCAAATTCGGGCTAAAGCCAGGGCAGACAAGGCCAGAGTTTAGTTCACGACCTAACTTCTGATTTAACTACGCTCTGGCCTAGCATAGCTTAGCCTGATTCATAAAAAAGCCTTTTGAACAATTCTGCTCACATTTCACAAAAATGTTCTTTGTTCTTTAAGAAGTACAGCAAAATTTAGTTGTACTGGCTTGGCGGCAAGCTTTTTGTACTTAAAGAAGCTGTAAATTATTGTAGGACGATGCAAACTCCTAGCTTTACCCTTTCTACATCAAAAATTCCTAGGTATGATGATCGAATCGATGGCCGGCAAGGGTGCCTCAATGCAAGGAACGAACTATGATGCATCACCGTTTGTGTTCAGCGAGGAGAACACGGCTATCAATCATTTTGGATCGCTGTTACAGGTGAAGTAAAAGGCTAAAAAGCAAATATCCTAGAAGTTTTGACTTTGAATTCAAATTCTGTTGTTGGCTCAATAAAATACCGATGTGGCGAAGTTCAAATTTGAAGACCTAAAGATACTAAATAGCTTTTTAAGGTTAAAATATTTTCTATTGATGACCATTGTTTAATGATTCCCTTTAGAAATCCGGCTACAACTACTACGGTGAAGAGACAATGTACTCGGGAGTCGATGGACGGGAATTCACGGTTTATTTTGAACCTGATCCATTTCAAACCATAATTCCCTTTCTAGGTGCAAATCTTCTTTGGAATCGTCTACTATCAACGTCTTCGACACATGATTGCTGACAAATTTCAGGTGACTCTTGGATTTATGCTATTTTAATGCAAAAATTAGGTGCGAGCCACCGGCCCGATCGATCCGGTCACCCATCAGCCAGTGAAAGGACGAAAGAAAGGAGGAGGTTGACATTTTAATGATTTTGAATTAATTTCTCATTTCTAGGTATTCGATTCGGAGAAATGGAACGTGACGCCATCATTGCGCATGGAGCCGCTTTTGTCCTGCAGGTATGTTGGTACTCGTTGCTTCGACAGTCAAATCTTTGACTCATTCAGGCCTATTGCTCAGGACAGGTGCTTAACCGGATAAGGCGCATTGTAGAGTACTGGCGGGTAGGGACCTTAGCCAGACCTTAGACCTTGGCCTTGGTTTTAGAACTGGACCGTTGTCAAAGTTGAGTCGTTGAGTGGATCTCGGCTCAACCCTGCCCCGAATTCAAAAGTACCCCGCCAAGTAATAGGTCAAGCCCCCTAACATGTCTCAGTTCGTCTGTAGGCCAACTAAACTGCATTTCAAATGGTCAAGAACTAAATAATTATCAGATTTAAACTTATTAGCTCAATGAATCCTTTTCCTGTTTTAGGATCGTCTGTTGAATTGCTCGGATCGTGACGTTGTGCACATTTGTCGTTCTTGTGGTTCACTTCTCTCCGTGCTCGTCGCCTCATTAGCAATTCGGAAAAAACTGGCTGCGAATCAAGGGAAAACGGTAACTCTTTGAGCATCTATAAACCTCAAGTTTCCTATTCTAGTACCGCTCGGTGAACGATTTGACGGATCGACCGTTGTGCAAGAGTTGCGGAAAAGATGATGATGTTCATTTGGTGCAGGTGAATGGGTTTTGTAAAGCTAAACTCTTGAGCCCCAAAGCATGGATCTGAAACGATGAGTGTCAAAAGCCAGCTTTCACATTAGAGTTTGACATTAAGATCACTAAATTGGTGTTAGTGTTTAAGATTTACAAGGTTCGTAGGAGGATTTTGATTTGATTTGTAGGATTCTAGGCTTAATCCATGAGGTTTTAATGTTATGATCGAAAATTTAACGGTTCTTCTCCTTATTCTATTATTTCTTTATTCAGATTCCCCACGTGTTCCGCTTTTTGGTGGCCGAATTGGCGGCAATGAATGTGAAATTGGTACTCGACGTAAAACATCCACTACAAATCAGACATTAGATCAAATTTTAGGCTTTATAGGAAATTTCTCTTGTTCTTGTTGATTTTTTGAACTCTTCGCTCAAACTTGTCACTTTTCTGGGTATTTCGCGCTCATTTCCCCCCTGTTGTTGTTGTTGTTGATTTTGAAGAGATTTAGCCGTATTGTTATTCCCATTTTGTTACGTTGTTATAGTTTTTGTTGTTGTTGTTGTTGAGAAATTTGCACAATTTATAGATTGTATATTCTCTATATCCTACACGAAACAGCTAAAATTAAGACGCACACATTTACACCGTATGACATTCAAAAACATTCAAAACAGCGAACAATGCCTTCAATACACAAATGGGAAAATTTTTTTGAAGAAATGTCATCAGAAAGAGTCTAAAGACAGTGCTAGATATCTAGAATCTCAAAGCGCTTTAGTACAAAACAGGTAAAAGATTAGAGCCTTGATGGGATCAAAGGGATGACAAAAGTCTTAAGCGAAAGGATGAAGTTTGGCCGTGCGAAGGGAAATGGAATAGGTAAGTGAAACTTTCTAGTTTCCTTATAATTTGCTTACGTTTAGGTGTTCCCGTTGAATTCGGTGCGCGTTTTTCCGATTGGACTAACAGTTGACGGGTGTTGAGTGAAACATTGGGATTGGATGCGACAATCGTTTTGGATGAGAAATTCCCGTACGAATGGGACGATCGACCGATTTGGAGGAATGTCTACCAGACGAGAGAGAGTGGGTTTTGCATTAAAGTATTGAAAGAAGGCAGGATGTTTGAATGGGATCAATTGACCGTCAGATTTGTGGCTGTCAAATTTTTAAATGCTCGAATTATACTTTTCGCGGAAATACAGCCTTGTCTGATTTGTGTTTTTGATTTTGATCATGCGTTAGTTGCATTTACTTGTATCGCGCAGTTCTCTTGTATTAGACAGGCTTAACGGTAAATGTCCATTTAAGATTACTCAAGAAATGATCGAAACCTGTGTAGCCTTACAAAATCCCCCGATCAGGTGCGGATAAAGAAGGTGATTGCCGTGATTGGGGGGGCATTTTTTTGAACTCGAAGAGACAAAATGAAATAAAATAGTTTGAAGATTTGTTGCCAATGGCTTCTCCGTGTTCGTTTCGTCTGTCTGCCCGTTGATGTTAAAAATTTGAACAATTTATAGACTAAATTCTATATCCTATGACAGGGCTAAAAATGACTAAGACACACATATTTACACCGTACGGAATTTAAAAATCGTTGAGGAAAAGATTTAAATACCCAAATCGGAGACATTTCTTGATCGTTTCGCTTCGTTTTATTTGTTGTTGATTAGACGATTCGCCACCGTGTTCACAGAGGAGGGAAAATTGTCGACGAAGTTGAATAACTGAAAAAAAAAAATTTATCGCACTTAAACTTATGAAAGCTTCTTTAGCATCTTATTCTTAATTATGCTCGTTAGAGCGTATTTTTAGTACTGCTAATGACTAGGTCGCTAATAGGGCCGTTCAGACTCAAGACGTGCCCTCCCGATAATTTGGCGGCTTATTGTAAGCTTGATTTAGAATTTAGAATACCTAAGCAGAATAATATCTAGCAGCTTTAAACTTTAATAGCTCCGTCAAGTTTGTCTAAAGAATAGGGGCTTCCTTGTTTTCGTTAGCTTTGTTCTACATTAAATTTGAGATGAGAGAGTCATAAAACATTCCAAAAATTGCGAAATGGCTCGCTTACCCTCTCAACTCGATGATTCCATCGATTGCCGACCGCTGTCTCAACTTCATCGAGTGATGGTAGCTAAATGAAAAGAGATTAGTTAGCTTTAACTTAGCGCTAGCCAACGAATAGCGCCTTCCCAATGAGAACTATAAGCTGAACTTCAATCCTCACCTTTTCTCGATAAATGATCGTCCCGGGTACCACGTGTTCTTTCGTCTCTTCGTAGAGCTTGGCACCCTGAATGAATATAGAATGTTTTAAGAGCTAAAAACAACTCGTGCACTAGCTAAATTTTGAGCTCATTTATGCGTAAAATAAGACATTTGAAAACTGCCTTCTAAAACTAAAAAGTAAGCTTTAATGTCAGACTCAGGACTAAAAACTACTCGCTACAGCTAATATGTTAGCTCCTGAGTCGTTTTCGATTTAATTTTTAGTTTTGCGTGCTATGATGGGCTAAAAGCCGGCTAAATTTTTGTCAAAACTGGTCACAACCAATCACTAAGCTTTAATGACCAATATTGTGTCTTATAGAAGGCAGAATATCCAATCCAAGCATCACCCTTACAAACGCACCTTATCCGTTTTCAACGACCAGATATCGTTGTCGTACGTGATCTTTACCGCTCCGGCCACCAAACCCACGCGGAGACCGAATCTGGAAAGAAAAACGTTTAGAAGTTGAAGGAAATTTGTGATTTTGAAATGCTAAAGCAAAAGTATGGCTAAATTTAGCTGATATTCAATGTTTTATGGCTTAAAGTTTAGCTCGATCAAATTTTAGCTCTTTCGGTGCAAAATTTATGTAAAAACTCGCGTAATTTAGCGTTTTTCGAATATAACAATTGTTTTACATAAAGTTTTAGGGGAAAATTTCGATTTTCGGTGAATCTACGTGGTAAACTAGAGTTTTATAGGTTAAAGCACGTGGATGGCTAACGTTTAGCTAGTGTTTTTGTTAAAAACATGAGCTAAACGTTTTATTTGTTTTGTTTGTTGCTTTTGCATGCGAAATAATAGCTTGAAAGACTAGATTTTAGTCGTACTTAGAGATTTAAAATATACCGAAAAGTGTTTAATGACTAAAACTGACTAAAACTGACTAAAACCGACTAAAACTCGACAAATCTACCCTGCTTTAGTGAAATTTTTACAAAAATCCAAAGCTTACTTCGACAATCGCCACAAAAAGCCCATTCCGTTGAGGTTTTGCTCAAGAAATAAGGCAAATCTGAAAGAAAAATAAATAAAACGTTAAAAGATAAAACTAAAAAGATTTCTAAAAATGAAAATGAAAGAAATGAGTGAGAAAAGAAAAGATTTGCGAAATTTGCTTATAAAAAAAGATATTCAGCTGAGGAATTGATATTCAGTTGAAGGATTGAATATTTTGAAATTGGATCAAAAATTTGAATAATTGGCGAAATTTGCATTTAATTTGGTTTTTTATTTTTTAATTTTTAACAATTTAAAATTGAATTTCTAATAAACGCAATGCTTTTCGTGCATTCCATAACTGCTTTTGGCAGTCACCATTTGGCCCTTTGTGTCCCGGTGTCGTTTGTATGCGCGTGTACTCGATCGGCTGGTGAAGTGGCCCAGACGGGAGAGTTTTTTCTGATTTCAAACGTCCGTATGTGAGTTGTGACATCCAGGATCAACGAATTTTCATTTCATTTCGAAATGTCGACAATTGTGCCTGGGCATTTGCATCCGAGCAACGGACGATCGGTGATTGATTGGTGAGGAATTGATTGCTTTGATTGGTCATAGCTTTACAGGAATCAACGCGGTTTAATCGCCTACGCTTGTCATAGCTTTATTTTCATTGTTGATGCTTTCAATCAGAAACGAATTCAAGTAATTGACCTACACAAATCGGCTGTCAATAATGTAAGTCAAATTTTTTTTTCATTGAATAATATCACAAAATTCAAATCACCATTCTTTACTGTGACATCCAGAATGTGATTTCCGTCGATTTTAGATCCTCTGGAGCCCACCTGGAGCTCTATTAGCTGAGCCACAATCTCAGCGAATCGCTTCAGCTGATATCAGTGGACAAGTCATCATTAGTGAGCCGAAAAATGGAAATCGCCTTGCGCAATTCTCAATGCCGAACACGACTATCACTGGTAAAGCTTTAAATCAATTCTAAAACATTCTAAAGCATTCTAAAGCACAACTTTTCCTACAGTACCCCGGTCTTGGAAAAGATTGACTTTTTTTAAATAAATAAATACAAGCATTTGATTGGATAAGTTGTTTTTTTTGGAAATCCTGGAATGCACACTTGTAACTCTAGCATTCGAGTGGTTTGTCTGGAAGAATATGCAAAGGGATTTTCTCGTCGTCCTTCACTCGCAAACGACTTTTGCCTTGTGGAATGCGGATACTGGTGAAAAGGTTGAGTTTTTTGTGCAAGCTGGAAGTCACACTTGAGTCTGAGAGCGAGCCTGAGCCTGAGCTTGAGCTTTAATTTTTTTTTCAGATTTGGTCCTTCTCTTTTCTGAATTCACTCACTGATTTCTCGTTGGATCCGTTTACGCCAGAAATTGCAGCTTGTGAGTTAGGGCTGAAGGGCTTGCAGACGCGAAGGGAAAGGATTCAAGGGCAAGCTTTTAGTTATCGCTGGTGGAACGGGGATTCTTGTTGTTGGTGATGTTGATCTAAGCACACCACCATCTGGAGCTGCAAAGATGATCAATTTAAGCATCCAGGCAACAGGTTCTCAATCTCAATCTAATCTGTGACATCCAGAACTTAGATGAAGCCACTCTAATCCGCCATTCGACCGCTTATCAAAATGTGATTTTTGTAGCGACGAGAGTGAAACTTTTAGCTATTCACCAAGAGCTCTCTTGTGTGTTTTTTAAGGTCAGAATCGCTTTCGTGAGTTCCAGATTGGGCAAATAAAAGGGAAATTTGATGCCAGCTTTTCTAGATCGAGCCTGATGGTGGTCCAATCGTATCGATCTTGACGATAAGATCTAGGGATGCCTTTGTGACTGTAACAGCGAATGGAGCCTGTGCTGTGAGTGCCAATTTGAGGGAATTTTCAATTCAATTTCAATTTTAAAGCTTAAATCAATAATTCTAGCTTTAAAAATGGTTCAATCCCAAAATTACAAAGAAATTTCAAAATTTCAGCTCTGGCGCGGAAAGTACAACGTCGCGCAAGATCGAGTCGATGGGCAGAGTCGGTTTTTCAAGAAAACTATGCGAAAATCAAATGCTTCATGTTTCACCCGGACTCGAACCAGGGTCTTGTGAACTAGAACTAAACTCACTAGCCACTTAGCCATAAGTTAAAGTTCTATTTTTAAAATAGTAACTATTGGAATCGATGGTGTGCTTTCCAATTTAGAGTTTCCTAATTTAGTGATCTACGAGCGAGTTGCACAAAGCGAAAGCGGGCGAGGTACAGCGAGAAGTGGTGGAGCTGGTGAGTTTTCTAGTTAATTTATTGAAATTTTAATGAATTCAACGAACTTTTTGCTCATTCTGGAACGCACAGTGACTAAAGAAGCGATAAAAAAGCGATAAAAACCGATTTAGCTCGTGTGGTGGCGGCGTCGATTTGTGGCTGCACCAATTCCTCGCTCTCTCTGCTGCACACAAATGGGAGAATCACTTTTTGGCAAATCGTGGGTGTCACAAAAGATTCTGGAAAAGGTTTTGAATCGTTTTTGATTCAGGAATCAGATTCGACACCCTCGCTTGGTCTTTATCGATCGGTTTTCTCGGAGGAGTTGCTGGAATTCGATCAGAATCTTCAAACAAAACCCATCGGGAATTTGAGGTGTTTATTGGTGTCTATTGGAAGAGAATATTGTATTTCAAGTTTCCGCCAAATCGGTCTCTGTGGAGGGCTTGGCGCTGGAGTGACGTGTGTTCGAGTGAGTCCACTCGAAATTGCCATGCTCGAAAAAGTCGACGATGACAATCATCTTTTGCAGAATCGAAATCTCGCGGCAATTGGTTGGACATTCTTCGCCGATTCTAGCCAATCTCAATTTTAGGTACATCGGCCGGCATCCTGTACCTGGTGGACGTCTTCACGAGAGAGATTTTGAAAGAATTTACTCTTCAATCCTCACCAATCAGGTCAATAATCCAAATGCCTTCCAGATTAGCTATTACAAAAGTTGTAACTATTTAATGTTCAGGATATTCAGCTGTTTAGCTACAGATCAGCTCCAGGGAAAAGCCGCCTCCTTGAAAACTCGACTTTTGTTATTGAAAACTTTACAAATCTCCTCTGTGCATTCCAGCTTGGCTATTAGAAAAGTTTTGACTATTTGAAGTTCAAGATATCCAGCTAAATACTCACAGACCAGCTCCGGCAAAAAACCACCTTCTTGAAAAATCAATTTTCATTATTGAAAACTTTACAAATCTCTTTTGTGCGTTCCAGCTTAGCTATTAGAAAAGTTTTGACTAATTAAAGTTCAAGATATACAGCTAAATGCCTACAGATCAGCTCCGGCAAAAAACCACCTTCTTGAAAAATCAACTTTTCTCACTGAAAATTTTACAAATCTCCTTTGTGCATTCCAGATTACCGAAAAAATTTGCAGATGTGTCGAGTGGACGTCTTGCAATCGATTGTTGACCGCCGGCTTCAATCACCCATTGAGCACAACGAATGCTGTGAGGAATGACCTCTTTTCGATTGATATAAGGACAGGTGAGTGATCAATTGATCAAACTGGGTGACACTGGAAAAGATGGCATTAAAAATGAGTAGATTACGGGAATTTGGAAGTTAAGTGGAAGTTACCGTAGTCGAAGGAGCACACTTTAGAAAACAAGTTTAGGTATCTCGACTAGAGTTCGTCCGGAAAGTGATGAGTCGCCAATTACAATGATGAGAGTTTCATTCTACAGGTGAATCAATTCAAATTTCTTTTTATGCAAATTTAGAAGCTATCTGGCGTTAGGGTTTGAGCGAGAGCCACTCGAGGTTTGGGATGTCAGGTCAATGAGGCTTTTGCGGAGGATGAGCAGGGCTTGCCCATTAATTAAAGATATGGTATTTGCAATCTGGAAGTCACAGAAGCTAGAGAATCGATTTTTCAGGCCTGGTCTTGCAAACATTGCACAATGAGGAAAACCGAGGGAGAAGACGGCGGAATACCGGTATTGAATCGATTAACTGAATATTTATTGGTTTTAAATAGGTTTTTCGTGAGAATTTGGTCGTTCTTGACTCAGAAAATCGACTTTATCATATTGTTGTCAAAGGATTGCATGTAAAAGATGGGAAAGAAGTCTCCACACAGGTTTGTTTGAATTCTAGCAATGCCAGGCATGAAATTTGATTTCTGAAAGTTTCTGTGACTTCCAGATTGCATAGATTTATTCTTTAATCTAGGGAAAAGCTAGGATTTTAGTGGAAAACCGGTGGTTGGACGATTCGTTGTATGGCTTGGAAGGGTGATCAGTTGGCAATGGGCGACGCCGATGGGAGACTTGTTATTTGGGATCTGGCAAAGAGGGAGGCAAAGAATACTAGGTGGGTTTAAGATCTTGTACTCCCTTCGTACAGTACTCTCAAAAGTTGACAAAAAAGGGAGCTGGGGCTGATCTGTAGGCATTTAGCTGAATATCTTGAAGTTTAAATAGTCAAAACTTTTCTAATAGCTAATCTGGAGCGCACAAAGAAGATTTGCAAAGTTTTCAATAACAAAAGTCGAGTTTTCAAGAAGGCGGTTTTTCCCTGGAGCTGATCTGTAGCTAAATAGCTGAATATCTTGAAGTTTAAATAGTCAAAACCTATGTAATGGCTAATCTGGAACGCACAAAAGAGATTTGTAAAGTTTTCAATGATAAAAGTTGATTTTTCAAGAAGGTGGTTTTCCGCTGAAGCTGATCTGTAGGCATTTAGCTGAATATCTTAAACTTTAAATAGTCAAAACTTTTGTAATAGCTAATCTGGAATGCACAAAAGGGATTTGTAAAGTTTTCAATAACAAAAGTCGAGTTTTTAAAAAGGTGGTTTTTGCCGGAGCTGGTCTGTAGGCATTTAGCTGAATATCTTAAACTTTAAATAGTCAAAACTTTTCTAATAGCTAATCTGGAATGCACAAAAGAGATTTGTAAAGTTTTCAATAATGAAAATTGATTTTTCAAGAAAGCGGTTTTTCCCTGGAGCTGATCTGTAGCTAAATAGCTGAATATCTTGAAGTTTAAATAATCAAAACCTATGTAATGGCTAATCTGGAACGCACAAAAGAGATTTGTAAAGTACTGTACGAAAATAGAAGTTTGGGCTATAGTTTTCTAAAAAGTGTCCTCTAATGAAAAGTTATCCCGGTGTTAACTTTTGTTTTTAGAGTCGAACGATCACCGATTCTTCGAATGCAATTCAGTCGACTTGCTGGCGATCAAACACTTGCCATTTTACATCAAAGGTTTGTACGTAGTTAACTTTACAAGAGTCAACTCTACAAGAGAATTGGCGGCGATTCTAGTGAGCTGATCTTGTTGGAAACAGAGTCCCTAACTCGAACGCAAGTCATTCAACTCGATCGAGGCAGAGCAGCGCTTGATTTTGATCTTTGTGGAGTGAGTTGATTTTGATCTGTGATCTGATCTGTGATCATTTTGATTTATCTAGATTGTTTTAGGTTACTCCAATTCTTGTCACAAATGATAATATGTTTTGGTATGCAGCTGAGTCCTCTCAGCACAATTCTCTTCATTCATCTTTATCCGAATCCAGCAGGCTTCTCAATTCATCAGAAAAAAGAATAGAGAAAGATCTGGCTTTAGATCTAGCTTTAGATTCATATCTAACAAGAAATACGGTAGGTTCTATGGATTAAAATAATCTAGACATGATTTAGAAAAAGGAATCGAAGCCTGAGCCTGAGCCTGAGCCTCATCGGATTAAATCGGAGCTGAGTCTCATCGGATTAAAGCTGATGAGAGGATTGACAGCATTGAGAGGATTGATGAGAGCATTGAGAACATTGAGGAGAGCCTTGAGAACATTGAGGAGAGCCTTGAGAACATTGAGAACATTGATCAGACCATTGATCAGACCATTGATCAGACCATTCAACTCCCCAATTCTCTAGATCTTTGTCGTGAGTTCCATTTAGCAAAATGGAATGGAAATCTTGTTCTTGCTGATTTGTTAAATGTAAGTTTTCTTTAGTTTTTTTTAGCTTTTCTTTTTGTTTCCAGTATTTGGTATAGATTTAACATTTATAGATTATTTTGAATGTACAAAATGTAAAGAATTTCGAGCAGCTACCTCCCCATTTACAAATCTTCTGGCCAGAAAAAGCTTTTCAAGTAAAGAACCCAAATCACTAAATCACTAAACGCTTCTTTAGGAACGCGAGACACGAGTGATTGGTGGTTGTTGTGGAGTGAGGGAAGTGGACGAGGAGAGGCTTGTTGAAAGAGCTGTCGTTCTTGGACATAAAGCCAAGCGAGCTGCCGTCGATCGGTTAGTTTTTTCATTGAATTTAAGAATTCTGGAAGGCACAACAAGCTTCTAGCTTGATCTTTAGCTTCTTTAGCTTCTATAGCTTCTTTAGCTTGATCCTTAGCTTGATCCTTAGCTTGAGCCTTAGATTGATCCTTAGCTTGATCCTTAGCTTGAGCCTTAGCTTGAGCCTTAGCTTGAGCCTTAGCTTGATCTTTAGCTTGATCTTTAGCTTGATCTTTAGCTTCCTTAGCTTCTTTAGCTTGATCTTTAGCTTCTTTAGCTTCCTTAGCTTCTTTAGCTTGATCTCTAGCTTCTTTATCTTCTTTAGCTTGATCTTTAGCTTGATTGGAAGTGCAAGCGGTGATGTGCGTCTATCGTCTTATAAAGCAGCTCTTCTCGTTTCGAATCACGATGATGAACACTCAAAGTTCGTTTCAATTCCTCATTTCAATCTATATCAATCTATTTCAATCAATTTCAATCAATTTCAATTGTGTGCGTTCCAATTTGATAATTCGATTCAAATTTCAGATCTCTAATCAAGCTAATCGCAACGAATTTGATTGCGAATGATTTGGTCGGTGAGGGTGTCGAATTGCTATTTATTGTTGGAGCGGTTTGTCAAATTTAGCTTTTGTGTATCCCAGTTTGATCAAATATTGAATTGAATTCGATTTTCGAGTTAAGATTAATCGAAATAAGCCCCAATCTTTTTAAAAACCTATTAATTACAGATAAATGATCGATAAATTGAAATTACAGGGTTCTGACGCATGTCGTTATCTTCAATCACAAAGGCAATGGCTTAAAGCAGCTCATTATGCTAAAGTGAGAAGATTTTGAAGCTTTAAAGCTTAGCTTGTAAACTTGGGTCTCTTAGATGGGTCTCTCTGGCGATGAGCTGACGAAAGTCTTCGAGAAAACCCTTCAATTTCTGGCTGTTGATCAAAGAGTGAGTGAAAATCAAGGCTATAAACGTTTCTACATCTATTTTAAGAAAAAAATAACAAAAAAATTAACCATCCGGCGTCGGATGGGATCGAACCATCGACCTCTGACTCGTAGCTCAACTCGCTATCCACTACACCATGAGTGCACTAACCTGAATCGCTCTCGAAACTAGCTTAAAATTTGCTGTGCGTTCCAAATCGACATTACCCAATTTAGTCGATGTCATTGCTGTGGGAGTGTGCTTTCAAGCGATGGGCGAATGTGCGGAAGCTGCTGTCGAGCAATGCAGAACTCGCACAAATCGCCTCACTTCTACCCGAAACCGATGCTGTGACATCCAAAAATGATTCCTAAAATCAAAAAACAAGAAATTTACATAGCCCAAAGTGTCAAAAAAGACCCAATCTTTAAAAATGTTGCTAGCTTTTGTCTAAAATGGGACTAGCTTTCGTCTAAAATACTAGCTTTTCAAAATCCACCAAAATCTACAATCTGAATCGCACATTGAGTGCGAATTTGCATTTTTTTTGCGCCTAAATTCTCTACAAAAACTAGTTTTAAAGGCGAATTCGTGAATATTTTGTGAGCTTACTGGTATCTTTCCGTCAAAAATTCCACTTTTTCTCCGATTTCTGCCTTTTTCCCTAAAGTTGTGCCACAATTTCTTTAAAAGGTTTGTGATTTTTTCATTTTTACAAACCAAAACTGTGATATTAAGTGATTTTGCTTGAAAATAAAAAATTTTGAAAAAAAAAATTTTGCAAAAAAAGTTCAATTTATACAAAAAATTTTTCTCAAATTTAGCGATTCAGCGATTTAACTGAATATCTTTTAACATTTATCTTTATCTTTTAGTGAATATAAATGTTAAATTTTTTTGGTTAGATTCACTTTTTTTATGTGATTTTTCTTTCATTTCTTTTTTTCTTTCATTTATTTTTTCTCTTCATTCCCTTTTTCTTTCATTTCCTTTTTTTCTTTCATTTCTTTTTTTCGGTACTTTTCCAATGTCGGGGGAGCGGTCCGATTATCGGGGGAGCGAAATGAAAATCAGGAGAGCAAATTTTGCCCCCACGAAGTTTGCAATTTTGCAATTTTGCATTTCCAGGAGTGTATTTTAACTGCAAAGTTTTTTTTAAAAACTTTAACGACGATGCGCTTCTCCGATATTTGTGCTTTCAAGGAATCGACGGTAATCGATTATTTCGTCACCAAAGGAGTCATCCAGTCGTGGATTTGCAACTGTGGCGAATTGATGAAAGTCCGCTCAAAGGGAAAAGATCTATTTCATATTTTAAGTCACTTTTGTGATCTAATATAAAGGTTGTGAGAATAACGGGTAATTCGCGGATTTTATGGTGGTAATTTTTATAATATAGGACATATGTAGCGCTGGCAAAATTTGCTCCCCTGATTTTCATTTCGCTCCTCCGATAATCGGACCGCTCCCCCGTTATTGGAAAAGGATCCTTTTTTCTTTCATTTCCTTTTTCTTTCCCTCCTTTTCCCTTTTTCTTTATTGCAAAAGTGTGTGTTGATAGGAAAGTGACGTTTCCGATATGAAAAAAATTATATCAGACTCAATTCTGCAATCTAAAACCCTCTATTGAATTTGTTTTTAACTTTAAATGCTTTATAATTGCTTAAAGCCTTACCATTGACGATATTTTGTCAGTTTTGATCAAAAACTTTCTTCTCAACGTGCCTTTTCTTTGTTCAATTCTTAAGTTTTCATTGCTTCTTTTGATTGTTTCTTTTGATTGAAAGAATTTCGATTTTTACTGACTTTCGATTTTTTTCCCAAGGATTTTCCTATATTTTGTATTTTTCAGATGCAAGAAGACGCCTCAGACGAGCTGAACAATTTTGAGGACGGGCAACGATCGCCGGGCAACGATGATTTACTCGGAAATCCCCAATCATCGCAAAATGTGACAGGAATTTGCGAGATGTGTCAAAATTACGAGACGAATCTGACAATCATGCAAGATGGCGAGAGGAAATTGAAAGAAGAGCTCAAAGCTATGAAAGAATTAGCCGATCGATATCAGAATGAGCTGAGTGCTGAGAGGGATTACAGGTTTGTGTTGAGTTTTGGCACTTTTCTGTGAGAATCCTGGATTTTTTTGTTCAACTAGTTTAGCGTGATTTGGACTTAGTTTCATGTCATCTTTATTTTCAAAGTCTCTCTTTATTCGCTAGTCAATAGCTACTTCTCAACGATTAATTTGTTTAAAACGAACATCAGTTGATATAAAAATTGTGGGGGTATAACAGGAAAATGCCAAAAATGTCTAGTTAGGGATCTTTACGGTTAACGGCGGGGGTAGCGATTAACGGCGGGCGCCACGCCACGCCACGCCACGCCAACTTGCAGCCCAAGTTTAGATAGATTTTTGTTAATAACTTTTGATGAAACAAATAGTTTCTAAAAGTTGACGTTGAAGCTATTAGATAGCTTGATAGAAGGCTATCTAATGGCTTCAATAGATAGCCTTCTATCAAACTATCTAAATCTTATTAAGATTTTCTGATCTAACAAGTTTAAGGTGCTTGAAAATGAGCTGCAAGTTGGCCAAACAATTGGCCTCCGCTGATAATCGATTCCCCCTGTCGTTAACCGTAAAGATTCCTAATTAGTAATTAGAGATTGCCCAATTAGCAATTGCCTAATTAGCAATTGCCATTTACTAATTTTCCTTTTCCAGGCGCGAAATGGAGAAACGAATGACTGAGGAAGCGGAGATTGTTGACGGAAAAGCAAAGGAAATCCTCGCGAATCACGAGAGATTGCAACAATCACTAGCATTGTTGACGGAAAAGTACAATCAATTGCTGAAACGACATCAAGAAAAGGGAAATCGAATGAAGGAAAAGCTGGACAAGTTGAGCCAAAAGCATTTGGACACGGCAAACAAGTATTTGGTGCTGTTGGGCGTGAATCGGACGAAGGCAAGGGAGATGCGCGACGAAGTGATCAGTTTACCCGATGATCAAATGGAGCTACAACTGCAATGTTTGACGAATAGAGAGCAATTGATCGAAGCGAGAGCCGCCTTGGAGTACACGGAACGCGAGAAATCCGATGAAATCACCATGCTGAGAGCTCAATTGATGGAAGAGACGACAGCCAGAGAAGCAATGGAAAAAGAATTCGGTGCTCAGATTTCCGATTTGCAGACAGAGCTCACAATTCGCATGGATTCCGTGCAAACAGCTGAGCAACAGAAGAGACAAATTGGGGATTTACAAGCATCCATCAGCGAGTTGGAAGCTCAAGTGCAACAAGTGCTGAGTGAAAGGAATGCCGTCGAGCAAACCGCTCAAAATTACAAGGCTCGATGCTCGTCATTGCAACAAGAATTGGACACTTGTGAGCAAGTGCAGAAGGATTTCGTCAAACTCAGTCAATCATTGCAGATTCAATTAGAGAAGATTCGACAATCCGAGCAAGAAGTGCGATGGCAATTCGATGAGGATGTCGATCAGTGTCAAGAATGTTCGTCTCAATTGCCAAAGGGAAAGCCGAAGCCACATTGCCGGCATTGTGGAAGGATTTTCTGTGGAAAATGTCTAGAGCAAAGTGTTCATGCAGGGCCGACGAGAAGGCTAGCGAGTGTGTGCCCCGTTTGTCACACATTGCTGAATCGCGAGTCGGCTCCGTTCTTTTCAAAAGATTAGCCTGTTGTCCATGAATTGTTTTCTAACTCAAATATCAAATTAAAAGGTCAATAGGCTATCGTAGCTTCCATTTTTCTCAGCTGAATATCATTTGTGATACTATATTTCCTTGAATATGTGCAAGAATTTTATTAGTCTACCATTTTTACCCCGATTTCACTCGGGTTTTGTCGGAAAAGCTCGAAAATTTGGTTCATTTCCTCAGTTTTTTGATTCAAAACATTGAAAATCGACAAAATTTGACTCATTTTTGACTTTTCTAGGCTTAGACATTGGAAATAACGAATTTTTTAGTATTTCAACTGCCAATTTCTCTTAAATTTTTGATTTCCCGTCGATTTCCCCGTACCGGTTCTCCTTTTTTCGATAATCTAAGTCATCTTTGTTGAGCCCAAAATTGTATTCTTGTAAAATTTCGTCACATTCCATCACAGAAACTTGTAAAAAAGCTATGCAAATCTATTTTGTATTTGAAAATTTTTGCCTATTTTCTTCGTTTCGTTTCACTTTTTCGGATCGAGTTGTGTGTATTTGGAGATAAATATTTTCAAATTTCAGCCATGGGAAGCGTTGGCGCTGATGGGGGAGGATCGACGAATAACACGCAACCGCTGCGGTTATCGTTTAAACTGGGTGGAGAAAAGCTGTCGACATTGTACACGGGACAGGTATGCGGAGACTTTTTGAATTGTGCTTGATTTGATAGTCAATGCAATAGTTTTATCCGAAAATCCACTACAAATAACTAAAGAATAGTCAGAGTAAAGATTTTGGTACTACGCCGATTGGAGGGGCCACTTTCTTTTCTTCAAAACCGCTTTTTCTGGGGGTAATTTTATGTGTAGATTCCGAAAAACACAACCAGGACTTGGGAAAAGGCATTTTAAGCCGAGTTTCGGGCTTCAAAGTGCGCGCTTCCGCTTCACTATATGGACCCCAAGCTATCGACTATGGGAGCAATTTTCTATGTCAAAACTAGAGCCAAAACCATTTCTGACCACTAAATATTTATTTTCTAACTTAATTGACTGGTAGAGGCAAAACAAATTGAAAAAAATATTTTTTGAGATTTTAACCGATTTCGACCATGTGATATTTTTTTATTTTGCTCCAATTTGCTCATAAACGCGATCAGTATGTTAAATTATGCCAGAAGAAGTGTTTTTGGCTTCAAAAGATGTTTTGAGAGATCATTTTTAGACCTCTTCCCTATGTGTATCCCGCTTATCACAACGCGTACTTTGAAGCCCGAAACTCGGCTTAAAATGCCTTTTCCCAAGTCCTGATTGTGTTTTTAGGAATCTACGCATAAAATTACTCCAGAAAAAGTGATTTTGAAGAAAAGAAAGTGGCCCCTCCAATCGGCGTAGTACCAAGATTTTTGCATTTGACAAAAGCTGTCACTTTAAACGTTTAAATTTCCTGATTTTCCATGCTTGATTTTCCAGCCAAATTTTAAGCAAATAAGTTACATTTGTAAATGCATCTTTGCCTATCTCAAATAACCTTCATTCACCTTTTCATTCCCAGGTCTCCTCCCCGTTCTACACGCTGAAATCTCGTCTTCCCGATGTCGGCCATCCAATCGGATCGACGGATCTTCTCGCACACTACGGACTCGCGCAATCGTATCAACATTTCACGGCGCCTGGACGAGTACGTGAACCATTGGAGACGTTTCTTCCGCATCTCTACGGCAATTTTCACTTCACACAATCGGACGATTTTAGGTGAGCTTCTTGAAAGTGAAATTTTGTACTATTTTAAGGTTTTAACGTTTTTAAACCAAAAACGCTTGATTGCCATTTACTTTTGAGGTTAAACTCGTAAATTCTTAGTGGCTAATTTAAGCTCGATCAGCTAAACCAAACGACTAAAGTTTTAGACGATATTCTAGATAGGTTCATCATTTTAATAACCTTTCTCCGTTTTTCAGTTCACTCTTACGTTTGGTTCAAAAGCCGCCGATCACTGGGAAAGAAATCGTTCCGTCCTCGGCAATCGTCAATGGGTAATTTTCGATTGAGTGCCGGACCAGTCGATGAAGCGTATAGGTGAGTTAGTTGTACGAATGGTACTTAGCTATACATAAAGCCTTAGTAGGCTCGGGTTAAAGATCAAAATTTACGCAACAGCTATGAGCAACATTTTGTCAATGAATATAAATTTCTTTTAGACATTTGTTCGACCGTCGTCGCGAGGATCTCCCATCCGAGAATGCAATGCAACGAATGGATCGAACACCCGCCGAAATTCTCGTCTCACAACAACAGTCATCGATTAGGGCAAAGGTGAGGGAAGGGTTTGAAGGCTTACCAGAGCAAATTGATGATCGGGCGATCGTTTTGAATTTAAATTCAATGCATTCTTTTTTTCAGGAAAAACGCAAGAAGGAGCACAAGGAGAAGAAAGAAAAGAAGAAAAAGAAGGAGAAAAAGCGGAAACACCAAGAGGATGGAGATGGACAAGAGGGGACGGTGAATTCGATGAGTGGAGAACAAATGGGATAGGAATCGAAGGGGGAAGGTTGGCGATATTATATTGAGTCAAAGCATGGATTAGAGGTTGCCCTTAAAACATGTCACATTTTTCGACAAACTACCATAATCTACATTCTCTATCGAGTCTCGACTTTTTATCTTTCAATACACTTTGTGAACCCCTCACATAATCACATTAAAATAGATTTATTGGATAAAGAATAGAAACAAGTTTACGGTAGCTTTAAGAAAGGGCACATTTTAGAAAGCAACTAAACACTAATATGGTTAAACCAGCTCTCCTTAAATCTTCAGAACGTTTGTTTAAGTCAGTAATGTTTAAGGAAGAATGGCATGATCAATTAAAGTCTACAACTTCTGAAATCCCTCTTTATTTCCGATAATATCTTGCTGTTTTAGATGCATTGACGGAATTTCAGTCATTCACGACGAATTTACTTCGATTTACTTCTTCACTTCAAGCAAAGATTGATTTACCGTTTGCTATTCTCATTTTTTAAAAATTTAATTTTTTAAGACTAATATGTTTTGAGTGTAAAATTTCGATTTGTATGTTTTAGGTTATTGATCTTTTCATTTCTTTGTCTGATCTCATGTTTTCTGTGATCTATTTTTGGGTCTTCTTATTGCTTGTTTCGATTTGGAAATAAATTTCTGGAGAAAATGCACATAATAGTTTCGAAATTAGAGAATTCTGAGAAAATTTTTTCTTGCCTCGTTATTTCCCTTTCATTTCAAAACTGCTCAAGAGTTTGTTCGCAAACTTACGAAATGGCCAGTCACAAGCAAACGACCATTCTTTTCTATGGATGCCCTCATTCCTTCTCTCCGTCCACCACACTCCCTCTGTCTGTCTGCCCTGCTGTGAGATGAAAAAACTTTTTCGCTTCCTTACGCTATCATATTCACTCCAATGCGTTCCAGTATCGGCGAAGCGTGGCTTCTTTTTTTCTCAGCACTCTTCGGCTTTCCGCATTTCACCCAATCTTGCGAAAATATTCGCAGCTTTTTTTCCACTTCCTTACGCGAACAAATAACAATTCAATTTTCTCGCATTTTATTTGTTTTCCAAAAATTAGACTGATTTCCTTGTTCTCTTTGCCACTTTATATTATTTTAGATAATCTCAATTGCACTTTTTACTTTATATTATTTTAGATAATCTCAATTCAACAGCGAAAATGCCGAATCGAGGCGGAAAGAAGAAAAGGTACCGTTTTCTTGCTCAAAATGCAAAAAGCTAACAATTTTTTCAATGCTAACTGATTTCCTGGAACACACAGCAGATATCTAAGCAAAAATGGTGAAAATCAGAGATTTTTTTTTGACTTGTTCATCATTACCGAGTGGGTAATTGAACCGATGCACTCGAATTTCTTTTATACACCCCACAAAGGGAAAATATTCTAATTCCAGTCACGATCATCCACTCTACATGCGATCGGAGTACGGTTTCGATGAGGTGAAGAAAGATCGGACTCTCATTCGGCCACCAGAAGAAGAACAAAATAGACCACCACTGCAGCAGTCAAGGTGGATCGAAAATGTAAAAGACTCTCATAAAATAATTTTAGAGCCTTCTACAACCAGAATCGAGACTCTGCTGGATACGAGGAGCAGCCTGGACGGGGTAGAGGTCGAGGAAGAGGAAGAGGAAGAGGAAGAGGTGGTCGGGGTGGTGCAAATCGAGGCAATGGAGGATATGCAGCTGGTTTGGGAGGTTCTGTGCATTCTACAAGACCACAAAATCATCACCAAAATCACCCACGAGAAAGCTACAGTAAGAAATGGGATCAAGCTTTAATTTCGACAATTTTAGGCTACAATAATGGAGATCCGTACGCGAGTTTTTCGACTAGTCGAAGGAGTCATCCCCGCCATGGTTGGGAATTTTGAAAGAACTTTTGTTTTATCTTAGAGTACAGATTTGAAAAATATCGTTTTCTAGACCGTCTGAGCAGTCCGGAGTACGATCAGCAACAGCGAGACGACTACGAGCAGCCCCAGCACCGAGATTATCACCAATCGCTGCCAAGAGAAAGGAATGACCCTTTTGGTCATCAGGCCAGGCAAAGAAATGATTGGAATCGGGATTCCCACAATTCCTACAACTCCAATCGGCAACTGGATCGCTACTCTATGTGAGTTTTTAAGTATCGGATTCGTGCTTCAGACTGAAACTCGTGCAACTGAAGATCTCTATGCGCAAAATTTTAGAAATCGCGGCTACAACGAGCGAAGCAACAACGCTCGAGTCGACCATCATCGAGAAGAGCGCGACGATGAAAGAAATTTTTATCGGTGAATTGCAAATTTATCAAGCAAGTTGCCCGCTACAAGATTGGCGCAATCTAAGTCTTCTAGTGCATCAGAATTGCTCAATTAGCTCTGGATTGTCTAATTTGGAGAGCACTTGAGTTGACCTGAACGTCAAATACCCAAATTCCCTACAAGTTAAATACGATCAAACTAGCCACTACAAGATTGGCGCAATCTAAGCCTTCTAAGTGCATCAGAAATAATCAATTACCATCAAAATGTCTAATCTGGATAGCAATTAGCTTGATCTGAATATAAATTGTTCATAATCCCTAAAATAAACGATTTTCAACACTTTTCACTAACACATCCAAAACAAATTCTTGCAGGCAACGCGAAAATCAGCCGCAGTCCAACCAGCCGAACTCTGAGAGATGTGAGAATTCCGATCAACAGAGACAACAGCCATCGCGAGAGTACCGGTGAGTGCGGTGATTAAATTTGAGAAATCTATTTCGATTTAGACAAAATGGTGTCGGATCTCTCCAAGTGCAACGAACGAATGTCAGATCGAAATACGAAGATCCGAGGTAGAAAACGTGTCCATTTCCCCCCTCACAACCTTTTTCAGACACCATCCACAAGCCTCAATTCGTCACCAGTATCAGCAAAAGAGTCATCAAAGACAAAAAGTGTACACAAAGTGAGTTGGAAAAAGGGTACGGTAGATTTGAACAATGTTTAGCCACGATGATCGAATCGACAATGAAGAACCCTTGCCAAGCAATTTCGATGTAGACGAGGATGAATTGGAATCGATTTTTCAACCAACCAATTCCAGGTGAGTTTCAAGGCGATTTTTTTTCAACTGTGAGTTCCAACTAAAACTTTGGTTAAATCTAAACTGAAATCTGATTCATTCAGAAACAACAATCGAGCCGATCGAGAAAGCGCCAATTCATCGCATCAAATTCGAAATTTCGACAATCAAGACGACTATCAAATGGTTTTTCCCTTATCAGAAACTTTTTAGAAAGCCAAATTCTAGCAAGCTGGACCTTCAAATGGACACAGTTATAGCCACCAACCACAGGATTACGGTAGATTTTGATGTCTCGCCAATTTATGAAAAATTTAGACGAAAATCAATCTCGCGGTCACTCCCTGATCTTATCTGGAAGTCACAGAAGCCAGGTAGGGAAGAATTTTTGTGGGAATCTTAATTTACACAAAATTTGTTTAGATAAGCGAGCGGACGCTGGCACTCGAAAATGTGCCCGAGCACGAATTGGAGAATTTTGGTAGATTTTCAGCAATCCTGGATTTCACGAAAGGGTATTGATGTTAAAATTTCAACAATTTTCAGCTCCTGTCGAAATATCAACAACACCTCGATCAAATGACATCGACTCGAGACTCGAGACGCTAAAGGGTAAGCTAAAAAAAAAGCTGTAATTTGCTGAATTTTGCCGAATTTTGCTGAATTTTTAAAATTACAGTCAGTCCATCAACTTCATCAACTTTTCATCCAAGATTAGCACCTGCGAATCGAAGAGGATTACAAAAAGTTGGTTTAGAGTTGAAAAGGAGGGTTTAGGCTTAGGGCTCCGGGCTTTCAACCTTCCTTCTAAGCCTCCTAGATTTAATTTCAAGAAATCTAGGTACTCCTGACAACAAATCATTTCCGTTTGAAATTAAATGACGATCAAGAGGTTTTCCGATATGATGTCAATGTGGAAATCGTTGGAATGGACGATTATGGAAGAGAGACCGTTCAACAAATGTGCCGAGGACCGAGAGATGAGTGAGTTCAGTGAGATCAGTCTTAGGACTGTCACTAAGGCTTTCACTAAGACTAGTGACATCCAGAATTTAAGAATATCGCAAAATTTTTCAATTTTATCAATTCACAAGTAAAGCTTATGATTAGAAGTCAAAATCTCAGAAATCGTTTTTTTTTAGATTCAATTTTTTTTGATTCTTTTGATTTCATTTGATGACCTGCTATCCAATTAGCTGAAAAATCGTTAAATTTCAATTCTCTTTTAGTGGAGAGGCCACCAGGCGGCATGAACTCGTTCGATTAGCTGTACGAACAGCACTCGAAGCATACAGATTGTGAGTGCTTAGCAGTTATTGTTCGAAAGCTTTTAAACTGAATTTTTCATGTAATATCCCTCTAAATTCAGACTCGATGAAAGAATTGGTGCGGCTGTTTACGACGACGCGGCGATTCTCTTCACAAATCATTCTCTGACTGCAGCACTTAAACCAGTAAATTGATTGTAATAATGTTGAATATTAGCGAAAAAACTCATTGCTGAATATCAACATTGAATTCCCCTCAATATTCAGCACAATGGCACGATCACAATCGCTGTCTCGCAACTACCAGAACGAGCACGACAACTGATCTCAAGCCTAAATGCTCGAGAGTTTCAAATCACGATTCAACCGTGCACGTAAGTTAAAACTGGATCACAACACTGGACAAAACTGGATCACAACTGGATCTAAGTTTGGTTCCTTATCTCTCTAAATTTGGTTCATTATCTCAGTAAATTTGGATCCTTATCTCTCTAAATTTGGTTCCTTATCTCTCTATGTTTGCTGCCTTATCTCAGTAAATTTGGTTCCTTAACCCTCTAAATTTGGTTAACTAGTGTGATCTTTCGGGTCTTATCGGCCTCTTAACGGTCTTTTTTTCGGCTCGGGTTTGGTGTAGCCGTGGCCAAGTGGTACAGCGCTCCAGAGCGAGACCTCGACGGTTCGACGAAATTTGGTTCCTTATCTCTCTAAATTTGGTTCATTATCTCTCTATGTTTGCTGCCTTATCTCAGTAAATTTGGTTCCTTATCTCTCTAAATTTGAACACAACAAAATGAATCAAGAAAAACTGCGAAAAAAAGGATTTTTAATTTTAACGACTTTTAAACGACCAGATTTGCAATTTCCATTTAACTTCAGTCAATCTACTCATCGCTTTACACTTGGCGAAGCGAAAAGTGAAGCGTTTTCTAGTGGAATTGAGGGAGAAGATCGATCATTGAGACAATTCTTGGAACTACTCACGAATCAAAGTGCACAGAATAGGTACTATTAAATGAAAATTTCAATTTTGCAATTTTTCAGCCGAAATTACATCTTCTACGGACAAGGCATGGGCTTTCTGACGAGAAAGGATTTGAAAGAGGACACGAAATGTGGACATGAGAAGAGATACGGCGTTTCAAAGGGGATTCATCTGCAATTGGGTGATGGAAAAGAGACTCTCGTCCCGGCATTAGTCCTCGATGGTTAGTTTAACATTTTCAAGTGATTTTTGTTCATTCTGGAGTGCACAGGAAAGAACCGGAAGGAAAATGAAACCATTTTGCGCATTTTCGCGTCACTCCTAAAACCCATCCCAACTACCGTAATCCACCGGCTTCCAGTGTTCGATAGAAACGAAATAACCAATCAGGATTCTATTGTGCGCTCCAGATGGCTGAAAAATCGACAAAATACTCAATTCTATTAGCATAAAAATGAGGATTTCTTCCAATCTTTTTTTTTTTCAGCCAAGACAGGCACTTTCTTCAAGAGTCAGAGCCTCGTTGAGTTGATTTGTGAGATCAACGGATGGAGAAGACCGGATGAGGCACGATGGAACAGGGAAACACTTCAATTTACACACAATCATATCAAAGGTGAGCTCAAGTTATCAGCTAAAAATCAAAGAATTCAGGTATTCGACTTCATCCCGATCACAGTTCGGGGACATTTCTCTGCGCTGGCCTTCACACAAACGCTGAAAATCGAGCAATCACCATTCTGGAATGCATTGAACCTCCCCTTGCATCGGGGCAACCGTTTGTGAAAATTTTGAATGCTTTTGAAATTTCGATGTTTAGATCAATGCCATCAATCGAGAAATATGCAAATTTGGGCTACAAAATTCGGTGGGCGGTTTAGAATTGTTTATCTTATCCAATTCGTCTTCTAGATTAACAAATTGGCCAATGGTGATAGCAAGAATTGGCGAGAAACGTGGACCCTTCGACGGGATGCTGCGAGTACACCCAGCTGAGTTGCTTCACGTTTCCGAGAATCAACGAGTCCCTCTGCACAAGGCATTAAAAGATGCTGTGAGTTCCAGATCGAGCAAAAATGAGTGCAAAATGGCGGTTCTATTGAAAGTTTTCTTTTGAAATCGTTTTGTAAAACAAAATCTCTGTAATTCTCTGTAAATCTTTGTAAATCTCCATTTCTCTAAGCTTTAAATTAAAGGATGCCGCCCAGAAACCCCATCAACGCTGGACAATGATCCAACAGCACATGTATGAACTTGATTTAGCTGGTGGTGGCAATTCGCTGATGTCAAGGTTTACTAAAAATAAGCTAGTGACCTTCAGACCTTCAGAAACTTCAATTTCATCGTAAAAACTTTAGATTCGGTGTCCAGATCGCTAAAAAGGGCATCGAAGTCGAGGGATTTAAACGAGAACCTCCTCAACTCACCTCAGCCGGCGGGAGGAAACTCGAGACACTAGCGAACAATGTGAGAATGACATCTGGATAGCTCAAATAATTGAATGACATCCAGATGGCGTTTAGAAACGATTTACTACTAATTTCAGGCCTCATGGCGCACGAAGGGTCATCGTTTCGCTAAAGCCGCTCACATTGTTGTCCTTTTCGTTGCGTGAGTTGCAAAAATCGAAAATCAAAAGCTTTTTTTCTTTCAAGCTGGAACGCAGAAAGCCGAATGCGAGTGCTGATCGAGAAATTCGCGCACAAAATCCGATCCGATGCTCAGAATAAAGGAATGCGGATTGATAGGGTTCGTTTTTTCAAAGTGTGACATCCAGGATAGACGAATTTCAACGAATTTCAGCTCGAAGTTCAACCAGAGCCAACAAATTTGAGAGAAGAGCTTGCAAAGGGTGGCCTATTCAAGAGGGTGAGTTGAAATGAGTCGGTGCAGACGTCTTACTCTACTACAGGGTGCGGCATAAGTATGGTTACAGACTCAGAACCGTGTATCGTAATGAAATATGAACGGATTCATGTTAACTTTATTTAAAATTAACAACAATAATCATATTCGTTTAAAAAAAAATAACAAATTATTCAATATGGGCACCTTTATTCTTGATAACGGCTTTAAGACGTTTTTGGATAACTTTCCACGGCGGCCCGCAGGGCACTTTGTGGAATTTTCGCCCAACCTTTCTTCAGAGCCTTTTTCAGACTTTCAACGTTTGCATGCTTTTTGCTCCAAAATTGCCCAAAACACAGAAATCCATAACATTGAGGTCGCGCGAATTAGCTGACCATTCATTGGCGGGAATGAAGTCGAGCAAATTGTTTCGACACCACTCTTGAGTCTTTTTTGCTTTGTGCGCTGGGGCGCCATCTTGCATCAACGTCCAGCGTTGATTTTGATAATGTCCTTGATTGACTCAACGGCTGTACATGTTTTGTGAGAACGTCCAGATACACGTCTGTGTTAATTTTCAACAAAAATCAACGGTGTGCGACCAGTTTGCTGACACCCCTGCAAAAATCATGACTCCTGCTGGATTTGAGTTCCTCTCCACAAATCGGCCACTTTTATTTGCTTCTTGAGGGCTGTGAGCCAAAATTCGATCATTTTGAGAGTTGAAAACTTGCTCAATTTTAAATAATTTCTGCTCGGTAAAAAGCGTCGTCAGATGCTCGGCCATTGCAAGAAGAAGAGCAAATCTTTGCTTCATGTTCCTGTTCCGTCAGGCCATTATGCTTCCTTAATTTGTAAGGGTGAAGACTCAGATCCTTTTTGACGATACGACGGATAGTTCTATTAGAAACATTCAATTGGGAAGCCATTTTTCTCATGCTCCGGGCAGGATTGTGCTTGATTCGTTTCTTAATGATTTTCTTGAGTCTCGTGTGATCAATTTTTGGCCGACGTCCACTTTTAGGAACCTCTTCGACTCGATTTTGTTGCAAAAATGCGGTATACCGTCATTCGATGCATTTTCAGCAGTTTGGCAAAGCAGTTCGATCGTCCTTGTGCTCTAAGCTGAAGAATAGCGGCACGGTTGGAAGAAGCTTTCACCATTATGTCAAAAATTAAAAATTTCCTTAAAAACTGCTAAATAATATAAAAAAAAAAAAAAAAGCATTCAAATTAAGAAAAAAAAAATAGTGCTTTGGCAAGAAATAAAAATATCCAATCAGTTTCTTAAATCAACGTTTACAACCTTGTAACCATACTTATGCCGCACCCTGTAGAGTGAAGATTCTAGAGTGCCCCCGGCTTTTCAGGCAGTCTCCTCTCAACCCGCAAAAGTTGATCATCCAAAAATCCTCGTCATCTACATCGATCCGGAGAAGCAGAAAACCCATGGACAATTGAAATTGGCTGAAGTTCGCTTTCAAGTCGTCACCCAGCATATCACTTTAGAGGTCTAGCTAGAGTTTTATTCGCCAACAACTTGTGCTAATCATTAAAACTACTTTATAAAGCTCAAAATCATCAAAACTACTTTATAAAGCCTAAAAAAATGAAGTTTTGAAGTTTCTTTGAACTTCAAAACTTCAATTTGAAGTTTCTTTGAAGCTAATCTCAAAGCAAATCAATATCCAATATCCAATTTCGTTTCAGAAAGTCAAAAAATCTCTCGAATCTCAACAGAGCACTCTCGTCGAGAATATTCTACTGAAAATGAACGTGAAAATGTTGGGCTTAAATCATTCGATTGTGCCGGAGAACTTTGCGTGAGGGATTTAAAGTTAGACCAACTATTAGCAAGGTCTGGCTAGCCTAGCCAGTAGCTAGTTCAACCTAAGCCTGAGCCTGAGCCTGAGTCTAACCCTGAGAATGGTCTTCCAACAGTTCGACCAACATGATCTTCCAACAGTTCGACGAACAATCATCTTCCAGAAAGAGAGAATGGTTTGGCGATTCACTAATCATCGGCTACGATGTCTCCCATCCAACAGGGCTCACTGCCGAAGCAAAATCCTTAGGCCATGCCTCCGAGAATCCGTCCGTCGTTGGAGTAAGCTAATTGTCACTTTTTGGTCAATTGTCACAAAACATTCAAATTTCAGTTCTCCGCCAACGTTGGCCCATCAAGAGATTCATTTGTCGGAGATTTCGCTTATCAAGACGCGTTAAAAGAAAGAGTTCGTTGAAAAGCTTAAATGCAAAGCAAATGCAAAGGAAATGCAAAGGAAATGCTAAAATTCTAGGTCAATGAGGAATTGCTGACAGAAAGAGTGAAATGGATTTTGAAGTTGTGGCGAAAGAATCGATCTGACAAGCTACCATCAACAATTTTCGTTTTTCGTGATGGTGTCTCCGAAGGACAGTACAAAATGGTAGAATTATTGTGATTAATTTAAAGGAAACTGGTACGCGAAGAGGACGTAGAGTTAGCGTTAGAGTTAGAGTTAGATTTAGAGTTAGCGTTAGAGTTAGAGTTAGAGTTAGAGTTAGTTAAACGATAAACTTCAATTCCCATTTCAGGTTCAAGAAAGCGAGCTTTGGGCGATTAAGAGAGGTTGCGAGGAATACGAGAACGGTTATATGCCAAGATTTGTGCTTATCATTTGTACAAAGAGACATAACACGAGGTGGGCTAAGATTGATCACATTTCAATTTAAATTCAATCAATATGATGTAATATAATATGCAATATGAAATTTGCGAAAAGCAGACTCTTTCTTGAGAATCTTTCCAAACTTTGCTAAACATTAGACGCAAATTTTTGGCTGGCTGGCTAGCTGGCTGGCTAGCTGGCTGGCTAGCTGGCTGGCTAGCTGGCTGGCTAGCTGGCTGGCTAGCTGGCTGGCTAGCTGGCTGGCTAGCTGGCTGGCTAGCTGGCTGGCTAGCTGGCTGGCTAGCTGGCTGGCTAGCTGGCTGGCTAGCTGGCTGGCTAGCTGGCTGGCTAGCTGGCTGGCTAGCTGGCTGGCTAGCTGGCTGGCTAGCTGGCTGGCTAGCTGGCTGGCTAGCTGGCTGGCTAGCTGGCTGGCTAGCTGGCTGGCTAGCTGGCTGGCTGGCTAGCTGGCTGGCTAGCTGGCTGGCTAGCTGGTTGGCTAGCTGGCTGGCTAGCTGGTTGGCTAGCTGGCTGGCTAGCTGGCTGGCTAGCTGGCTTGCTTGCTGGCTAAAATCTCGCACAAGATGACAAACATTCTAGATTTGCGAAAGAACATCGCATCGGTCGAAACGTCGAATTGGTGAATGCGGACGCGATGACGGTAGTCGATACGGATATTGTAAGACCGGATATGACCGAATTCTTTGCCCAAACACATACACCCGTCCAGGTACGAGACAGAAAGATTTCATAGCCTTAACGAATAGCCGACGTTAGTTTGAACGTTTGAACGACAGACGTTAGTTTGAGCACAAAGTGTCGAATGCCAAAATCAGCTCAATCATTTCCAGGGAACGGGCAAGATGACGAAATACGAGTTGCTCGTGAGTGACCTCCCAGAAATGACTCAAGACACTCTCCAGTCATTGACAATGGCCCTAGCCTTTCAGCACCAGGTATTTTCAAAGTTTTGATAGTTTAGCTTTCAAGCTGGAACGCACAGCTGAAACTCACAGATGAAAAAGCGATGAAATTTCAATTCTGATAAGTTAAAGGCTCAAGCTGGAACGCACAGTACCTGGAAAATCTAAAATAAACCACAAAATTTCAATTCTGATAAATTAGAGGCTCAAGCTGGAAGGCACAGCACGTAGAAAATCTAAAAATTTCAATTTCAGATCACCGCCGCACCAATCTCATTGCCAGAACCCGTCTATCAAGCGGACGAATGGGCAAAACGGGGAAATGACGTTTTCAAAGCATATAGGTGGGTAAAGAGTGGGCTGGCGGAGTTGGCAAGAAGTGAAGTTGGCATTTGGGCACAATCAGGCACAATCAAGCACAATCTAGAGCTCTGTTTCTAACAAAATTTTCAGAGATCTCGCCTATCGACTGCCGCGCAAGGGAACAAATCGTATCGATAAGAAAAACGACGTAGATTGGGAGAAATTGACGCAAGATCTTTCCTATATGAATAAGCCATTGGATGGGACAAGAGTCAACGCATAGAAGGGTTACAGTTTGGCTTTGCCTTTGCCTTTGGCTTTGCCTTTGCCTTTGCCTTGTCTGTTTAATAGTTTACATTTTGTGTTCAGAAACTCTATTTCTTTCTGTTTTCTTATGTTTTCTAGCTTTTTTATTATTTATTGACTTGAAAACTGCCGGACTTTGAACTAAAATTTATTCAACATAAAACCATCAATTCATTCGAAATGATTTCCATTATTATTGACGACTTTTGCCCATTTTACAGGCAATTTGCGGATTCCTCTTTCGTCGTAGGATTTTGCTTTTGAATCGACAAAACTTTTCGAGCCAATTTTTGACTGCTTCTTCCGAATCAAAGTGCTCTCCTGCAAGCTCATCATCCGGAATAAATAGTAATCAAAAGGGGCGAGGTCCGGACTGTATGGGGAATGCGCCTTTTCCCAGGGGAAGTTCCCAAACAAGGCTATTTATTTTAGAGCGAGTCAGTTTTTTGCAACATGAGGGCGCGCGTTGTCATGGAAGAGAACGATCTTTGACTTAGACGGCCTATTCTTCTTCAGGGATTCATTCACCTTTCCCAACTGTTCACTGTATTTGATTGCATTAACGGTCGTCTTGCTATCCAGTAACTCCCAGTACACCACTCCCTCCATATCCCAGAAAACGCAGAGCATAAACCTCTTCTGGTTCAAATCGGGCTTGCGGTCACTTTCGGGTTTCTCGCCTGGTCCCGCCCATTGCCACTTCCTCCGAAAGTTCACAGATAAAACCCATTTTCTCATCTCCTGTCACAATTAGAGGAAGAGAGGATTTCAATTGCAGGCAATTTGCAGATTCCTCTTTCGTAGTAGGATTTTGGTTTGTGTGTGAGACAAGTGTGAGACTCAAAAATCGAGGACTGGAGATGGAGACTGGAGATCCCAGTTTGAGCACTTTCTTCAAAAGAAACCCATTTTGGTGTCAATAGAAAAGTTGTAGAGAATCAAAAATTAGGCTTATAGCCAAATTTCCAAAAAGATACACTTAGTAATTTCGCTTAAAATGCAAGTTTTGTGAAAAATTCGTAAATTTCGCATTTCTTGAAAACCAGTTTTTGAATCGTTCTGAAAATTTGGATATAAGCTTGATTTTTGATTCTCTACAACTTTTCCATTGACACTAAAATGGGTTTCTTTTGAAGAAAGTGCTCAAACTGTCACTTATGGAAATAGCTCGCAGTTTTCAATTCATCAATAGATTGAGATTAGCCTTGATTTGAGGAGAAGTCAATGTCCAATTTGAGGATTCGTATTGGAACCGTATTAGATCAAAAAAGGAACCGTATTGGAGTGGGATTGGAACCGTATTAGTTCAAAAAAAGGAACCGTATTGGAATCGCATCGGAGCCGGCCAGATTAGTTCAACAAAGGGAGAGGGAAGGGGGTTATGTAAAAGCCCTGCGCCAGACGACGAGCGATTACGCGGCCTCACAAAGAACACGCAGAACAATTTTAAGCGAAACTACTAAGTGTATCTTTTCGGAAATTTGGATATAAGATTCATTTTTTGATTGACACCAAAATGGTTTTTTTTTGAAGAAAGTGCTCAAACTATCACATATGACAATAGCCGGCAGTTTTCATTTCACCAACCCAATAGAATATCTAGAAGTTGTTTAAAACTACGGTAATCGTTTAAGATTTTCTTTGAAATAAAATTGTGAATATTTTTGCGCATTTCAATCATTCCATTTATGTTACTGAGAGTTCCAGTTTGGGTATTATTATTATTATTATTTTTTAATTTCCATATTCCTGAACTGAACAAAGCTTACAAGTTATCTTTAAAATTGTCAGTTTTTAATTTCTAAAATTTCTCTTTTTCGTTATAAAGCTAGAAATTGATAGAAAAGGCGTTGGCTTTCATTTTCATTCATTTTCATTCATTTTCATTCATTTTCTTTCTTTTTCTTTCTTTTTCTTTCTTTTTCTTTCATTTGCATTCATTTTTAAATTGATTTCCGCTATTTTCTAAACGCTATCGAATCCCTTTTCTACAGTAAAACTCTGCTATGTTTTGAATGCTTTTTTGTTAACTTTTTATTGTTTTCTGAATTATCCATATCACTATTACGCTAATTTTCATTAATCTGCAATATTAAAAATTTCGTATAGCTTTATTTTTTTCCATTTTCTTTAATATTTCATAAATTTTTAGTTTTTAAAGTACAGGATAGCTTTTTTTTTTGAGCGCTACAGGTTAACAAGATTGACGGATAAATGAAAAGATCAAGTTCAGAATCAAGAAAAACACTTAGAGCAACAAAGCTTCGACTCCAACGCAAACACTAACAAAAACTGAAAGCTTTGGAGTAACAAAGCTGGAAACTAGCCAAGCTGGAAGGCAGTTGAAAAGTTGGCGTTAAAAATTTCAACTTTTTCGCAAACCTACAAAATCGAAGCTGTACAAAAATAGAGCAAAAAGCGTACAACAAAAAGCGTACAGTAGAAAGCGTACAGTAGAAAGCGTACAGTAGAAAGCGTACAGTAGAAAGCGTACAGTAGAAAGCGTACAGCAGAAAGCGTACAGTAGAAAGCGTACAGTAGAAAGCGTACAGTAGAAAGCGTACAGTAGAAAGTGTACAGCAAAAAGCGTACAGCAGAAAGCGTACAGTAGAAAGCGTACAGTAGAAAGCGTACAGTAGAAAGCGTACAGTAGAAAGCGTACAGTAGAAAGTGTACAGCAAAAGCGTACAGCAAAAGGCGTCCAGATCTGCAGAGAAAAGGCACCAAATTTGTAGAGAAAAGGAACCAAATTTGTAGAGAAAAGGAACTGAATCCATAGATTAAAGGAAACAAATTTGTAGAGCAAAAGAACTAGCCAATCTAGCCCCACAACAACTCGTGATTGAAAAGATGAAATCTTTCTAAATCTTGAAAGATTTGAAAGATTGGAAAGATTGGAAAGCTTGGAAAGCCTGGGAAGCCTGGAAAGCCTGGAAAGCTAAAGCAAAGCAAAGCAAAGCAAAGCAAATTAGAAAGCACAGACACTAGAGGCGAGACTACTTCAAAGCAGACACTTTAACAGTAAAACAAAAGCCCAGCTTACTCCAAGAGATCTCAAAAGATGTCATCTTTAATTAGATGTCGCCACTTCTTCCCCCATCTCATTCTCCTCACTCATTCCCCTCAAAACACCTCTTCTCGTCGATCGTAAATGGTGAGTTCCAATTTGCCTCCACCAGACCTAATCTTCATTCAGAAAAGGGGATGGAAATTTTCTCAAAACCTTTTTTTTTCATTTTCTTCAACTCAAAGCCTACTCCAGGAGAGGCTTGGTACTTTTATGGTCCAGAATAGGTCTAGAATAGGTCCAGAATAGAATCAACGTATTGATAATACTCTAAGATCAAGGTCAACCCAGTTTTCCCCTTCTTTCACTGAGAAATTGATGCTCAATTGTCTGTCATTGTCTGTCATTGTCTGTCATTGTCTGTCATTGTCTGTCATTGTCTGTCATTGTCATCAATTGTGTAAATCTAACACCAATCAAATTCCTCTAGTCAAAACGATTCACCGATTCATTTTAAAATCGATTTTCGAAAAATCTAATTAATACTATTTTTTACATGCTATCCAACTAAGAAAAAGCCAAAGTTTCAGAAAAATTTGTTTACTCAAAAAAAAAGTTAATCGTTTGAACACGTTTCTAACCTCTTTTTCTCTAAAAACCTCAAGATTTCATCAAGAAATTCTTGTTTTAAAAGCACTTAGGCTCCAAAAAACAATGAGCTAAACATTTTACTAGAAATTTTCACTTAAATTTAACTTAAACAAGAACTAGATATTACGATAAAACAATTAGCTTTTCGAGTTTTTTCGAGTTTTTCGCTTTTTCCTTTCATTATTTCCTTAAAACAGATGACAAAGAAGAGAAAAATGATTGAAAAAGACTAATCAATATGTAATTCAGTTTTGTAACAAGTTTTTAACAGTTTTCTATTTGAATAAGTAAATCTGGAAGAGATCTCCGTGTTCACTCTAATAACTTTTTTTGAGTAAACAAATTTTTCTGAAACTTTCGCTTTTCCTTAGTTGGATAGCATGTAAAAATTGGGCTTAATTAGATTTTTAAAAAAATCGTTTTAAAAAAAATCCTTTTAAAAAATCGTTATGCCAAATTTCCTAGGGAAAACAGATGATAAAGAAGAGAGAAAATGATTCAAAAAGAATAATCAATATGTAATTCTGTTTTTTTCAACTTTTGTGACAAGTTTTTAACAGTTTTCTATTTGAATAAGTAAATCTGGAAGAGATCTCCGTGTTCACTCTAATAACTTTTTTTTGAGTAAACAAATTTCTCTGAAACTTTCGCTTTTTCTTAGTTGGATCGCATGTAAAAATTGGTATTAATTAGATTTGAAAAAAAATCGTTTAAAAAAAATTGTTTAAAAAATTGTTTAAAAAAAATCGTTTAAAAAAAATTGTTTTAAAAAATCGTTGTGCCAAATTTCCTAGAGAAAATGTCCATCGTATTACTCTAGCTCATCTTTCACGACTCTCCTTTTTCATCCTTTTCCCCTTTAAAACATTCTCTTTTCTCAATTGGTCATTTCTAAGTGCCTTTAAAATAGTCAAATTGTTTTTTCGGCTTTACATTTTTTGGCATCACCAAATTTGTTCAGAGTTGATACGTGGTCAGAGTTGATACGATTCAAGAGGCTAGATCAAGCTGAGTGATGTCAAATCAGCCTAGCTAGCTAGCTTCTTGTCAAATCAGCCTAGCTAGCTTCAAAAAAAAATTTCAAAAAATTTTCTTTTTTTTATTTTTATTTTTTTATTTTCAAATCTTTATGTGCATTCCAATTTGATTATTTTTTTGATTTAAATTCAAAAAATTTAATTTTAAACCAAAAATTTTAATTTAAAGTCAAATTTAGTTTGATGTTTTCAATTTTTGACTTACAGTTTAGCTATTTCGACTAAACAATGTTGTACTATTTACGGCCACGACTTCTCCAAGGACAACGCATCTCAAATCACAATCATCCAGGTGATTTTGGAAAGTGGAGTTTGATTGATTAGGAAAAGCGCACATCAACGGCGTATCAACGTAAAAAGCACGTCTCTGGCACACCTAGTTGATCGGGTTGGGAAATGATCTTGCAAAGCAATTCTTATGCTAGAAAACAAGCGAATTCTTATGTCAATCTCTTGACTGCTGTCCAACTTGATTAGAGTTCGATTTTTAATGCAAATTCATCGTTTCTTTCTTTTCAAATCCCTTCAAACTCTTCCTTGCTAGTTTTCTAAGAAATTCTTGCAACAACAATAGCAACAGCAACAACAGCAACAACAGCAACAACAGTAACAACAGCAACAACAGCAACAACAGCAACAACAGCAACAACAGCAACAACAGCAACAACAGCAACAACAACAACAACATGTTTTTCTGAAAAAGAAAAACAGTGTCTATGTCAGGTCATGAAATTTCTGTTGTTTTTAGATAAGTTGAGGGTTGATTTGAGAAGATGGATGGCTTTGACAAGTTGTTGAATGAAGAAAAAGTTTCATTGAAGTACATAGAATAACGGACTGAGATTCGGTGACCCAAAAATTAACAGAATGATGACAACAAACCTATGTGCTGTTTAGAGAAGTAATTCAACGCTTGAGTGGTCAGAGTCGATACGATTCAAGAGGCTAGATCAAGCTGAGTGATGTCAATCAACCAAGCTAGCTTCTCCACCAGCTAGCTTCTCCACCAGCTAGCTTCTCCACCAGCCAGCTTCTCCACCAGCTAGCTTCTCCACCAGCTCAGCTTCTCCACCAGCTTCTCCATCAGCTTCTCCACCAGCTAGCTTCTCCACCAGCTAGCTTCTCCACCAGCTAGCTTCTCCACCAGCTAGCTTTTAGAACAACTCTGAGCAAATCGTGAACTAAGCCGAGATCTTTATAACAAACTAAGGCTTGACTCTATATTCTTGGTACTCGGTTTCCCCTTGGTTTATCGGAATCCCTCTCTCGGATTTTCACCCCTTCCGCAACTCGGGGGTGACTCTGAGGCACCCAAGGGAACAGGAAAAGACGACAAATAGGCAAGGAGGACCCTGGACCCCATTCAACGCCCACTTTCCAACACCCCGGCATCGAGGGCCCTCGATCGATGTCTTGGGGCCGTCGAGCCTCTATATAGAACTTTTGGCCGTGGTCCCGGGGCCCTCTCTCTCAGCTGTTCGTTGCCTAGCGCCTTTTCTGAAAAAAAATTTCATCTTTTCCTCAATTTCTCTTCAGTTTCAGTCATCCTGGAGTGCACACGATCGTCTGAATCTCTTCTTTAACGTTAAACTATTTTTTTCTCGCTTTCATCTCATACTCGTTTTCCCGTCAAGATCTTTTGTTGAGGGGAATTTTATTCTTTCTCTAGTTTTTCTAAAGTTTTGTTAATCTTAGAGGGCATTTGATCGTCTGAATCTCTTAGCCCGAGTGATAATCTACATTTTTTCAATTTCTGCACCATCGTTCTCTATCAAAGTTCTCCTCAAGGTCTCGGCTCTCTCCAATTTCCTTCAAATTCTTCACTCTTTCTTCTCTAGTGTCTCTTTTTCTTATTTCACGGCGACATCTAGAAATCAGCCTCCTTTGGGCAGTGTCCAGTCTCTTTTTGATCTGAAACGCGTCACAGTGCGTTTCAAACACTCGATACTATGCCGGCTCTTGATCGGGCCACAGCGCCCGTCCAACAGCATCGTAAGTTTCGGTTGTGATTTCCAAACGATCATTTTCTGAGCCAGAGGCCTTAAGAAATCGTTTTCAGAGTGGGTGTGGGCGGGCGTACTCTCAGCGGCCGGTTTGATGACAATTGTGCTTGGTGAGTGGAGGTTTTTTCGATAAAAATCATTTATCTGGAACGCACTATAGCATTTAGGTTGATTTCTAGAAAAATTAAAGGCTTTTAAAAAAAAAAGCTTTCTTTCTCACTCGATTTCTCGATTTTTCAATGTTAATTTTAAATGATATGTAAATTTTTGTAAATCTGATTACTGTAATGACTTCAGTGGCTGGATTGCTTTTGATGAAACGTCGCCGCTCCTCTCAGCACACCTATCCATCACTTCTTCTCCCACCAAAACAGGCGGTCGCTGTGAAGAATGTCAATCCAAAAGTGAGTTTGAATGAGTGATATGAAAAAGGGTCAACAGTGAAGCTAAACTATGCCAGATTCCGACCAAAATAGAGCACATCTTCCAGATCAACTCAAGATTTAGCCAATCAACTCAAGATTTAGCTAAAGTCAGACTAGCTCAGATCACTACCAAATGTACCACTACCAATTGTTACCCAAGCTACAGTAACCCTATCGTACAGCTACAGTAACCCTAGCTACAGTAACTTTCAAAACGCAATAACCAACCTTAGCTAAAGCTAAAGTCGATCATCCGAAATACAAGTTGAATCAAAGCTTTCTTTTGTGGTTTTTTGAAAACCAGCTAGAGCTAGAGCTAGAGCTAGAGCTAGAGCTAGAGCTAAAGCTAGAGCTAGAGCTATAGCTATAGCTATAGCTATAGCTAGAGCTAGAGACGGATTACGGTATTTCCCACGACTTTAATATTGCTCAGATTTGCGACTTTTCTTATGACCTTTACATTCAAGAAGCTTTTCAAGAAATTCTCCCCCAAAAAATTCAAACGTCTAGCTTTTCTCGCTTTTTCACCTTTCTCTAATCTCTTACCTCCGCTCAAACTTGTTTATGCCTCAAAAAATTCTCGATTCTTCCCAAAATAACTATCGATTTTCACTTAGTTTCCCCTATTCTGGAGCGCACACAGCCAACTATCGAAATTTGTTTTTCTCCTTTTTAGCCGTTGAGACTTTGAGCCTCAGGCTCCCAGGGTTGTTTATCACGTGCCCTCTCTATCCAAATGAAAAGTCGATTCTTTTCCCTCCCAATCCCTTTCGTGCGTCCCAGAACGGCCACTGATGAGGCTAGAAGCGAAAAAAGAGCTGAGAAAGCGAAGACAACCGACTCACATCATCATACACCTCCCCGGGGCTCCCCTCTCGATCACCCTTTCGCTTTCTTTCTCGACCAATCTCTTGTGTGCACTCGATATCTCCGTTCTCTTTCTTAGAATAGGCAGCATATTCCCCTAATTGAATTAATCACATCGCAAACATTCCATGGTCGGAGGAGGTGGCCATCGCCTTTTCTCATCCGGGCAGGTCCCCGCAAAATCGATGAGCGCCCGGGGTGACCTCCAGGATACGTAATTAGAGCCTATTCATAAATAATTTATGCGCAGAAAACGAGAAAATCTTCCAATCTTGTAGCTCTCAAAATCAAGGGAAACAAAATTTTTATTGAAATCCAAAAATACTGCTTGCTCATCGTTTCATGACGTCCAGATTACATCATCAAGGGATTAGCGCAAAAGAAAATTGAAATTGAAAGGAAATCGCTTAATTAAAGGTCAAAGTCCAAAACCCCCAAACCATTTCAGGTAGTTCAAAGTGCGGCCGGTCTACGTCAAGTGATTTCACCTGTTCAATCGCCACTCTCCACCGACAGCACTCCATCACCAATCACTCCATTTCACTCATTGCTTGAGGTTGAAAAAGAGGTTAAACTCAAAATTTGACTTAATTTTAGGAAAGAACCCGTAAACTCTCACCAGGTGAATTACCCGAACATCGCGGTAAAATCGATTTTGAGCTAGCCTATGACCCGTGCTCGTACAGTCTTCAGGTAACACAAGATCTATCGATAACAAAGAGATCTCCACATTCACTTCTAGGTGACGGTGGTCGGTTGTGCGGATCTTTGCGAAGTGGAACTCTCGCGTGACGGTCAATGCTTGCTCGATCCTTACGTGAAAATTCAGCTTCTACCCGATAAAGAGCACCGCGTAAAAACCAGGTGATGGGCCTAACAAGCTGACTTGGAGTCCAAGGGCTTGGATTTGGATCTTACAAGCTGACTTGGAGTCCAATGGCTTGGATTTGGCCTTACAAGCTGACTTGGAACCCAGCGACTTGGATTTGGATCTTACAAGCTGACTTGGAGTCCAAGGGCTTGGATTTGGATCTTACAAGCTGACTTGGAGTCCAAGGGCTTGGATTTGGATCTTACAAGCTGACTTGGAGTCCAAGGGCTTGGATTTGGATCTTACAAGCTGACTTGGAGTCCAAGGGCTTGGATTTGGATCTTACAAGCTGACTTGGAGTCCAATGGCTTGGATTTGGATCTTACAAGCTGACTTGGAGTCCAAGGGCTTGGATTTGGATCTTACAAGCTGACTTGGAGACCAACGATTTGGATTTGGGCCTTACCAGCTGACTTGGAATCCAAGGGCTTGGATTTGGATCTTACAAGCTGACTTGGAACCCAACGATTTGGATTTGAGCCTTACAAACTGACTTGGAACCCAAACCCGTCTCTTACCTATCGAGTATCTAAGCCAGATCCTAAAGATCAATTTAGCAGTCCAATAGCAGAGCAGTCCAATACCCTAGTAACCTCTACTGACATCCATAACCTCCAAATTTTACTTTAGAATCGTACGCTCAACGACAAATCCAATCTACGAGGAGCAGTTCACTTTGTATGGTGTCGGTCCAGAACAAATCAACAACGCCGCTTTGTACTTCCAGGTTTTTACTGTTAAATTTGCCAATTTGCCAATTTGCCAATTTGCCAACTATGACACTCAGATTCGTCAAACTTGAATACTTTTCCCGTTTTCCATTTCTGTTTCCGTTTTCCAAATTTGAATAGCCAATTTCCGCTGAACAACTACACTAAACAAGCGCTACATGACAGTAACTCGATAGTCTAATTTCCGTCTAGCCAATTTTAGCCAAAAAAAATTATCCAATTAGCCAACACTATGCTCAATAGTAGCCAAAAAAAAAAAAAAATCTTAATTTGAAAACAATTATTTTTAACTTTGACTCATTCTCAAATTCGAGAAATTTACATAAATTTTTCGCTAATTTCTTTTTTTTTGTTTCCCAATTGATCCAAATGCTTTTTTTTTTCTTTAAAGCTTTTTCTGGTCTCTGGAGCCACAAATTTGGCATAAAAGAGTCCAAAAAAGGCCAAAAAAGGGGCCAGATTCCAGTATGGAATCGCTTCAAAATCGTATAGTCGATTTTTACGTAAAACAATAGAACATTTCGGTCTGAGTTAGAGTTTTTTGAAGATTCTGGAATACACAAAGGTGATCTCTGTAAAATTCGTCGACTTAAATGCGGGATTTTAGGATTGCGTTTTAGGATTTTTGGGTTTTCCGGATTTTAACGGCTTAGAGAATGAAAAATTAAGCTATTTATAACTTTAATAAGCTATCTGGCACACACAAAAAGTTCTTCAGCTAATAGATATTTGCATAGATTTCTGCAAAATTTAGGTCGTCGCTTTCGATCGCTATTCCCGGGATACGGTGATCGGTGAGGGTGTCTACCGTTTGGAGGATTCCGATCTAACAAACCAGAACAATGTCAAGGTATTAAACTTCAAAAATCAATCTCTCAATTTCTGCTCAATTTCAGTTGAGCGTCGATTTGCGCGGTGAAGTCGGAAGCGAATCGGGAGAGGTGAGGCTCAATTGATTCATTTACTCAATAACCTTTTCTCAGGTTTTGGTCTCTCTCACCTATCAACCAGCTTTCAACAACCTCACCGCCGTCATTCTCAAGGCACGTGCACTGCCCATCCGTGCAAATCATCATATTGGTGAGTGGCAATGGTCGCTAAGAAAAGTCAAGCCAGGCTGAGTCAAAGCTTGTTTTGCCAGGAGTTGCCAGGGGTCAAAGCTGGTTATACCAGAAGTTACCAGGGGTCAAAGCTGATTATGCCAGGATCTTTTAAAAAACGATAATCATTAAATCTAATCCAAAACTTCTAGGCTGTCATTCTTAAAGTCCATTTCTTGATTTCTTGAGTTGACTCGAAGATTTTGCGGGGTTTATGAACGCTTCTTGCCCAATGATAGATAGTTCCCATGGGATTTAACACTTAAACTTCAAAAATCAAAAATAAACTTTGATTTTGAAAGCATGAATGGAAAGCAATCAAAATCAAATTAAAGCAAAAACAATTTTGCAGATCCCTACGTGAAGTTGTATCTACGAAAGGAGAATGGCGAGCGTTTGGTGAAAAAAAAGACACATGTCAAGGTGAGGGGCGGGAAAGTAGTTGGAATCAGTTGGAATCATCTGGAATCATCTGGAATGCATTTGAGCTTATTTTTGAAGCTTTCTGAACTGAAATTTCCAATAATTTTGTGTCAATTTTGATAATTCAACTGAACTTTACAATTCCAGCGCGGAAATCAACATCCCGTCTACAATGAGTCATTCGTTTTGGAGTTACCCGAGGACAAACTCGACACGGCACTTATCGATTTGCAGGTGAGTCTATTGGCAAGACATGATCATCAGATCTAGCCTATGTCAAGGCTGGTCTTAAGTAGAGAAAGCCAGGCTAAACCAGGACTGATAGTGAGCTGGAATAGTGAAAAAGCTGAGCTTAATGATTGAACGGACTTGCTAGAGTTGCTAGCGTTGCTAGCGTTGCTAGAGTCGCTAGAGTCATGCTAGAATCAAAGCAAACAATGATCGTGCTCCAGAGAATCCAAAAAGTTGCGTTTAGGTTGTGAACCACGATCGGAACAACCGAAATGACGTCATCGGTCGGGCTCTCCTCAATCGAGACGATCCACATGTGCAAGAGGTAGAAAAACCTTTTTTAAAAAAAATCAAAAGCTCGCTGTGAAACTAGAGCTAGAGCTAGAGCTAGAGCTAGAGCTAGAGCTAGAGCTAGAGCTAGAGCTAAAGCTAAAGCTCACTTTTCAACCGTAAAATTCAAAAAAGTTTGATTATCTTTAATAAATAGACTGTGCCGATTTGTAAATTTTGTATTGTAATGCTATAAATGGGATTTGTAAATGCTAAAGCTTTAAAATCTTCCAAAACCAAAAATTTTCAGGTTTTGGCCAATCCTGGTCGCCAAGTCTCGAAATGGCATCATTTGGAGTGAAAGGACACGACAAAAAAAGTGCGAAACATTGATCTCCTTAAAAGTAAAATGTTCTGAAATTGTTTTCAATGAAAATCTCGTCGTTGTGCAAATCTCGTCCTCTTTTCTTTTCCCTAATCCATCTCGAATTCTCGCGTAAAATCAATTGTAGTTTTCGCAAAAATACGTGTGCATTTCCCTCGGTCATCTTCGCGATTCAAAAACCCGGTGTTATTCTTCTTTTCCGAAAAATTACCCTAAATCGATCTTAACAATGCTATGCACTCGAGTAAATCTTGTGTTGATTAATGTTTCAAAAATGCATTCAAATCAATGCTTCAAATCAAGCTTTCAACGAACATTTCCCTATCGTTATTGCTATCTTCGGTGTCCAGGTTTGATGTCTATTTTTTTTCTTTTGTCAATTTGCTGTCAATTTGCTCTTGTTTTAACTGTGTTCTATTGGATTTTGGATCAAATTGGGTAGTTGATCTAAGCCAAGTTGGGTAGTTGATCTGAGCCAAGTTGAGTAGTTGATCTGAGCCAAATTGGGTAGTTGATCTGAGCCAAATTGGGTAGTTGATCTAAGCCAAGTTGGGTAATTGATCTGAGCCAAATTGGGTAGTTGATCTGAGCCAAGTTGAGTAGTTGATCTGAGCCAAATTGGGTAGTTGATCTAAACCAAGTTGGGTAGTTGATCTGAGCCAAGTTGGGTAGTTGATCTGAGCCAAGTTGGGTAGTTGATCTGAGCCGAGTTGGGTAATTGATCCAAAATCGGGATTGACAAGAAGCATTGAGTTGTTTTACCAAATTTGATCAATTATTCAATAGAACACTAAAATCTAACACAAGAAACAAGTGGTTAGCTCTGAATTTTGTAAAGAAAACGCTCGAATCAACATCAAAAAGCTTATTTTTTTTCGTAATTCGATAATTCACACTTTTCAATTTCGATTCGCTTTGTCGAAACGAAATTATCGGCTTTAAAAACCCCTACTTTGACGTCTTTCGTGAGTGGATGAGTGATCGAGAAGAGATCAAGTTGAACTGAAGAACTGAAGAACTGAAGTGCTGAAGATGTGCTCATCGACGAGACATTTGCCCACCACTCAATCACATTAAGCAATCGATTCATTGCTGATTCATGCGATTCAAAGCGACCTAAAGAAAATCGTCAACGCTGAATGCTCATTGTCAGAGTGACAAGTGAAAAAACTGATTTTCTCACCAATGAATGACACCAAAAACTCACCAATGAATGGCTCAAAAATGTGAAACGAATCGCAACTGATTCATCCTTTCGAGCACCACCGAATAGCGGCTGTTCTGCTGGATTGCAATACCGATTTTCGTGATCAAATTGCCTAAATCGGAATGCATTTCAGGAAAATTCGTCTTCTTATAATTCGCCAAATGTTTAGTCAATCTTTAGTTTTAAATACAAAAAAAAAAATCCACCTTTAATCAATGAGATGATGTGCATTTCGAGAAATGATCATAAAATGATCGTTTACTCTGTGAAGAGAGTCCCCTAAAGAGAAGAATGGATTAATTAAATCTATGAGGAAACAATCACTTATGATATTAAGCTTTCAATAAACCACATGATCATTACTTTGACTAAAAAAACGTACCTTTGTTTTGTATCGTTGCCGAATGAGCACAATCGGATAGTTTTTTTGTTGGCGATCAACATTTGAATCACCTAGAGAATGCATTAGAACTTGAAACTTATAACTTATGATACTAAAGAATGAGATTGACTAAGCTGTAATTGATTGGTTTTTTACCTGAATAGCGATCTTCATATTACCACTTTTCATATAATGTAGAGCGAAGAGCTCCCTCCTAAAGAAAAACGTTTATCAGACTGTTTTCAAGTATGACAAGTCATACCTGATGTAAAATGGAGTCTTTTTGACATTGTGTGAGCATATTTAAGACGATCGATCACCAGAGGGGTCATTCTAAAAGAATGAATCGGTCAGTCAGTAAATTTTTCAACGAACCGGTCGACATCTCGTCAAAGTCTCCGTGATTTCGGCATCGGAACGGCTGGAGAGACATTTAAAGATGTACATGAAGGGAAGATAGAAGATCTCTTTTTGATACTAAAGAATGAGATTGACTAAGCTGTAATTGATTGATCTTTTACCTGAATAGCGATCTTCATATTGCCACTTTCCATATAATGTAGAGTGATCAAGGAGGCTGTGTGCATTTCGAGCACTGATCACAACATGATCGCGTATTCGGTGAAGAGGGCACCCTGGAAAGGAAATTAATTAATTAAAGATATAAGGAAGCAATGGTATTAAGCTTTCAGTAAACCACATGATCACTACATTGACTCAAAAACGTACCTTTATTTTGTATCGTTGCCAAATGAGCACAATCGGATAGTTTTGTTTGTTGTCGATTAGAAAATTCGAATCATCTAACCCTTAAAATCTTAATTTGTAATCAAAATTTAAGTTCAAACTTTTCAGAAAGACGTAAAACATTTCGAAAAAGGATAGTTTAGATAAATTAGCGTAATTTTACAGCCGGTTTCCATTCGATCGGCTCAGTTTTGAAATAGGAATCAATTGGAATCAATAGGCATCAATAGGCATCAATAGGAATCAATAGGAATCAATAGGAATCAATTGGAATCAATTGGAATCAATAGGAATCAATAGGAATCAATTGGAATCAATAGGAATCAATTGGAATCAATAGGAATCAATAGGAATCAATAGGAATCAATAGGAATCAATAGGAATCAATAGGAATCAATAGGAATCAATAGGAATCAATAGGCATCAATAGGAATCAATAGGCATCAATAGGAATCAATTGGAATCAATAGGAATCAATAGGAATCAATAGGAATCAATAGGAATCAATAGGAATCAATAGGCATCAATAGGAATCAATAGGAATCAATAGGAATCAATAGGAATCAATAGGAATCAATAGGCATCAATAGGAATCAATTGGAATCAATAGGAATCAATAGGAATCAATTGGAATCAATAGGAATCAATTGGACTCACATAGCTCAGTCAATGATTCAAAAATCGAGCCGATCGAATAAGAGTTTATGACGATAAGATTACTACGATAATTTGGTCTAAACTTGTCTGATGCCTTTTAGAAAACTTTTAGACATTTTCTAATCATTCTACAGAGAGAAAAAAGCACTTTAATTCTTTCATTTTATCTTTTCATTAATCTCAATCAAAAAAAAAAATTCATTACATTATTAGATTCTAATATTTTAAAATATTGGGTTGCCCAGTTATGAATGCGCGTTTTTTGCTATTTTGTAAATTTCTCAAGATACCGAAATCAAGAAAAAGATATCTATGAGTATTATTCGAAAGCTGAAGATCTCTTCTACATTTTGATATAAAAAGTTTTTGAATTTGTTCAGCTTTTGGGCAAATTGACTGCACAGAAGAAGAGGTGGCAAAAAAATGGAAGGGTGCCTTTGGATCAAGTTTTGGCTCCGCTCAAATTGAGTTAACCGTTTTGATGTTTGGCACAATAGATACATCAATACAACTTTTTTTAAAAATATAACAATTTCAGAGCATCTTTACTTTTCTTTTCTAGGCGATTATTTTACACCATAAAACTTGAGGAATAGCTAAGCTGGAATGGGTTTTTTCGAAAATGACCTCTCCCTTTATGCAGTCAATTTCCCAAAAAATTGAATGAATTCAAAAACTTTTTCATTTCAAAATGTAGAAGAGATCTTCAGCTTTCGAATGATATATAACACTCATATAAATCTTTTCGATATCTTGAGAAATTTACAAAATAGTAAAAAAACGCATTCATAACTGGACAACTCAATAGTAAACCTGTACTTTAACAACTTCAAAAGCACTTCTCGTTATCGTATTGATCGATGATGGGATGATTGTCGAGGTGAGTACCTGAGAAAACGTTGATGAAATGCAAAAAGTTGTCATTTTAATGGAAATTCGATCAAGTAAAGGTGGATTACGGGAATTCGTCTAAAATACGTATCTTTTAGCATCTCATCTTCAAGGTGCAAGCTCGTAAACTTGCAAAATCCAACCAAAATTTTGTTTTTTCCATTTACCGGAAAAAAAACTGTTTGTCTGTTCTTCTCCATTTCCCTTCTTTTTAGACTAAACTCTAAAGTAAATCAAACTTAAAAGTTGGTAAATACGCATTACAAAAAACAAAGTAAAAGTGTTTAATTGGATCAATTGACAAATAAATTTATTACTCTCAAAAGCACAAAATTCTCAATTTCACAAGTAAAAAGCACCCTCAAAAAATCAAAAGAGGACTAAGGATTTCCCGACAAAATATGACAGTTTGAAAAAAATTCTTAAGTAAAACGTATAAAAAAAAATCGACTCTAATCACAGCTAAATGATCTAATCTACGAAACTATCGAACTAAATTCACTATACAAACTAAATTTTCTATTTTACTACCGAAAATTGTCGCTTCGAGAGTGGCTGACAGTTTAGGGTACACTCAGTGTTTGACCTGAATTGATTAGAATTATGAAATGACTTTAGATCATCGAATATCATTCATTAAAAGATCATCGAATCTAATTGAATTTGAACTACAACAATTTGATAGTTCGAAGACTGAAGCTTTTCTTCGAGTTTCAATCATTTACAAAAATCCCCACTTCTTCCACAATTGCACGTCCACTCATTTCAGCTGGCACGGGTAGGCCCATAATGTGGAGAACGGTCGGCGCTACATCACACAAAGCCATCTCGCGATCGGGCAATGAGGAAAAGAATCTTAAAAAAGTTTTGATCATCGGAAGTTGATCAATTTGCTTTGATCAATTCGCCAATTTCACATCGGTTTAGGTTTAAAGAATGACTTGAGATTTCAGAGAAACAATTCTAAACTTTAAACTTTAAAACTTACTTGAACTTTTCGGACGAACAAGTGAAGGGTACAGGGTAACAGGTGTGTGCCGTATGTTTTCCACCATCAGGCGCAATCATCTTCTCGGCGTTTCCATGATCGGCCGTCACCATACACACGTAACCTAAAAAGTAGCAAATTAATCTAAAATTTGCTCAAATATGCTACTGCTTTTAGGTTAGCTTTTAGGATTTTATAAAAAGTCCCAACCATGTTTCTCGCAAGCCTCAAAAATGCGTCCAATCGCCACATCGGTCGCTTCGCAAGCCTGGAAATGATAGAATTGATAAAATCTTATAAAAAGACGGTAATTCTAGACAAAAAAAACCTTTATAACTTACCTTAATCGCTGCCTCATAAACTCCAGTGTGTCCAACCATATCGGGTGGAGCGAAATTGCACATGATGAATGGGTGCTGGCCTGGAAAAAGCAAAAGTTGTTAGATCTAAATTATTTATCACACACATTTGCTGTTATATCTAATTTAAATTATCTCTAGATCAGTTGTTTTCTCAAAAACCCTCACCAATTTCAATCTGTTCGATCATTTTATCCGCAACACCAGCCGCCGACATCTCCGGTTGATGATCATAGGTAGGCACCTAGAAATGAAAGGAATTTCAAAAGGAGAAACCGTCAAAGATCAAAGATTGATATAGTTAATCAAGAATTACTACTTAACACAGCTTTCTTCAGTACTTAACAGAGCTTTCTTCAGTAACACACCTTTGGACTGGGCACCATGCATCGCACTTCTCCCTTGAATTGTGCCTCGCGTCCGCCATTGAAGAAAAACGTCACGTGCGCGTATTTCTCAGTCTAAAGGGGGGAATTTCGAAAGAGTAAAACTCTAAATTGACCTCAGCACAGTGAAATTGTGTGACTTTTTGCTCAGCCAACCACTCGGCCAACACATTTTTGTTGGATACTGGTGGGAAGAGAGACGGGAATGGGAATTCGGCCTTGTATTGAGTCATTCCTAAAAGAGAAAATTGTTAAACGATTAAACTATTCAACCAAATAGGCATTTAATGTGCTTTACCGAATGCCGAAATGCCTGATTTAAATTTAAAATGCTTAAAATGCTTAAAATGCCTTTAAATTGTCCAAATTTGAATTAAAACCGATTATTAATTGCTAACAATGCCTAAGTTTAGTGCAAAACAAAAAAAAACCATCGTAACCTTTCTGCAAAATTTCTTATCAGAGTCTCAGTCTTAATATTTACTCAAATGTAGCCCAAATTATCCAAGTAACAAGCCAAAAACTAACCGCAAACAAGTAAATTCTTGGGATGAGCGAGTTGTGATTGACAGTGTTGATTCCCTCCCTCGATTCCCATCACTTCCGAGATTTCCCGCATCCGATCAGCGCGATAATCGAAGAAGATAAGCGTGTCATCGTCCTGAATCAAATATCTATGGTAAAAGATTGCAAAACTGAAGATAATCACCTAACTAAAGCACCTAACTAAAGTAAAATACTAAACTCTACCTTAACTCTTCCCTTTTCTCCATTCAAAATGATCGGTTTAAGGAATTCGTCTGTTTCGTTTGCCGCATATCGCCCCTCAACGACTTTTAACGCCTAAATTTGCTAAATTTTATCACATCTTCTCAGAAACTTTAAGGTAATTATTAGTATGATTGAAAAGATCGAGCTTTTGCTCAGCTTAGCTCAACTTTCGCTTAAATTCTACATAAATTTCGAACAATTTTTGGTTATTATGTATTAGGAGATGCTCATTTTTATTCTTTTATCAAACCAAAAGCCACTAACTGATTGCTTGTCACTTTGTTCTCCCTTTGTCGCGTCCAACATCGCCTCATATCCCACAGCGATTCGTTCCCACCTCTTGTCACGATCCATTGCGTAATATCTAAAGAATATTTGTTAATTAACAACATTTATCTAAAGAATATTTGTTAATTAAAAACGTTTATCTAAAGAATATTTGTTAATTAACAACGTTTATAATATTCAGGTTAACGGCTTGTTCTAGATGTTTTTAAACCAAAGCAAAGTGTTTTAAAACTTCTAGAAGAATCAAATCAAAGAATCAAATTAGCCACGCATTTCCTGGAAAGCCTAACCTTCCAACGATTGTCGCAATTTCTCCGAATTGTTGCTCGTCGAGGAAATCGATCGTTTGCTTGAGGAAACCGACTCCGGATGTAGGTGAGGTGTCACTAAACTAGTCTTGTTTCTAGTCTTGCTTAAACTTAATCACCGTCCATCTCCGTAAAAGTGAATGTGTAACTCGGGCACTCCAAGCGCTTTAATCGCTTTCACCAACGCGAAGAGATGATCTGAAATGGGTGAAATTGTTAGTCAATTCAGAAGGTTTTTAAGGCTTCAGAAGGCTATCATAGCTTTTTTTAAAAGCTCAGAATCAGTACTAAATTTTTTTTTTTACTGTCCAATGAATTCTGGCCAGGCTTTCTACAAAAATCGTATCTATTTTGCATATTTTAACAATGGTAGTGTTGTTGTTGAAGTAAATGCACAACTAGAAGCATAGTTTGATCACAAACTCACCAATATGTGAGTGCACTCCACCATCAGAGACGAGACCCGCCAAATGGAGACGACCATTTCCTTTCTTCGCTCGATCACACGCCGCTATCAGCGTCGCATTTTTTACCTGAATGAAAAAAAGTTGCTAAAAATTGATTCCCAACTCACTAAAGTGTCGTTCTTGATGGAAAGATTGATTCGCACAATATCCTGATAAACGGGTCGACCGCTGCCAATGTTGAGATGTCCAACCTAAATGAGTGTAGATTTTGGCCAATCTTTTTAAATCCTTTACCTCTGAATTACCCATGAGACCCTCGGGAAGACCGACGTGAAGACCGTGTGCCTCGATTCGTTGCCAGTTGCCTAAAGAATATGTTTTACAATGTTTTACAATGTTTTACAATGTTTTACAATGTTTTACAATGTTTTACAATGTTTTACAATGTTTTACAATGATTTACAATGTTTTACAATGAAAATTGATTTAATTTAGATTCAAGGCATAGTTTTTTCAGTGTTTCATCTGATTCTACCCATTTATAACTCTAGTGATAGCCATGTTTTCGATTTCAACAAAGAAATAAACGTGGTTTGTTCAGAATAACGATGTTGGACAGCTAAAACCTTTTTTTACTGTCCTGCATACTTCTTTTTTTGCTTTCAATACTCTTTGATCTCCAGAAGTTAGCTTCATAAAAGCTATTCATAAGCGTTATAATACACGGAGCTCAAAAGTCCAATATGTAACGGTAATAAAAGAATCGTTTAGCTTTATGCTTCCCCAGCATCAAAATATGCTTAATAAGCCTTCTTCTTTTGCCCACACTCCTGCTTTTCTTTTCCAAACTCACCCGAGCACAATTTGTCCATCACCGGCGTGTTCGCGTGATGAATAGCATTCCCGTACGTTTCCTCGGTGATTCCCCAACCGTCGATCACAATCAAGCACACTTTGTTTGATACCTAGAAGAATAAATTATTGGGTTGGTGAATTGAAAACTGCCGGACTTTGAACTAAAATTTATTCAACATAAAACCATCAATTCATTGCAAATAATTTCCATTATTATTGACGACTTCTGCCCATTTTACAGGCAATTTGCGAATTCCTCTTTCGTAGTAGGATTTTGGTTTGCGTGTGAGACAAGTGTGAGACTCAAAAATCGAGGACTGGAGATAGAGACTGGAGATCCCAGTTTGAGCACTTTCTTCAAAAGAAACCCATTTTGGTGTCAATAGAAAAGTTGTAGAGAATCAAAAATTAGGCTAATAGCCAAATTTCCAAAAAGATACACTTAGTAGTTTCGCTTAAAATGTGAGTTTTGTGAAAATTCGTAAATTTGACATTTCTTGAAAACCAGTTTTTGAATCGTTCTGAAAATTTGGATATAAGCTTTATTTTTGATTCTCTACAACTTTTCCATTGACACTAAAATGGGTTTCTTTTGAAGAAAGTCCTCAAACTGTCACTTATGGACAATAGCTCGGCAGTTTTCAATTCACCAACCCAATAGTACTTCCTTAGTTGGATAATTGATTCATTCAAGAAAATCAGTGGTAAAGAACATCCTTGTGGACTTTAAAAACTTGCAAAGAACTATAAAAGTACCGTAGATCATTTAAAAACTTGAAATTTTTCTTATCAAGCTTCATTCCACTTAATGAGACTACTGGATCCTATAAACATTAACCTACATTACTTAAAATAACCAGAAAACCAGAAACTACATTAACCAGAGATCTAAAAGCTTAAAAACTTAAAAATTTCCTTATCAAGCTAAGCAAAAGCAAAATTTCCACCTAGCTAAGCAATAAAATTTTAATTTTTAGCGTAAAAAAGCAAATTTATCTTCAAAATTGCAGCTTTAAACGACAATTTAGCAGAAATTGAATTAGATCCACCATGAAAAGCTCAAAATTTCAACACTATTTATAATTTTTCTGTTTTCTACAATAAAAAACGCTCACCTTATCGTTGTTGGCCATTTCCTATTCGACTCGACACGCGTTACCCGTCGAAAAATCACAAGCTATTTCTGAAAATACACAAAAATTATCAATTAACACAAGAAACCAATGAAAAACAACAAATTTTGGTCAAAAAAAAAAGTGCAATCGATTGACTAAATCGATCAAAAACTTTTTTTGTTACAAATATTTTTTTTTCTTTCTTTTGGCAGTAATATATGATGTAAAGGGTCAACAAAGGAGTCACTCGTAGTCATAAAAAAGACAAGAGGTTAAAACCAAGAGAAAGGTTAAAAACAAAGAGAAAGGTTAAAAAAAAAAAGAAAGGTTTATTGGGCTCTAACTAGAATTGACTATCGCTCGATAGTCAATTCTAGTTAGAGCCCAATAAACGGGGCCTCTCGATAAGAGTAGTATACATATATATGGCACACCCATATATCCAAAAATCCCTCACTCAATTTTTACCCCTTTTTGGCTATTTTTAACCCTAAAATACGCAAAAAGCCTAAAAAATGTTATAAAAGGCTAATTTTTCCAGCAAATTTACAGTCAATATGTAGTTAGGTTCCTATTTACGTGCGACTTAAAGGGACTGTGGGAAGGGGAAAGCGCTTTAGAAAGTGCCGCGGCGCGCTTTCTAAAGCGTGGATGACCCCTACCGTACCGCGCACAAAATTCCCCATTTGCCATTCATTTAATTTTTCTCCATTTTGTGGTGGAGTCGTGTGGTGTTGTGCGACTTTTTATTTCGACTCGGCCATAAGTTTCCTCCCCCCTCCGTAAAATCTAGAATGGTTTTGTAGCGCGTTTTGAAAGTACTCCCTTCCCCTCCCTTCTTTTTATATGATTTGCCCATAGTTTGTTGTTTAGATTTCTAAAATGGTTTTGTTTTCTTTCTCTTGGCTCCTTTCTACGCCATTGCCATCAAATCTTTTGCATATGCCGCATAGACTTACAAGGGAAAGGCACCAACTTATGGTAGACAGAGCCTATCCGATGGTTTTAAAATGAGGCATAGCCTATCCGCTAGCGTTTTTTTTACGCGGATTCGGAAACTGCTTCTAGTTTTTGCCGAGTGGCACGGAAACGCAAGATAATTGCTGAACAAATTTTGTCGTGTTCTTTTTAAATCAAATTTAGACAGACCTTTCAATTTTGATTAAAAAAAAAACAAAATGAAGAATTCGAACCAAAAAGTTTGATAGGATTCCTATCAAACTTTTTGGTTATCAAACCTGACTAGCCATTAGACCACCGCTGCCGTTGAAAGGCCTACCTAAACTTTATTTAGAAAGAGCGAGCTAAAACTTGTTTAGCAAATATTTTTCGTTCGGCAAAAACTAAAAGCGGATTCGGAATCCGCGTAAAAAAAACTACATAGGATAGGCTATGTCTCATTTTAAAAGCTCGCCGTAAGTTGGTGCCTTTCCCTTGTTGGCTTAACCAATTCTCTTTCAACTAACTTTGGCTAACTAACAACACTTTCACCGCTTTTAAGGGACTCCCTTCCTCCTTTTCTGGCTGTTTTTCTTTTTTTGCTGTATTATAGCCATCCTTTTCTACTTTCATAGCAATTAGACTAATACGCGTTTGGTATTTAAAGTTCGTTTTGAGGGAATACATTTAGTTTTAACAAATCCCGTTGTCTCAAGCTTCCTTAGTCTCTCGCGTTTTAACTCTCAATATTTCAATTGATAGTCAATTTATAGTATTTAATTGTCCCGTATCTGACCCGATTTTGCCGATTTTCACCAATTTTGTTACGATATCTAGAAATTCACACGACAATAATTTCCCCATCCACTATAAATAGAGATCCAAATTGTCATTTGTATCATTTACAAATCATCTTATCTTCTTTACTTTGAAAACTCCCTTCTAACCTTCTTTCCTTTACTTTTTTTTGATCTCTTTTCAATTAAAATGTTCTTATTTAAAATGAATTATTAAGAAAAACAAAACAATTCGTGATTTTTCATCGTTTAATTTTATGAAATTTTATGAAAACTTTCAAAATCCTCCGTTGTAAACAGATTAGCCCTTTGTTTATAGACTTTTTCAAATTTAAACCGCGGTCAGGGCCCAGAAGTGGCTCATTCCTTTTGCAAATTCCCTTTGCTTCCAATGCCTCTTTATCAAATTCATTTCCCGTTAGAGCCGCTAGATTATGGAACTTGCTCCCAAACGACATACGAGAAATTCAGTCGCTTTTCATATTCAAGAAACGTATCGATGCTTTAGATCTAGTGGCTCTTTGCCGTAAGTAATTGGCTTATTGATTTCAGTATGTATTGTATGATTAAGTATCACTGTGCATTTCTCTATGATTTCTTTCACTTTATCGTTTGAATAAAGTATTATTATTACAAAGTCTAGTGTTATGATTCAATAAATGATAATTTGAAATATATCATGTTTTCAGGTAAAATGGAACTCGAAAGTATGAACTCTTCAGAAAGTGATGAAGACTCATGTGAGAGCCACAACAGTTCACTTGAAGACGAGGAACGGTGAGTCCATATTTAATAAATATATTTAAATATTTGTAGAAAATTAAATTTCAAAAAATTATTGATAACTCGAAAAACGTACTAAAAAAATAAAATCTTTGATCACATTTGCGAAAATTAAAATATATGAAATTAACATTGATAAAAAGCCAAGATTTGACAAGTTAAAATGGGGCGCAGTCAAAACAGCGCCATAATAGAAAACGTTCAAAACAGCGCCATAATAGAAAACGTTCAAAACAGCGCCATAATGAAAACGTTCAAAACAGCGCCGTTGAAAACGTTCAAAACGCCGTCAAAAAACCAAGCCGGTTCAAGTTTTATATCAAAAAATTCCTTGCGTTCTTGGCTACATGATGGGTGAAACAGTTTTTTAAAAAAAGTTAATATTTCACAGATAAAAAGAGCACTCAAAATGTGGGTCGAGTGATACTGAGTTGGTTAACTGAATATCTTTAGAGACCCATTTTGAGTGCTCTTTTTATCTGTGAAATATTCACTTTTTTTTAAAAAACTGTTTCACCCATCATGTAGCCAAGAACGCAAGGAATTTTTTGGTATAAAACTTGAACCGGCTTGGTTTCTTGGATTTTGAGAAATTTGACGGCGCTGTTTTGAACGTTTTCTATTATGGCGCTGTTTTGACTACCCCCCGTTAAAATCACCCCTTTATACTTCACGTTTTTTGCGAAGACAACCGGTAAGTTCGATTTTTTCATCTTTTTTCTGTGACAATTGTCCATTTTGATTTTGATTTTGTAAATTTAAGAACGATGAATGCCAAGGTTCTCTTCTCATCCACCAAGCAGATGGCCACCGAAGACCTCCCCAAGTTTACCATAGACGCAGCCGGATTTGAGGTCCACTTTGGTGATCAAACGATGATGTTCCAACACCCTAAGTCGCGTGTTCTTCAATACGAGTGTGGCACCGAAGGTTCAAAAAGACGCCTGACTATTTACGACGCGCAATTGATGGTGAATATTTGCTTAAGTTATTTATATTGTTAAGGGGAAAAGTGAAAGTTTATTGGCAAAGTTCACTTTCAATTTTGATTTATATCTTTAATTTTTATTATTTAGCTTGATCCTGCCGTCGAAGTTGACTTCGTCCTCGAAACTGGTCCGTCGGGCAACACCATCGTTGCCGAGGAGGACTTGATAGAGAAGCTCAAACAACATCAATACCGACTCCTGGAGCAGTAACCCTAACCATTTGTGTAAAATTTTTTGTTTTGTAATAAAAGTGTTGGAGGCTTTTAACAATTGTATCTTTGGTCACAACAAAATTAAATCTTTCATTATGACAAAATTATATATAGAAGTTTCAAGTTTATACGGATACAAAACACAAAATTTGCTTGAATTCGCGCAACATATTGACAGTTGTTAATCATCTTGACTGATTTTTTTTCTTGTCTGTCCTCAAAATTTAATTTTCATACATTCATACAAATTTCATACAGTTTCGTCAAAGTCAGACCTACTTATCTGAAAAGGTCAATCCAATTAAATGGTCTAAAAGAGCACGTGAGCACGTGTGGCTGACTGGTTAAGTGCCTTTTATCTTAATCGGAAGGTCGAGGGTTCGAACCCCACATGCGACATGGTCACCCCCTTCGGATTTCCTTTCCCTTCGGGTTGAGAGGTTTTCTGGAGGGCAGTCTGGTGGTTGTGGCCCCAGTTCTTTAAAGTGACAAGCCACTCCTTCATCGTCATCTTCCCTTCACCACCAAAAAAGCTATTTAGTTCCCCATTGAGCTTAGGGTTAGGGAGCCGTCTGTCATGACGTGGGTTAAGTTAAGATATAGCCTAGTATTGTGTGTGTCGTTGTATTGTGATTGATATATTTCGTGTATGCGATAAATTCACCACTGGTAGCCCCAGTCGGTATTTTTTTTTTTTTAAACTTATGATGTAAAAGTTTAATTAACTCACGGTTATTGCTATTAGGTTGTCCCATAAAAAATTGCCGTTTTTTCATTTGATTCGTATTCAGCGACAAATTAACACTTTCTCTTTCTGTTTTTTTTTATTATACTGCTTTACAATTCTAGTTTTATGTGCTAAATTCTCTTTTTTAGGAATCAAAAACAAAAAAAAGTTGTGATCGATCACATGGCGCTGTCTCGTAAAGAAATCCATCAATAATCCATCAACGATATTTGAAGAGGATTTCCGCGGCCAAAGCAGCGAGAGAAATCAATCCTTTTATGGGCCAACAATCGTCAAGGAAAGGACTACACGATGGTGGTTTCAGAAGTTCCGAAAAGGTGACAACCGGCTCACACGAAAGCGAGGAAGTGGTCGTCCCAGAAAAGTGAATCGACAGACGTTGAGGCGCCAACTTCAGCAAAATCCCGAAGGAACGACTCGGATTTTGGCACAAAGCTATTGCTGAAGGATGACAGTATGGCGTTGGCTCAAAAAAACCGGAAGAAAGTGGTTGAAACAGCGGGAATTTTTGAAAAACGGCAATTTTTTATGGGACAACCTATTATTAGAA